CCCCTCACATCCTCAACATGCCGATGCCCCACCCCCCCCTTCTCCACATCATCTTGTGCCTCACCCAATCCCCACGAAAACCCCACAAAATGGGGGAAAATGCAAACCATTCTCCCGGTTGGCTGAAACACGCGTCGCGCACCCGCTCGCCCCTGAACTGCCATGCCCGCGACCCGTCCGCTCCCGATGCCCTTCCCACAAAAAACAGGCGCAAAGGAAGGAACGCGGACGAGCGGCGGCGGCCGCCCCGGGGCGCGCACGAACCCTCCACATTACATCAGATCCCCCGAAGCCAATCAGTTTCAGAAATGCCCTTTGCTTCTGGATTCCTAACCTAGCAAGGAGCTCGGGGCAAGCCGATTTGATGATCGACGCCGCCCACATTGTGGCGCTGGCGTACGGATCGTAGTAGTACCTATCTTTTTTTGAATGGTCTGCTTCGATTCTAGATCGAAATGCAATGCAAAGGGGGAAGGGGCAAAGACGATCCTCAGAACCAGAAGACGGAAAGGGTAGTGAAAAGCCAGAAAGGATTCGAAGCAAGCAGCGTCATCTTTTTTTTCTCTTTCTGTCCCCCAGCTCTTCCGTAAAGCATGGACACGATGCGCACATGGTTGTAGACATTCACTGCGCACAACTCTCCCTCCTCGAATCAGCTATACAGCCCTAGCTATAAGCAAAAGCTTGAACGAAAAAGGGGACACAATAGGAACCGGGGATATCTCCGGTGCTAGATGCCTGTCTCGAGTCAGTTTCTGCCGTACTACGTAGGACCGATAAAAAAAAAGGTACCTGAAGAAAACAAACGCCACACCGCGCAAGCCGCACCGCCTAACGCGCCATGGCGTCCCGTCTTTTCTTCGGGCAGCCAAAGTTTGGCGGAGCTTTTATCTGCAGGTTGTAGGGGTTCGTGGAGCAAGAACGCCACTCGAGATGCGTGGGAAGGATCTCCGCGAGGGCTGTGCGCCTCAAGTGTTATGTCAATGGCGCAGCAGATAGGTAGAACGATCAGACCTAGATCGTGAACATACGCAAGCTCACACGACGCAAACAAGACGTACGTAGACAAACTACATCTCAGCCGAGAGTCATCAAGTAAATTGCTTAATGCGGTGGAAAAGAGGAAAAAGAGATCTGATCCTAACCGTCCCATGAACCTTTCGCTCGTAATGCATAGCTATGCAACAGCAGCAGCAGTAGCAGCAGCAACATGAACAAGTAGTCCAAGAGAGGAAAACAGAAGTTTGAGTCGATACGAAACCGACGCCCACCGTTTCCAATCCCTCGTACTCGTTCACCATTGCCTGTGCCAGCCAGCATCGCTGAAGGAAGTATCCTCCCCCATGCGCTCTCTATATCGACACAGATCGACAGTTCTCCCGGCCTTTCTGTCCTTTTCCCCATCGCCTGATGATCGCACCACCACCCCTACGGCAAACCAACCCCGCCTTCTCTCTGTCTCTCTATTCACCTCTCGCAAAGCCCCATTTGTCATCGCAGCAAAGACTTTAAAAAAAGCAAAAAAGCGATCGGCGTAATATTTAATTCATTATCGCGGGGTTGCGGAAAAATTCGTAAGCGGAGGCTATTTGCAGGTCTAAACGCGGGTGTGGTAAACCGTGGCGAGAAGAAAGAAGAGAGGAACAAAAAAACGGCCCGTCTTCTTCTTCTACTGCTGCTTCTCGGCGTTGGCCTGGAGGTACTGGTAGGCGGCGAAGGCGAGGGCGCCGCCGACCAGGAGAACGGCGTACAGGCCGATGCCGAAGCCGGCCGCGTCGGGGGAGTTGCCTCCGGACGACGGCGACGAGTGAGACTTGGGCTCCGGGTCGCCAGGCTGCGGAAAGAAGCGTTAGCTCGAATCGTCTCTCAAAGCGAATTTCGTCGCCGGAGGGGAATGGCGGTGGGCGCGGGCGATTTGTTGGGATTACGATCGCGTCGCTGGCCCCAGCCAGTGGGGTCGCGCGCCAGTTTTATGTTGGAATCACGGTGGGGAAGGGAAGAGGAAAAGGAAAGGGGCGTAGCGCAGCGAAAGCCGCCGAGAACGAAAGGGATGGGGGATTGCTGCTGGGTGGGAAAAAAGTGTGTGTGCAGCGACGACAAACGTACCTGTCTCTTCAGCTTGCCGACGAGCAGGCCCTCCAGGATCTCGCGCGCCTCGTCGCTGTGGCCGACATCCTCGAAGGCCTCCGTCGAATCCTGACCGCCGACGTCCAGCAGGACCTCCTCACCACCGCTGTTGTCATCCTCTCGTCAGCACAAGAAACCACAACCGAGCCGTCCGGTGAGCGGCTAGCCAACCCCTAAACCCGCCCTCTCCAATCGCGCGCTCAATTGCGCGTGGTTCCGGATATATTGATTCCGGCTGACGCTCGTCGTCGCTGGCGCTTAGCCGTCGTCGAAGCGTGGGTGTGTGCAGCGCACCGCTTCTTCAATCGTGCTCTGCGGAAGGGAGGCTGGCGGCGGCGGACGCGAGGAGGAAGCCACGGAGAGGGCTGGAAGGAGGTTGAGCGCAGAGACAGAGAGCTACTTACGGGTGCTCGTCGACGAAGCTGGTGCAGTTGTAGACCTTGTCGTGGACGACAATGTACAGGTCCTTCTTGGAGGCGTGCTCCGAGACGTCGGAGTAGGTGAATTCCTTGTCGGCGGACATTTTAGGCAGCGTCGAAAGCAGGAGAGAGAGAAAGCCGGCGGCGGGGGTCTTGAGTGGATAGACAAGCGAGAAGGAGGAGGGAAGCAGAAGTGTCGAAGTCCAGGAAGCGGATCGACGTGGAGTTTTGATGTTGGTGAGCGGTGGAGGGAGGGGACGTGCTCCGGACAGCCGTAATAACGAGAGGCCGGCGGGAAACAGCCCCAGAGATAGGCCAGGTGGTGCTTGCGGACCTGCGCTGTAGAAATCCACGCGCCACCATTGGCCGCCGCCCTGGGCGGTGGACCGCTCAAGCCCGCCCAGGGACCCTGAACGCGACGCCGAGCGGCCCTCGAATTGCGCCTGTAGCCGGCTCTCTGGCCCTCTTGGTTGGTCCCACACGAGATGCCGGCTCCAAGCGCTTCCGAGTATTTGTGCATCTCCTGATGCGCCGCATCTATTTTGCTGCGTTTGCTTCAACAAACCGCCGGCACAGACCCGCGGCCATCGGCGCAACTGGAGCTCCAAGCCGTCCTCCGCCTTCCGCGAACGCTCCCCGAAACAGGCGAAACTTGCCGGCAGGCGAAGCGGGGTCTATCTGACCCGAGGACCTGCTTCGGCTTAACCCTTCCAGACGGTATTCGTACAAGGCAAGAGCGAGCATAACAGCAGGACCATCGGCCGACACGATTCCGTGTTCCGATTCCGCGGAACTCATTCCATACCCCGCGGCCGCGACTACCCCGATTGTTTCACCCGCTCTACTCAGCAATATCGCCCGCATTCCCGACGCTCCCGCAGCCTATGACGTGAAGCCTCAAGCGATATTGATGCGATGCTCGACTCAAGCCGACAGCACCCTCGGAAGCAGCGGTAGCCGTGGTACGCCTGGATACATAATTACTGACTAGAGAAACATCGATTTTCATCTTGGCCCAATGCGCCTCGTTCCGGCTACGTACTGTACAAATATATGTGTTGTCGTTTCCATGTGGGTCTTCTCTCGTAACGTGGTTGCTGCAGGTCGCTTCAGCCTGGGCCAGCCTGGCCGCTCGATCACCGCAACTCGCACGCCCCAGCTCATGTGAATCCAAGAGAAGTAGCCCGCGCCCGCTTATTGTTCGGGTGTCCTAGTCGATGCTCAAATCCGCACCCCATTATTTTCATTTTCTGTTTCCATCCCCCGCTACCTTTCCATCAACGCCCCATCATCACCATCCACGCCCGTGACCCTCTGCAATCGAATTCCGTCGCCCACACGGACGCGCTGAACATCCACACGCGGAATTTCAACCGACTCCGAGCCCCAGCAGAAACCCAAGCATCCCACCGATCGGCATAACAGAGTAGGATGACGAGCCGCACGCGAACCGTTTGAAGAACCAGAAGAAATCTCGCAGCAACGAACACACATACTCCGCTGCATCCGTGAAGATCCGTGGTCATCCATCTCAATCTGACGTACACAATCACCCTGCCTCCTAAAGGAACAAGGGGGAAAAAAAAGGCAAGAAACAAGAAGAAATCGATCGCTCTTCCCAAACAACCGTGACCATCACCCCGTCTGCTATGCCCTTACAAATGACAGATACACAAGAATGCTCGCGCTACAACCAGACCCGAATACTCAAAACAAAGTCCAAAACCACCTGAAAATGCATGTACTTGGAGAAATAAGAGAAGAAGCTCATCAGTCATCAAGATGAGGGGAGCATGTAAAGCAAAACATCGACAAAGAGGTACCGAGCAAAATTGCTGAAACCTGCGTGAGAGAAAGTCAAGAGGAAATGGGAACCGAAACAGCGACCCCTAACATCACACCGCTGACTGGAAGGCGGTATAAGCAGCGACAACTCAAAACGGGAAGAATGCATCTATAGCTGTAAAAGGGGGATGTGGACCTTCCTGGCTACCTGCTCGCTTGAACCACAACCATACAGAAACGCACCAAACTCCAACCAAGCGCCATGCTACAGGAGCGCGGCTACTAGGAATGAAACTCTTTTGCGTGACGGACCGTCTAAAGGGGCCCGTAGGGCGACGGAGGAATAGGAATGCGCACGTGCGCGAAATTCGGAACCGTCACTTATTCTGGTTCATCCGTAATCGTTTCGGATGAACCAGAACCTTCCTCGCTTTGGCTCCTCGACCTCTGCCCCAGATTGGGTGTTGATTTGCTCCCTCGGAGCTTCAATGTGGCACGCCTTTTCTTCACTCGGAGACGAGACTGATCTTCTGTCTGGCGGCTACCCGAATCTCCGGCATCCGGACTCTCGGATTTAGCGGCTTTCTTGAATTCTTTAGATGCGTCCTCGGTAGGAACTCGCCCGGATGGCTTCGTTTGCGCCTCGAAAATGTCCGGATTTGCCGCTTTAAACCACCCTCCTCTTTCCCACTCACCAGGCTTGTAAAGTGCTTCTTCACGAACCCCGCGATCAACGATTCCGGTTATGAGTTCCTGAAGACGAGGGAATGAGATCGGCTTTAGGATCCATGCATCAAAACCGGCGTCAATATAGGTTTGTCGCCCGCTTTCCTCTAGAGACGCAGACACAGCTATAATGGGTATCCGGCCATTTAGTTTAGCCCGGCGAGAGAGGGAGTCCTCAGGGTGTGTCTTCTCAAATGAGCGGATCATCTTGGTCGAAGTGAGCCCATCGACAATCGGCATCTGCATAAGTCAGCGGATTCAGGTCAGCATCACTCCAGGAGACTCAAACACTCACCTGCATGTCCATCAACACGACGTCAAACTTTTCAGGTTGCTCGCCGTGGATGGTTGCGCATTCTTCGCCGTTGACAGTGAGGACAATATTATGACCGAGCTTCTCCAATCGCTTCTTGATGATTCTGCTGTTGACAGGATCATCCTCAGCGACTAGAACGCGCATGTGGTCGGCAGTCAGAGGTTCCTCAATGGTCGGTCTCCGTTCGTCAATCTCGCCGATGATGCCGGACTTGATGCTTTCTGAGTCTTTCTCCTTGATCGGCGTGTCGTCATCCGCAACTCGAACTGGCCTGATAGGAAATCCCGACCCGGGCACATCGGCTTGACCAGGCGTGGTGACAGTAAGCGTGATTGGCTGACTACGACGCTTTACTTCAATTTCTGCCTGTCGCGAGCGTGGCTGGTCTGGAGGGGTTGTTGAGCTGCCTGAATGTGTGGACCGCTTTTCGAGAGATGGCCTGCCGGTTTGCGATGATGTTCTCCGCTGCTGGGGGCCTGAACTACTTTGAGGTCTCCCTTCTACCATGTGAGGTTCCTGAATAGCTTCGATCAATCTGTCCACGTCGCTCTTGGCGCTGTTGGCACTCGAGAGACTGTTAAGACTCTTGCGACTCTTTCTGCTGGCCACACTTTCAGCACTGTCTCGACGGGTTAAATGACCCGGCGCTTCCTTGCCCTGCGAGTCGCCCTTCTCCACCAGGGTTACCTCATGGCTGGAACCAGAAAGACCCTCCGCCTGCGGTGTTGACGATGTGCCCATCAGGCTCTTGTCACTGTCGTCCGGTAGATCGAAGGGGAGTTGCACGATGAATCGCGATCCTTTACCTTCCTCCGATCTCAACCGCAGCTGGCCGTTCATGTTTCTCACAACTCGCGATACAACAGCGAGCCCAAGACCCAGTGTGCGCTTCTCACCCCCGGATTCATCCTCCATTCTTGTAGAATTGGGGGCGAGACTTTCTTCCAGCATTTCCGTGGTCTCGGTCTGCACCTGCTCGAGATCGCGGAACAGAGCGTCGAGCTTTTTGCTGCTCATCCCGGTGCCCGTATCCACGACGACAATTTCGACATTGACACGGTTGTCATCCCAGTCGGAAACGTACATCTCCACTTTGACTCCGCCTTGACTCGTGTTCTGGATCGCATTGGCCGTGACGTTGGATATCGCCTGACGAACCCGGCGCTGGTCGCCTATGACCCTCTGGGGCACACCGGGATGCTCAACGACTTCGTAGGAGATCCTCTTGCGCTTGGCGTCGCCCGTGAAAGCGTCCGTGGCCTCCTTGAAAGTGTTTTTCAGGTCGAACACTTCTCCCTTGATTAAAGCGCCGCCTTCTTCGGTCTTGGTCAAGTCCAGCAGGTCGTTGATGACGTATATCAGGGACTTGGACGCCGAATGCGACTTTGCGAGATTCTCTCGAGTCTCGCTATCTAATGTGCCTTCCAGAGCAATCTCCAGGTAATTGATGATGGCATTGAGCGGTGTGCGGACTTCATGTGCAGAATTGGCAAGCAGAAGCCTGGTGAGCTGACTGCTCTGTAGCGCTGCTTCCTTTTGGCGCCAAACTTCGATGAATTTTCCGTAGACCAGACAGAGAACGGCGGCAGTCTCGATCTCCTCATCAGACCACTCACGACACTTACCAACGACCGTCTCACTCCAAGTCTTGAAACTCTTTCTAGGCTCCAAATACCCTTCAGTACCTTCCTTGATGAACTTCTCGTACGGATTTCCTGCCCACTTGACTTCCTTCAGCTGACCCCTTCTGAAGAACACAATGAAATCCGTGCCGCTCGTCGAGAGAGGCACGACAAGCATACCAGCAATAGTTTGAAATCCAGGCGGATAGCGCAAGTCCGGGAAATCAGCCGCCACATCCTGGGACGTCGTTACGGAGGACAGCTTTCGCATGCGAAGATATTCGAGCATGGCCAGCGCTTCTTGGGTTTGGTCCATCCGGCCCAAGATTTTAGTTTCGTCTCTGATGGAGAGAAGGCCGAAATCCGCGTCGAAGAGCTTAAGAAGGTCGTCCGACGAAGCAATGATGTAGCCAGAGGGATTGTGCTGTGTGGGAACGGTGTTGATGAGTTTTCTGGCTTGCAATCTCGACGCGTAAGAGAGACGTTCAATGTTCCTCGAAGCCGAATCTCCTACCAGACGGCACATCTTCCGTATCGGAAAGCTGACTCGCATCCCTTTGGGACCGTATGAATGACAGGCGATCAATCCCCACAACTCGTCGAAGGCGTTGATAGAGATAGACATGGATGAACGGACAGCCATATTTCCAAGGTATTTGAGATGGATGGGGGACATGGCTCGCAGGTACGCATACGAAAGGTCCAGTGGCGTTTCGAGATCCTCGACTGTTCGGCATACCAATCGGGCTGTTACCTGGTCTCGATCGTACAGCATCCGCACCCGGTTCAGCTTATACAAATCCCGAGCCTGTTTCGGAATGTCCGATGCAGGGAAATTTAGGCCCTTGTAGAAGTCTTTTGTTGCGCGGGGATCTACCAATTCTGTTACGACGCGTCCGTTCCAGGCAGCATCAAATTGGTAGATCATGACGCGGTGAAAGCCCGTCAATTCCTTCACTACTCCAACCAAGACCTTCAGAAAAGTGTCCAGGTTTGGCGCGGCCGCCAGCTGTTCCTGTACCTGAGACATGATGTTGAACACTTCCATGGCGGCCGCTTCTCCCTTCCGTTTCCGGGCGCTTCTAAGTACTCGCAGAGGCCGACTGATGTTTTGCGTGCTTTCTGCAAATTCCTCGGCCGTAGGGTTGCTCTGCAGAGTATCTTCAGGCGCTTCCGGGGCAAGCTCGCTGGATGGGACTAGCGGGTTCACAGGATCGTCTTCCAACTCGAATTCGCAGATGACCAGCTGTGGATGCGCAGGGCTGACGTGCATTGCACACCAGAACTTTCGGGACCTCTTGTCTGGTCCTCGAATGGACAGCGTGAAAACTTCCGGCCCATTAGTCGCAACGTCTGCGTCCTCATCGCGAATAAAATCGACATGGTCGAGTAGGTTATCCGCTTGCTCCTCGGAGAGAATATCGCAAAAGTTCTCAAGGGCGAAGAGGTATTTTGGCGTATATCCTATTATCTTTGTGGAGTTCTCGCTGACAACTCGAACTATCAGCTTCCCATCTGATTCCTCCTCCATGGCGATCAGTAGACCGAAGCCTTGGACGGCGCCAGGTATGTGTATCGGCTCGTCCTCGCATCTTTGTAAGACGTCTCCGTCTCGGCCCGTGATGATGGCATGGCCGCCGTCGGAAATGACGTGTTTGAAGCGGGCAGTCATCAACGGGGTATCCCCCAGGCTTTCGTTGGTGCTCTGTCCAGATATGCTGGGGGCCGAAGAGGAAACTTTGTCGCTCGATTGCATTTCGCTCGTCGTGGACATGATGTCGCTGAAGATTTGTTGTGGCGGTCTTTTATCGAGTCTTTCCCCAACCGGGCCCCTTTTGCTGGCGGCGTCGAGCGCCCCTGGGAGGAGATCTATGGGTCGTTGTCTCGACGACGTGCGGGATTCCGATGACTTGGTAGAGCCGCTGGTCACGGAATAGCGTCGCGCCTCGCTTGCGCGAGCCAGACTTTGGAAGTATCCTTCCTGACTATTGCGGTTTGTGGGGGTCGGTGTGGGATCCATTGAGACGACGCTCCGAATGGGAAAGACTCGGTCATCAGCTCCAGGACTCAACGAGCCGACCTCTGAGGTGGGAGAAAAGATGTTGGTGGACGCGGTGATCGGGGAGCGCGGTCTTCCTGTGAGATCGTCGGTGACGATCCGGTTACTGGTCGAGCGTGACGTAGTTCGTGGAGGCAATGCGCCCTGCTGGCCCAGCTGCGGGGCAGAGGACTCTGCAGCATCGCCGACATTGCGCTGCAGCATTGAGTCTGTCTGGCCGTCGATTTGCTGAGACATGGAGAGCTACGGCCGCGTTGTGCAGAGGGGCACAACTGGGTAGGACGTCAGTTTTGCTCGAGGTCGAAGGACGTGGCCGCTAAAACGGCATCTGACAGGGGTGCAGGACCGGCTGTATGTCCCCTCGCGCGGGAGGGTGGAGGTGGTATCAAGGAGCCGTCGACTTCATGCCAGCCTGAAGGCGTAGAAAGGACTGTAAGACAGCAGCGTCAGAAGGGCGCCTTGGGGAGCGCTGGTTTTTGCCACTTCTTTGTGACAGCGCGGGGAGCTTGTAGCAGCAAGAACTGGGAGCTGTGGAAGTCGGTTGAAACAATTGGACGTCTGGAGAACCGAATGCGCGATAGGAGCTCGGGATTCGAGGGCTTGGGGTGTAAGACAGCTAAGTGGGATGGCCGTGGTGGCGCTGGAGGTGCAGCTAGGAGCCGCACCGGGAACGGCGAGTCAAGGCTCCGGGCTCGACGGTCGAGGCTCGCGACGGCGGGGAGGGGTTCGGGGCCGGTTGGGGCAGAGGAGCAGTTGGATAGGACAGCGCGCGGTGGTGTACAGTGAGAGATGCGGCAGGAGGAGCAGATCGCGGATGCAAGAGATCGATCAAGGCGGCACGCGCATATGGCAGTAGTGTAGTTCTAGCGCGAGAGCGGAGGAAGGTACGGCTTGCTCTGGGGCTGGAAGGCTAGGGAAGAGATGCCGTCGGCGCGCTCCACGCAGGACGCAGGAGACAGCGCCGCTGGAGGGCAATGACACGGCCCTGGGATGAGAATGATCGCCCGTCGACGCTATCACCGCGCTGGTGTGCAAGGAATGCAACAAAGCCTCCCGTCGATCTTCGCGCTCGGGGCCACTGACAGAGCGGGCGCGCCGGCGCATGGTAAGGATGCCCTCGTTGCCCGCTGCACAGCTCGGGCAGCAGAAGGCTGGTCGGTTGCGACGCGCTGCCTTGGCCCTGCGATCTGCCGCTGCGAGCTGTCCTCCACGCACAGGGTGCCCCAAGGGCCCGCCAAAATCGCCACCAGCACAAGCCACACGGCCGTCGCCCGCCGCTCACGCCGCTGACGCGCCCGCACGTCCGCGCCGCCCCGGCCTACCTGCTTGTCCCTGGCGGAGTTGCGGCCGTGGTGCAGGCGAGGCAGCAGCATGCGGGCATCGCAAACACGACCCTGGGCGCCAGCCAAGCGGTGCGCGGAGCTCCTATGGCCTTCGCGCACCCCATTCACCGCGATTTCGCGCGGCCAGAGCCCCGAAATTGGTCGGCCTCCGCCCAGCGGCGGGGGGGAAGGAAGCCTCGTTTTTTTTTCTTTTCGCTATTTTCGTGTCGTGTGCAGTACTGTATTAGTGGAGCGGAGCTGGTCGCGGCCCTTCTGTGCTGAATGATCGCCGACCGCAAATCGAGCACGGACACAGCCACCTGGAGCGAGCCCACGAGAATGGTGAATCGTCCCAAGGCCCCCCTCCGCCTGCCGTTAGCTCCTCGTCTACCTATGCCGACCGCGGCTGCGGAGCGCGGTAGGCATAATAGACGAGGAGCGTTGACCCGGTGGACAGGCTAGTCCACCGGGTCAACGTTCGACAGGGCAAGCAATCTTGTCTGTTTGGAGTCACTTACTCCTACGCGCCAGCCGTCAAGCGCCATTGGAGGTCGCACGCGAGGACGCCGAATTTTTCTGCGCTCCACCTCGAAGGTATGTTTCATGCCATCGAGGATCTCTGCCTCTTCTAGCCTGGGACGTTGTTCGCCCCCACGCCGCCACAGCGCGAACCCGCCAGGCTGATGATCAGCGCAGAAGTAGGAAGCAAGTTCGTGGCTTTCGCGCCCCACCCTCTCCTGATGGTATTCTTCACCTCACGCCCAACTTTCCCATTTCGTAGCCCCGCGCCACTTGCCGCGTCGGGACTGGCTCCTCCGCAGCGCCATCAGTGCTCTCGCGCGCGCCTCGGCAGTCCTGGGAGAGCCAAGCCTAGCTCCCTCTCGCGCACACATGTCCGCCAGCAGCCATGCGGCTGCAGAATGATGTCGGAGGCACTGCTTTGTCTAGCCCTCCCGCAAGGTAATTTGGCCTGTCGCACATGACGTGGTCATTCCTGTGCTCCCTTCGGCCGCGCATCCTCGCACCGTTGATGTTGGAATAGCTGGAGGCTCGTGTGGCATACGAGTCGTGGCATCGGCGGGCCAGACCCAAGAGACCGGCCGCGCAGACCCTGCTTCGCAGCAAGCGTGGAGACGGCGGCTTCAGATTCGCCGGCAGCCCGACTTTCCAAGCTCGCGGATTCCAACCACTCCCGCTCCTGCAGCGCCCTCTCAGTCTCGAGGCTCGGCCCGGCGCCAAGTCTTAGGGCGGTGAGTTTCCGCCGCGGAGCGAGCGACCGTGCCCCAGCTCTCCGTCAGGAGCGCTTACCCACGGCGCTCCTCCTCCGTCATCCCTCCGTGTGCGAGCGAGCTCCCCGGTGGCCCTGCAACCTCCCTAACCCCCGAACGCCGCCATCCATGCCGCCGACAGAAAGCGCGCGGGCTCTGCGCATCCTCGTCGCCTCGTCCATTCCCTCGCCAATCGAGGAGCCCTTCCTTTCCACCCTTATCGCCCAGAAGAACATCGCCGTGCGAAGTATTGTCGACTCCGCAGAGTGGAAGACATCAACCCCGTATGCGTCCATCCCCAATGTCTCAACCGACCGATCGCAGCCGTGCCGGCCTTTCAGCGACCACGATGACGTTCACCGCACCGCCGCTGAGCTCTGCGCGTGGGCCGATCTCCTCGTCCTCGCCCCCATGGACGCAAACACACTTGCAAAAATGCTGCATGGCGTCACCGATAGCCTGATACTCGAGATTCTGAGGAGCTGGGATGTTTCAAAACGAACGCTGCTAGTGTTGGGCATGTCTACCCTGATGTGGGAGAACCCGATGACGAAAAAGCAAATCAGCAAGATCCGGCGGAAGTGGAATTGGGTACGGGTGCTCCATCCCCTGCTCTGGACTTTTGAATCGAAAGGCAAGAGATACCTGCCGTGGGAGGGGAGGGAAGAGCTCATGGGCGCGATTCAAAATCAGTTGGATCTCATGACGCTTGGACAGGATGTGGACGTGTCAATGGGCCAGACCCCCAAGCACAGCCTCTCCCTCAGGCCCGCAGCGAAACCTTCCAGCCCACTTCCGCCCGAGATCTGGTCGATGATTCTAGACTTCACCGGTGACTGGGAGCTGGCGAAGAGATTGAACGTGTACACAACTTTGCCCACGCCCCAATGCTGGCTGCGAGCAGCCAGCAAAGAGGGTCCGCACAGTTTCATGGATAAGCTGGAATGGGCCATTCTTACAGGCACGCTGGACGATGTCAAGCACCTTTTTAATACACACACTGCTCCGCAATGGCTTTCGTCCCAAGCCGTTCGAATCATCATGCGCTTTGCCATGGTTCCCCTGTTGTATTATTTGGAGTCGAACCACGCAGACTTATTCTGGGCGAGCTTTGGTCATGCCTTTTTGCCCGACAAGGCATCTGCCGTCTTCGGCCGGGTCGAGATCTTGGAATACTGGCGAACTTCACCGACTTTCTTGAACAAAGAATACACAGTGGATGCTATTGACGGTGCTAGTCGGGCCGGCTTCGTGCACATTCTAGAGTGGTGGCGGAACTCAGGGCTGCCAATGAAATACAGCGAAGCTGCCCTGGAGCAGGCTAGTAGCAGAGGTCAAATCGAAGTGCTCGAGTGGTGGAAGAGGGCCAGCATGCGCGACGATGGCCACGTGCGGACCAGCGGCGACGAGTCGGAGCCGGAGGGTAGCGTCCCACCTACTCGCAAACCGTTGCGTCTCAAGCCTGGCAAAGCAATCTCTTTCGCAACGCAGGCAGGGTCGCTCTCAACGTTGCGCTGGTGGGTCACATCGACGATCCCCTTCTCTCACGAGGACACGGTCGCGAAGCTAGCCTCAACGCACGGCCACGTCGACATTCTCGACTTTTGGCAATTGCTCCACGGCGAGAAAATGATTTACGACAACCAAGTACTTGTGGGTGCCACCAAGATGGGGCATCGCGACGTGTTGGAATGGTGGAAGAAGAGTGGGCTGAGGGTCGAGTACAAGACGTGCGATATCGAGGAGGCCCTAGAGGATGGTGTTGAGGGCGTCAAGGGCCAACAGGTCAGGCGCTGGTGGGCGCTTAACGGTTTGAATCTGGGCGTTGGGACGAGTGAATGGATGAGGACAAAAGTGCTAAATCAAAGTTGATGCAGGACATTTTGCATCGTCGGCGCTACCGGTCTTCTGCAGCATTTCCAAGGGCGTTGGTATGATCTTGTGAAGGATTCAGGGCGAATTCGGCCTCTCAAACTGCATATAGAACTTGTAATACATACAATCTTTGTCGTCTTCACATAACCTGGTGTAACCTTCTCTGACTGGGCGGCTCGAAGGGAGCCCTGCCGAACTCTTCTCCAAGCTGTGGCAAGATGACCAATGACAGCCTGCGCACGTCAGTGACGGGTCGACGGAGTTCTGCGTCTCCGGTCTGTGCATTCGCAGCCGTGGAGATTGCTGGGATTCGGAAGCATCTCCATATTCCTTTCAGTGGGTCCAAGTTGGCAGGCGCGAAGTAATCCCGTCCAACGTTTGTGCCTGCAGCCCGACGGGAAGTTTCGGTGGCACGGGCAAGGCATTGCACCTTCCTTGAGAACTACCAATGACGTCACCGTGACTCACCCCCAGCCTGCTATCTCGCAACCGCGCGGATCACCAACAATCTGCACCACACTTCTCGTCTCTCCGTCATAACACAGGCCTCGTTTTCAAGGTCTGATCTCATCTTGCTCCATCTCATCAGCCGCACACGGGCAGCAACTTTTCATCGCCGATCAGGCGGCAGCGATTTGGCTTTTAGCATGGAGCTCTCGGCCCCGGCCAGGACGCAACGACCGCCGCGGCACCCGGTGCTCCCGGATTATGTGCGACCCAGCGAGGCCAGGATTCAGCAACTGAGGCAACAGATGAGCGCTGGATTAGTGCAGCCGTTCGACAAACATGAGGCACATTATGTCGAGCTTCACAAGTACCATGTCCTCACAGGCCAAATCAACGCATTGCCATCCATATTGCAGCCTCATCAGCAGCGCCGTCTGGCAATTGAAGGCCCACCCGAAGAGATGCCCAAGCCGATCGAATTTCCTTCTTTCCACCCTGCAGACCCTGCACAGCAGCAACTCTTAATTCAACAGTCAGCCACGGTCCACTTACATCCGAGTAAGGCTTTGATGTCGTCGTCGTAGACCTCTACCGTGGCTACAAGGGCCGCAGACTTACTACACAGTGACACCAGAATTGAGGAAGTGAAAGAGGAGGAGGATTTGATCTCGTATTACAATCCTCCCCTCATCGTGACAATTACTTACCTATTAATCGCGATGAACTGAACTTACATTGGTGTCCACAGGGAAACAGATGGGTCCGGAGTCAGTGGACCTGAGCTTCAGCCTGCCCAAGTGAAGCACAGTCCTCCTTCCACGCCAAGCACTCGTCACCGTCGTGCTCGATCGAGCACACTGACGCACCCTAGTGAGATCGTTGCTTCAACAAACGAGCAACCGAAGGCAAAGCGTAGAGCTCGCGATAACGACTTTGCCACCGCGGCGAAGAATGCGAAGGTATGAGGGATCATCCCGCTTTTGCATTCTAAAGATAATCCTGACTGACTCTGGGTGGCAATCAAGGCGGACACGACTCAGTCACAGGTTGATGAATATTTCCCTCAGGGTGCAGAGTCTTCCGCAGCCAATCGTGCCGGCCAGCCAGAAGTCGTTGACCTGACGGAGAGCCCAACACCGGCCCGTACCTTCGTGCCTGAGCAGCGCCACACCCGAGAGACGCACACAGCTCGTCTTGGTATCGAAACACTTTTCCAGGCAGCTGAATCGTCTTCACCTTCATCTAGCAGTGGTACCCAGCAGCGAAGAAGATCCCAGCGCATAGCCAACCTGAACTCTACGGCGAACAGGCGCAGAACTGCGACCCCGGGGTTCTCACAATCACAAGCAGACGTGTTAAACCAGCTGCAGGATACCGGAAGTGTGGACACCATTGCCACGCTCCCTGCAGGAACACGCATTCGCGTCAGAGCTGAAGTCATCAAGGATGAAGACGGCTCGGTCGTTCCCGAAGTCAAGGTTGAGGACTGATGCAGAAAAATGAACGGTTCCTGCGGGTGTAACTGAGACAACAGGGCACTTGCCAAGGGTCCGTCGCTCACTCACCTATCATGGAAACAACGAGAGCCCGATCAGGATCATCCTCGAGGCAGAACAGGGTTCGGCGAGACACAACATTGCTACTCTCTTGAAGGCAACCGGATTCTCTTGCACCGGCACCACGGATTCGGTTTCATGCAGGTTGCCGAGCATTACACGAGGCAGCAGCTGGCCTATTGAGTCACACTACGGGGATTGCTACCTTCTCTGCTACTTTTTCGGATCACCGGCGCGATTGACATCCTAGACGCACAGCCCACACTTTTCACAGCAAAGCCTTGCTCTTGAATTCACAAACATTGACTAGCAGAACTAACACCAACTTGACGTAAACCATGCTTTCGGTTTCGCCATCACTTTCCCATGTTTTGGGAGACTGCGGAATTGCATTTTGAAGCGCGGAATCCTACGGGAGAACTTTCTAGCAAAGATTCAGTCAAGTACAGTGGCACAGACAATAGCTAGCTAGTAGTACACGGAATGCATAGATCCAAGCGTCAACAGAAACAACGCCAACGGCGGAGCCGTTCAGGGCGTGCAATTTCCGAAAATCCTACAACGGCAGCGCCGTTGATCTGTGTGTTTGTGTGTGTCTGTGGTGTGGCTTGCATGTAATTCTCACGTCACATGCGGCAAAATAATTCGCTCAGCTCGCACGCTTTTTTTTTCATCGTGCTTGATGTTTCGCCTCACGCTACTACTTACTCCTCCTCGCTTAATTCATTTCCGGCGCAGTCGGTCTCAGAAGAATTGAGCCTTCGGCGGCCCCCCGCCGGAGGTCGTTGCACGCTCTTCGGACACGGGCAGTTGAAGAGTAAACGCCCGGCCGAACGAAAATGACCAGAACCCAGACACTGGATTCAACCACCCGCATATGCAGGGGCGCCATATGTCGCGTGGGAGGAGTCGGATTTTCAATTTCGTCACACCCTATGCATCCCAGCCGCAAATCCTCAGCTGCCTATCGGAAGTCTTCCGCACGTCAGGTCAGGTTCGCCAAGGGCCACAATGGCGCACGCAGTTGGGGATTTTGGGTATCGATTTGTGCATAGGGCCCATTGCGTTGCAGTCGGGTCAGCTCTGTTCCGGCTGGGGGGGTGAACTGTTTTGGCATGTCCCATCCTCAGAAGGGGCATCGAGAAGCGAATCGACGATGCGGTTTTGCTTTTTCTTCTTCGCTCCTTCCCTACGTTCTTCCCTGTTGCTTGCTTTTTTTTCTTGGTTCTTTTGCTTTTCTCTATTTTCGTCTCGCATAAGCTACACGTGCATCGTTACACATTCTGCTCTTTCTCTAAACGTCTATAGTTGATGTACCCCTCGTCGCTACCCCAGTCCCTTCCCGCTTCCCCTATGCATGTATCCGTGTCCGACCCATCCGCCCGGGACCCAATCAACAAACCATCGGAACGACGCCGACGGCGATGCATGTATCCAAAACGAAAATACGACGAGGGGAGGGAGGGAACCACGACAAGGGACGGAGGCAATAAAAAAAAAGATACGAGTATCAATATGGCCCCTTTCACAAGGATCAAGGACGAAAGGGAAGGGCAGGAAGAATCGTGATGCCCGTATGTACATGCAAGAAAAATGACTTATAAAACCCCTAGTGACACGCGGATGTTGCCGAAGGTAAGGATGATATAAGGGAATCTCCGTTGACAGTTTGTTCCTACTAAGGTGATACTATCATGCTGTGTTGGTAGGAGGATGAGGCCGTGGCTGTTGATGGTGGTCGCTAGCGTGTGGCTGTTGCTGTTGCTGTCGTCTGCTGCCCGGGCCCGGGCCCGGGGCCGAGCCACCGCCACCACCACCACCGCCACGTGGGCGATGATGATGATGCTGTTTGCGAGGGCCGGTGGGTGGAGTTTTCTCGGTCTTGGCGGAAGCAGTAGCGGCATCGGCAGTAGCCGTGACAGCGGGTGAGGAGGCAGCAGCAGCAGACGTGGCGGTCGTCGTGACGGAAGGATGGGGATGGGGTGGTTGCTGCGGTTTGCCGGGTTTACCGCTGTTCCTGTGTTTCCTATTCGGCTTAGCCGGAGGCGCCGCTTTTGGGGTGGTGGTGGTGACGACCGCCGACGCGTCAGGGGTGGACGTCGTGGTCGCAGCAGCAGCATCTCGATCTGGAGCTGGGCCAGGCCCGGCGTTGGCCTTCTTGCCCCGCCCACCACCAGCACCCTTCTTCGTACCAGCCCCACCGGCTTTCGTAGGCGCGGTGGTCTCGTCCCCGCCAGGCGCCTTCTGGTCGCCCTTCGCCTTCTTCCCCGTCTTCTTCGAAGAGCCACTAGCCCTCGCCGTCTCCCGCTTCTCCCGCTTAGCCCTTTCCTTCTCTTCTTCCATGACTCGCCTGCTCTCTTTATCCCACCATTCTTGAAATTCCTGTTCTTGCTGGATCTCCTGTAAGCTGCGCTTCGCTGCGGCGGCAGCAATTGATTCTTTCTCCGCCTGTTGCATCGACAAGATGTCTGCCATACCCATGGACAAGTGTAGACTTGCCTCCGAGTGTGACTTCGACGCAATGTGTCGGATACTCTGCGGCAGCGCCGACAACGAGGACGAAGGCGCGTCAGGGCGAGGGATGGCGAAGCCTTTACCAGAGGACGGCGTAGCGTTCTTGTTGGTGTTTGATGGTGAAGTCTGGGGAGGAAATGATTGCGCAGGAGTGGCAGTGATAGGAATAGAGTTCGATGACTTGGCCTTGGAGGCTGATCCATTGTTCGCAATAGTTTGACGCATAGTCAGATTCGGGCGGGTTGTTGTGGGTGGCGTCTGCTGCTGCGTTGTCTGGGTAGGCGATGATGAATTCATGACATCTTTCAGCGCGACCTTTGCCGCTGGAGGCTTCATCTGCCATGGTGACACTGCCGGCCTGGGTTCATTGTCCATGGAGCTGGCTTTAATTGCGTCACCTTTAGCTGCCTGTTGTTGCAGCTTCTTGCGCTCCTTTTGTGAGAGCTTCGTTGCGGCGAAGGAGCCAGTGGTGCGGTCCTCCTTGGCTTGCGCGGACAGTGCCAGAGAGATGTTGGATGGCCGTGTTGAAGACGTTTCAGCCATGATATCCTTCATGTCTAGCTTGCTCATTTGTAGAGGAGTTGTGCCCCAGGGTTTGTCTGCCTGGCGGGTAATCGGTGTAGCCATTGTGTCCAGAGGAGTGCCCAGGCTTCTAGGTGTATGAGATGCCGGGCTTGCGATTGCAGAATCTGAAGCATCTCTCTTGGGAGCGGCTTTCGGAATCTGCCATGGGCTTGACGTCGGGACATCAAGAGAAACATCTTGAACCGGTCCACCAAGGGCCGACGTAGGAGACTTTAATGAGCGTGACATATTAAGGTCAAGCTCATCGTTCTCCGAATCGACATCATCGTCCATGTCGAACATCAAATCCGCAACCGATCCCTTGCCTTTGAGAGCTGGCGCGAGCAGAGGGCTCTCCTGTGTCGCTTTAATTTCCTTGGTCGAGCGTCGTCTCGCCTTCTGCTGCATTGGTGAAGGCTGGTCATCGTAACTACCAGCCTTGAGCGATGATGACATGCGCGCTGAGCTATCAGCATATTTGCCTTGCAGCATGAGAGCGTCGACTTTTGCCCGTCTCCTGCGATCAATTTGCTCCGCAAGCTCAGGATACTTCTCGAAGAGCAGCGCTTCGGCACGCCCACTCTTCGCAATTGGCAGGCATGCAACTTGGTTCTCGCGGACGACTTGATCTAATTCGAGAATGAGATCCTCATCCAGCTCGTCGAGTACACTATAGTCTGGCATTAGAATATCATCTACCGCCATGGTGCGTCGGACGTACCCATTTTGCAACACCGCCTCCAAGCTGAGGCAGATATACTCGAGCCCGGCGTCCTTGAACTCAGTCACCGAGCACGGCGAAACGGCATTGAGCAGTTGACAAATGTTGCGGACATTGACTACGATCTCGATCAGCACCATGTACATTTTCCTCCATCTCGATCGTACTTACCGTATCGACCAACAACTTGCTGGCAGACCTGCGACAGCCTGTCCAGCATTAACTCATTGGCTACCGACATGACGTCCATGACGTGATCCAGGAACTCGTTGAGGGCAAGGAATTCCCCAAGATTGTCCGACACGAAATCATCAAAGAGCTCGTCACCCGTGTCCGCGTACAGGTGCCGCAGGACCAGTTCGAAAATGTGCAGCTCGATATGCTTCAAATCAATCCTGATGGCTTCGGAAGGATCAGTTGAGGCTTCACGCCTGCCAGCAAGCCAAAGACCTGCTGCTCTGCCCTTGAACATGCCTTCGAAGAAAGGACAGCGTTGGACCATGAGCGCACTGTGAACCTTGACCTCGCTGTCTGCAAGTTCGAGTATGACATCTCCATTCTCAAAAAATGCAGGATCCTTGATGGCGAGCTCCATATCCATGGTAAGAGATCGTTTTGGTCTCACCATCTGGCGAACAGCAGGTTCGAGCTGCTTGAGTTCAAGCCTCGAAGACAACTTCATGAGCTCCGTCCTGACCTGGCGGTACCTAAATGCCAATTTTGGATACTGGCGCGTGTAGTGCCAGAAGTCCACAATACTGTCGGTGTAACCATACAAGACGAAGTTGAACATGGTGAGTACGTCCATGCCCTGAAGGACAACCAAAGTTCGGCCACGATCATCTTGCTCCAGGGAGAGCACTTCAGGCAGAGAGAAGGTACCAGTGTGCTGGAATTCGGCGAGACCTTGGCGAAGCACCTTGCTACGACCAGCAAAGATCCACTGGTGCACAGGAATGCGAACTTCGGAGACAGTGGATCCAATGACCATGTCGAATGTTGCATCATCTTCGTCAACGCCGAACAATGCATCCTTCAACTCTTGCTCGAAATCTTCTGATTCGAGTGCACGTCTCGCCAGGAGCTGTATCTCGGTCGGTTGCAAATTCTCGTCCAGTTCATCGTCCGGCGTAGCCCAGTCTCCAAAGGGCAACAGCGGGAGCACATCGTCCCAAAGCGTAGGCGAATCCACCTGCACTTGAGTCTTTGTGACATCGCAGTCTTTCCGTACAGCTGCGTAGGCGCCAAACGCGGAAGCTCTAACCGCCGTAACACGTGTGAGACCAGGAACGCGAAGGAATTTGTAATCCTTCGGCTTGTACTCTCCTGTACCAGAAGCGGTTGCGTCCTTGATCTTCGTTCTCTTGACCCGCCTCCATACAGTGCCAGCCTCCGTGGTCAAGATGACGGAGCCATCCTGGTCCACGTCGACGTCGCGAGCAGCCATGTAACCCTTTTTCAGTGACCAGATCCTGTAGGGCGGGGATAGTGCCCCACGGATCTTGGTTGGATTTGTCGTAGACGCCGTACTGTCTTGCCCTGACTCTGAGCGCTTGCTCACTGCGACAGTGTAGATCTCACCGTTGGTCGAAAGCGCGCAAATGTTGTCGCCACCTGCAGTTACTTTACAGATCCTATTTGGTGTGGTGTCATACTTCGTTGTCAGGAAGCTTTGCTTTAGGAAGTAATTCGAAAATCCATCCAGAGGAAACGAAACTTTTGCGTAACCGTAGTTTGCGAAGACCCAGACCTCATGGTTCTCAAGTAGACAGACCGTAGCCCTTTCAATAGCACTGACAGACTTGATAGGCGAAGAGAAGAGCGAGGCGGCGACCTTACGAGGAGTGACTTGGAATTCCAAGGATCGTGCATCTGAGTCAACAATACCGAGTTGACCTTCGTTTTTGCCGAATGTATACAACGAAGACGATGTGTGAGCAACAGAGTGGATCCTAGATGCGGAAACGCCGATGACAACCTCTTTCTTAAGAGGCCCGAATATCTGTCGTGGCAGAAGTTGAACCGGATCTTCATCCTTGAGTGTCTTCGGCAGACTGTAGCCCAACTGACCGTAGGCATTATTTCCCCAAGAGAAGATTTCGCCTTCATCGGAGAGAGCGAGGGTGTGATTTTGACCGAGCGCTACAGCGATGACTTTCTTCTTCGCTAAAGCGCCTCCCTCAATACACACAAACTGGAACCGAGTGCTCTCGTCTCCGGTACCGATTCGACCTCCTGGTCCATGGCCACACATGTAGAGGTTCGACTCAGGGTCCGTAGTCAAGACAGCGGTGGAGAGCTTCGACATCGTCACGTCCTGAATCAGAAGGGGTGTATTCCTGATAATGGCGGGAAGGTCAGACACGGGCATGCTATAGATCGATGCCAACTGCGAGGAATCACTCGCCGAAGGGTCCATGCTGGACCACTCCTGGTGTTTGCGCTCCAGATGCTCGCGGTAAAACCTCCTCAAAAGATGGTCCGGTCTCCGAAGAATTATGCGCTCGGGGAACTGCCGATCGTCCTCGTCGCCGAAACCGAGAGTGACATTCCTGTTACTGCCGAACGTGAAGAGCTCATCGCCATGAATGTCCATCACCGGCGCAAGCTTCCGGCGCACCGGCCTGTCTTCTCCGTCGCCACTATCATCATAACCCCAGTCCTCGTCATCCTCTCCCAGCGCATCCACGCGTGAGTCCTCTTCCGGCCTCAATGTGCGGTCTGCGATGGTGGTCGCAAACAGGTCTAGCGGGCCATTCCCTTCTTTGTCCTTAATCTTGACCAATCCTCCAGCATGTTGTACCACCCCGCTGCTTCCGTGGCCAAGCGCATCGAGCACATCACGGTCTATGATCGAGCGCGCAATGGTAACATTGCCAAAGTAAAAAGCGCGATGCAGTGCCGTCCAGCCGTTCTCAAAATCTTGCGCGTATAAGTCGGTGTACGGGTGCTCGAGGAGGGCGGTGGCGAAGCTCAATGCGTTTTCGGAGGTCGACGAGGCAGCGTGGTGCAGGATGGTCATGCCATTCGCGTCCTTGGCATTGATATCGGCGCGTGTCAGTCCCGTCGCGGACCTGGGGGTGCCGCCAAAGTCGCGACGCGCGCGCGTAGTCAAGGTCGGGGAGGTTCCAAGACTCCCGGGACTCCCTATGAAGGCTGCCGGATGGGCTTGGCCGGGCTGCGCGCCGGTATTGGCCCTCGGCCCGGACGGGCGCATAGGGAAGGCGGCGCCTTCCAGCAGGTGTCGAAAAGCTTCGACATCATCTTCGAGGTAGTATTTCCAGAGATAGCCACTCATGTGCTGGATGTTGGCGGGGGAGGCGTTCCCTTTGGCTTCGGCAGGTGCACCTCGCTATTGACTACGACGAGTCAAAGCGTATTTAAAGGTGCGTGTGCGAAGCGTAAGAGGACGACTCCGGAGGAGGGGGTCGAATGGCCGCGGGGCGCGAAATATGGCCCAGCGATGACAGGTGGCGGATGTCGTTGACAAAGCGCGGAGTAGCGATGAAATTTCGAAGGCGAATGAGGCGGTCGAGCGATGGGCGCGTTCGTTAGGCGTCAGGCGACGGAGATTTTGGGTCGAGGATGAAGCGGAAGTGCGAGACGCAGTGGCGGGCGGGAGCTTAGCGGGCTAGAGCGGCGCGTGTGGGCGAGGGGAGGTCGATGACGATGCAGCTTCCGCGGGGCCGGAGATAGGCGAACTGCACGCCGATAAGGCAACAACTTAAAATCAAGATGATTCACGATGAGGCGTGATGACTTTGGGCAAAAAGCCGCATGCTGGCCATGTTCACATCATAAATAGCCGGAAGGTCAAAGGAATGCTAAAGGTATGCTTGCGATGCGGGCGGTGTTCCTGCCTACCAATGAACGCATCAGCTTTCAGCTCTGTCACACGTGGGTAGACATGTGCCAGCTTTGAGCCGCGGGATTTGGCACCACTCTTTTTTGCTCCGGATACTCCCCGCACCTCTACCCCTTGTGACCAGCTGCAGAAGGCTCAACTCTGGCACTGCATTTTAAACCACAATGGTAAAAGTCAAGGCACTTCATCCCGAATTATATCTCAAACACACAACAATAGTGGAGGAGAGGTCAGATTAGAGTTAATTATGCCGGACAAGACTAATGCTTAAGTACAGCCGAACATGTGCAAAGGAGAGTCGTCAATCGAACCGCAATGCCCCATGCTAAACCTTCAGCGACCGGGATATAAGGCTTGCCATGATTCATTTTCCCATGAGAACATAAAAGGGCAACAAAGAAGAGAAGAACAGCCAATCTGCGCGCATCATAACACCAGATCCTGGATATCAAATGCTTGTTGTGTATGTGTATGTGTCGTGCTCAGAAGAGAGCACTTGGAAGCTCAAGTGCGCTCTTTACAGCATCAGCATGGCAGCGAAGACGGTAGCCACCAGCGTGCCGAAGGCGACTGTCGTGGTAGTGCCCGCACTGCTCGAGCCCGAGCTGCTGCCGGACGAGCTAGAGCCGGTACTGCTGGCGCCTGCAGCGGAGCCAGAAGACTGGGCTGCAGCAGTAGCCTCGGCGACTTTGATGCCGTAAGAGGTAGCCACGGAGGGAGTGCCAGTCGCGGGGGTAGTCGTGTAGGTCGAGCTCGCAGTGGTAGAGACGGTGCAGCCGGACCAGGTCGTCCAGGGCGCGTTGGTGCTCCAGGGCCCGTTGGTCCAGCCGGACCAGGTGCTGGCCGGGCAGGCAGAGCCGCCCCACCAGTTCGTCCAGGCGCCCGACGTCCAGTCGCCGTCCGACTTCCATCCACCCCACGGGTGGTCGCCGCCGAAGGGCCCGCCGCGGCCGCCCCAGCCGCCCGCTCCGCTGCCGGGGCCCCAGCCGCCGGGTCCTCCCCAGCCGGGCCCGCCGGTGCTCCACGGCCCGCCCGACGTCCACGTCGTCCACGGCTTGGACTTGGTGCTCCAGACGGACGGATCCCAGTCGCCGTTGGAGTTGGTCGGCCAGGCGCTGGTCCACGACGACCAATCAGACGCCCAGTTAGAGTTGGCGCTGGTCCACGAGGACCAATCCGACCTCGTCGTCCAGTCGGACGGCGCGCCAGACCATGCGGTGGTGCCGGTGCCCCATGGTCCCGGTTGAGCAGTGGCTGGGGTAGCGAGCGCGGCGACGAACGCCACAGCCGTGACAAGTTGGCTGAACATTTTGAGGGTGTTGGTGTAAGGTTTAGCGCGAGGTTTGCGGCGAGAGCAACGGAGAGAATGAAGCTTTGCAGACCAGGTGGGCAAGAAGGATACGAGACATGCACCGGACCTGCATATATAGGTAACCCCAAGACAGCATACGCGTCCCCCATTGCCCACGTCATGTCTGACAAAAGTATGTCTATGCGAGAGACGAGGAAATCCGGACTCCGGTTGAGACTGGGGGCTGACGCGTTCCGGAGGTAAGCATCAGCCTCATTGTGAGGATACTTTTGAGCGGAATTTTAGTGATCTTCAGCCTTATGATCTCACTGGATTGGCTCAAGTGTGTTGGAAGTTGTGCGGTGAGATTCGCGTCGGGATTGATGAGGGGAGCCGCACCAACACGCGAGGGGCAGAGCAGGCATCGCAAGCTAATTGCGGGGAATCAACCTGACTAAACTTCATATAGTAGTCAGCCGGTGCTCGCATTCCTTTTTAGGGCGCATCGCTGCTGTCGTGGCCCGCAGCGCGGACGCGTAGACGAGGCGTCGCGTGCTGACGGGCTGCATCGGTGGAGGCAACCGACACACTCTGATTGATCACACGTCACTTCGGCCGAGCTCGATTGTTTCAAAGCCTTAAAGTCTTACTGCTCAGTAAGCATAAAGTTTGCTAAGGTTCTTCAAATCCCAACGTGAGTTGAGTGAGTATACTCCAAATGTACAAAGCCCAGTGCTAGATCATCCATCGTACACCCGCAATGCCCGGTCTCTGTCGTTCGTCTCTCTTCGATTGTCGTCGTCATAGCTGCGCCGATGGCATCATTTACCTGAACTCGTCCATGAATTTACGGTGGAACTCCACAATCCGGCCAATCCACTCCGTGCCTGGCGCAAGGAAAGTGGTGCGGAAGTGCCAGGTCCCGTCCCTCTGACCGAAGCCAGAGCCGGGCACGGTACAGACACCCGTCGCGTCGAGCATGCGCAAAGTGTAGAACTCGTCGGGCTTGCGGCCTTCTTTCTCAGCCTGCTGGATCGCCTTCTCCGGGAGAGTGATGGTGGGGAATAGGTACATCGAGCCCTGGGGGATAGTCAGCTTATGCAATTCCAAGGCTTAATGGAAAATGCTTACGGCAGGAGAAGCACACTCCACTCCCTCCATCTTCTTGAAGGCCTCGAACAGCGCCATCGCGCGCTCGTGGTAGCTCTTGTAGATGCCGTCGTGCTCTTCCTTGTACAACGCATAACTTGGCTCGCCCTCCTTGGGCGGGTTGACCATCATCTCGACGAAGCACTGACCAATTACAGGCGCGCACAGCTGAATGGAGACGAACTTGTAAATCTCGGCCTTGACCTCCGGGTCGAATCCAACCATCTCGTAGTATCCACCACGGTGGCCGCATTCACCAACCATACCCTTGGAAATGGAGTGCAACGACGCAAGCTCCAGCTCGTCGTACTTGCCGGGCTCCTCCTGCTGCAATTCGCGCAGCGCCTTCTTGAACGAAATAAACTTGCCGCTGAAAACGTTCGTCTGGTAGACCTCATCGGCCATCACGACCAAGTTCTTCTCCGCCGCAAACCTCAGAACGCTGTGGATATCCTCCGAGCTCAAGCTGGCTCCCGTGGGGTTGCCAGGGTTGATGACGACGATCGCGCGCACGTCAATGCCCTCCGCGACAGCCTTGTCATAGCCGGCCTTGATGTCTTCCAGGCTGGTTCCCCAGTGCGTTGACTCATCAAGGTAGTACGGCACAGCCTGCGCGTTCAGAACGGAAAGTGTGGCAGTGTAGAGAGGGTACTGGGGAATCGGGACGAGGACACCAGACTTCTCGTTCTCGCAAATGATGTGGAGAAGCGCGTTCACTCCGGACGAGGCGCCGGCGCTGAGGAAGATGTTCGCCGGGTCGGCCGGGAATCCGTCGCGTCCTGGTGGTGTCAGAACCGCGTTTTCCGTCACACAATGCAACACAACGTACTCTCAATATACTTGGCAACCTCCTCCCTAACCGCCGGTGAGCCCTGGCTCTGGCTGTATGCGCCAACGCTTCCGACATCCTTCAGCAGCTTCCTCGCCCTGTCGATGACATCCTGCTTGTAGCCCAGGCCGTTCCTCAGCACGTCCTCATGCTCCAACAGCAGAGGGTTCTCTATCAGACTTGCGACCTGGCGGAAGAAGGTGAGAGGCTTCTGGTCCAGCTGCTGCGGGTTACCAATGTTCGCCGGGATAATGGTGTCGAAAGGAAGGTCGCCCTTCTCTCCCCTAGCTAGACGAGCGCGGTACTCTTCGCTCTTGACTGCGAGCTCGCCACGCACGGCATACTTGGCCGCCTTCACGTGGGGGTTGATGTTGTTGATTGTGAGGGCCTTCATCTTGAGGGTCTGTGTGGAGGAAAAGGTGCGGGCGGCGGCGGGGAAATGCGGAGAGAAAGACGAGAGGCGGGTTTGGGCGCCGAGGCTGAAGGCGGCGGTGGATGCTATAAATGCGACTTAGCACATTGGGCTGTGTGCGGACAGTTTATCCAGCTCTGGTAGAACGGAAGGAAACGGGCTGGCCCGTGACGGAGCACATGTCGCCGTCATCGGCGCAGGGACACGAGGGGTTCGCGCAGTGGGGTAGGCTGCGGGCGCGTGGGGAGGACGGCTTCCTACCGCAAATCGGCGAAGGCAGGGCCGCCGGGGTGACTCGTTCGCATGACTGGAACGCCCTCACGGCGCGCCCGAGTGTCAGCCGGCGCACAGTCATGGCGGTGACGCGCTCCTGACGCGTGGGGTGTCTGCTGTCTTTGGGAGGCCTTGTGATACTGTGCAACTTGCGACGCGCTGGGTGCTGCAATGCGATCCTGATGTAATTAAGTTTGCGGCGGTTGGTCAACGCACGTCGCCAATCTCAGGTCCAGGGTCCGAGATCGCCGGGATCGCTTATCAAGGTGCGAAAGGAACCGGCGGCGGCGCGGCAGAGCTTGGGCGGGCAGCGCGAGAGGGAGGAGCGGAGCAGAGCTCAAGATCGTGGCGACGACGCGGAGTATTTAAGAGTGCGTCCGCGGAACGGCTCCTCCCTTCCCGCCATGGCCGATGCCGCAGCTATTGGCAGGTGCAACATTTGTGCGACCTGTGCGTCGTATCAAAGCGGAAATTCGCGATAAGCATTACTCTATCTTTTGAGGCTTTATGCTTGGTGCACTTGCGAATGTCTTTCACCCATTACAAATTTTCAGCTAGCTCCATCATAGCCCCAACACTATTGCTCAACCCCGTTCGCTTCCCCGGAGTCTCACCGTCTGTCCGTACTTCTGAAGCTTCGTGATCAGCTGGTCACCTTGCTTGACCACGTCATTGTACTGCTTGTTCTTGTCATCCGGTCGATTCGTCTCGATTATGCCGCGGACACGATCGACGGTGCACGGCACGCGGTCTGCCGCAATGAACTTGGAGAGGTCCCTGTTGAGACGTGTCAGTGATTTTTCTTTCGTCGGGCCGGATTGACTCACTTGTCGAGGAAATCCACCGAAACTCCGAAGTCGTTGGCCATGCTCTGGAGACCAACAACCCTGTAGCTCTGGAGGAGCTGCTGGTAACCGCGCAGGCGCATCTCACGGACGAACCAGCCGCGGTGCTCGTACAGGTAGCGATCCTTGCTGAGGAAGTTCTCCTCGACGGCAGCCAAAGCAAGGAAGAAGCTGCGGTAGTTGCCCTGGTACAGGCTGTTTACGAGGTTTGCTAGCGGGCTAAAGTCGATCTGCGCCTCCGTATCCGGGTTCGTCTGGCCCAATGTAGTGAGGTTGACCGCAGCTTGTCCGGGAGTGCTTGAGGTTGCCTTGGCTTCGGGCATCTCCTCGTCACCAGCAGCAGGGCCCGAGGAGATGGCGCCCGTCAACGCGGAAAGCTTCTCCTCGCCCTCACCGAGAATCGCCTTGATCTCCGGCGCATCGACGACCTTGGACTTGAAGTCCACACGCTTGAGGGAGACAGAACCAGCGAGCACGGCGTATATGACGAGGTTGGAGTAGCTGCAGAGCTCGTAGCTTGTGAATGTGGAAAGACTGTCAAGAAGCAGCGGCGCAGCCTGGTTGTAGCTGCGGATGGTGAGGTAGTGCAGACCTGAGTAGGCCTTGAGGCGGTTGCGGCGGTCCCAGTCACCACCGCTCTCAACCAGCGTAGTCGCGCGCTCCACCGATGTCTTGACAAGGACCTTGTCGCCGAAGAAGAGGCCGACGCGAATGATGGCAAGGACAATATCGATCTTCGTACCGAGGATGCCCGTGTTCTCGAAGACAGCTTCGTACGCAGCAATCGCCTTGTCCTAATTGCAGACTACAGTTAGAGAATTCACATGGAGGTGCGAAGCTGTGAGCAAACCTTGTCTCCGACGCGCGTCCAGAACTCTGCCCTCTTGCCTCGTGCCGTCTGAATCTCAGTCTCACCAGCCTTCTCAACCGCCTCCTCCTCCTCCTTCTGTATAGCTTCCAGTTCCTTCTCATTGTCCGCCTTCAGCTCCTCGTAAAGCTTCTCATCCCAAGGTAGAGTGACGTTCAATGCCGGCTGCTTGGTGGGGGCGAGCAAGCTTCCTATGCTGGATGACGCTCTCCTCGGGCGAACCGGCTGCTGAGTGGAGCCTTCACCAGGAGCGTTCAAGATACCCTCCGAAGGATGCGCCAGGTGGCGGTAGAGAGGCGCCATCTTGTGTTCCTTGATGGCATCTTGGAGGATCTTCAGCGAGGAGTCCTGGGTGGCCTTGGACGAGTACGGGTTCGTGATGTGGAAGATGTGTTGCGACAGCTGAAGGTCGGGGTTCTTGGCGTACTGTGGCTCCCCCATGGTGAACGACGACCGGAGGTGGGGGACTGGGGGAGGGAGATAGGGACGGGGCGGTTGGAAGGTAGATGGCGAGGGTGGTTGGTGGTGACGGAGCTCTGGGTTGTGGCGGCGTGTTGATGGAAGCTCGTTGTCGCAGCTCGGCGGCGCTTCTTCGGCGTTTGGCGTCACAGTCCCGGTGCGGAAGGAACAGCTCAAGAGTCGCACGCAGCTTCCTTAAAGCGCCGACTTATCTGTCAAACTCCATTGTTCGGTCACATCCAACTATTGGCCACCATCTGGCCGCCCGCAGTCTCGTTTTCGGGGCTCAAAATTTCTACTGCAACTTTTCCACCGCTGCAGGCCACAAATTTAGCCAATCCACGCCCTCAGTCGAGCACACGAGCAGCCCCGCCACCATGCCCCAAGAACGAGGCTTCCCCTCAAGCAGCCAGAAACGCGGTCGCTCCCGTTCCAGGTCCAGGTCACCTCCGCGCAAACGTCCCGGCGCCTCGGCCCGTACGAACCGCGACCGAAGACCCCCTCCCGGTTCCGACAGACATCGCTCAAATGCAAGAGACCCCAGTCCCACACGCTCACCCTCGCGCTCCCCGCCGCGCCAACTGAAGCGTCCGGGCGGCGCTGCGCGCATCAGCCAGGCCGAGCGTGAGGCAGCCCGTCGTCGTCAAGAAGAGCGCGAGCGGGAACTTGAAAGGGAAAGGCAAGCCGCTGCCGCCGCCAGGGGAGTGGGCGATGTTGTGAAACAGCACTACAACGCAGTACCGGAGCGTGGACGCGAATGGCGCAAGACAGACAGCAAGATCAAGGGCCTTCGGAGCTTCAACAACTGGGTGAAGTCGTGTGTGATCCAGAAGTTCTCGCCAGGCGACGAGTCCCTAGGAGAATCAAGATACGGGGAGAACATTCTTGTGCTGGACATTGGGTGCGGCAAGGGCGGAGATTTGCAGAAGTGGCAGTCAGCACCTCGTCGTGTTGATCTGTACGTTGGCATTGACCCTGCGGACGTCTCCATCGACCAGGCAAGAGGTCGCTACGAACAGATGAAGAGGAAGCCATATCGTGGCCGGCCACAGCACGTTTTCCATGCCGAGTTCTTTGCGAAAGACGGCTATGGCGAATGGCTTGGCGATATCCCCATCATTCGCGAGGTCGGAATCGACCCACACGTTGGGCCTGACAGTGGCGGTGCCGGTCGATTTGGAGGTGGCGGTTTTGATGTTGTCACGATGATGTTCTGCATGCATTATGCTTTCGAAAGCGAACAGAAGGCTCGCGGAATGCTCCGAAACGTCGCCGGCTCCTTGAAGAAGGGAGGACGATTCCTCGGAGTCATCCCCAATTCAGACATCCTCTCAGCTAAGGTAGAGGAGATCCACAAAAAGAATGGGAAGGGGAAGGCTGCTGATGGCTCCGGTTCGCCTGCATATGCCAGCGATGACGACTGGGACCCGGAGAAGCCTGCGGAAGAGCCGAAGGAGGAAGCAGCTTCATCAGAGAAGGAGGAAGGCGAAGCTAAAGATGAGTCGGTCGAATGGGGAAACAGCATATACCGCGTCAAGTTTCCTGGAAAGACACCTGCAGATGGTGTGTTCAGGCCTCCTTTCGGCTGGAAGTATTTCTACTTCCTCGAAGAAGCCGTGGAGTCAGTACCGGAGTATGTTGTGCCGTGGGAAGCTTTCCGAGCGTAAGTACAGCCATTCTTTGGTAAATTTGCCACACGCTGATAGTCTTGTGCCAGCCTTGCGGAAGACTACAATTTGGAATTACAATATCGGAAGCCATTCAATGAGGTCTGGGACGAAGAGAACGGCGACCCAATCCTCGGGCCCTTGAGCGAGCGCATGGGTGTTAGAGGCAGAGATCGTGGTCCGCTACTGATCAGTGATGAGGAAATGGAAGCCGCAAGTAAGACTCCACACATATTAAAGAAACAACCGCCTTTTCCATACTAACGTCATTTCACGCAGGCTTCTACCACGCCTTCTGCTTCTATAAAGTCTAGAAGTCTGCTCAAACCAATTCTTTATGGGCGTCGGCCATCCTTTTTGCATCCTCTTTTGGCTTGGTCCTTACCAACCTCATCCTGCTTCCGGCTCGGATCCTTGCGCATTGATGATTGATTTACTTGATAGCCTAAGCAATCATCAGCATTAGACGCGGCTCACGCTCCATCCATGCAAATTATATATAAGAGCCCCTACGAGCTTGATCCACTGTCGATAGTGCCTGCAAGCTTGTTTCTTGAGCAGTCACAGGCGGACCCACACAAAGGTCTAGTGTATCGGCCCCCGTTACACATGCCGCATGGCTTGCCGACTGTGACTACATGACAGTCATTGCTCCTGCTCCTGCTCCGTCTCCGAACTACTATCTCCGTCACCTCCCAGGCCCAGCTGCTCGGATGCATGGATCGGACACACTCGACATCAAAGCAGAGCAGAGTGTGCATGCGGAAGATATGTCAGCTGAAGAAAATATTTAATTCACGTAACTTACTTGAAGTGTGAAATATTTCTGCACCACGTCATACATGCCAAGATCGGTTTGCGATAGGAGACTGGCACTTGAAAAGTTCACGTAGACATCAATTCCTAACTAATATTTCAACAGGGCATCTAGACAGTATCTCCAAATCCCCCGACTTCGTTGCAGTAGTAAGTAAGCCGATTTCAAAGTATTCATTGGTTCTGATTAGTCGTCGTAAACCAAAGGCTCCCTCTTTACCTCGATAATATGGTATTTGGTGAAGTGCGAAGAGCCGCACGTAGTATTTACCCAGAATAGAAGGCCTATTTGGGCTTCGTCTCATGTCTGATTGTACAAAGTTTCTGCTAGTCGCGAGCCCCTTAGAGGGTAAATCCATTATGGGTTCAACAGTATCAGAGGCGGTGCGGGACATTATATTATCGTATTCTCGAAGTTCTTTTAACTTCTTACATACGACGTCAAGCAGGGTCTACGAGTCGGCGCGGTCTTCAAAGTAAGGGTGTTTCGATTAACGCCATGCTCTAGTAGCTGTAGAAGCAGATAGAATAGGAGAAATGGTTTTATTCCTACGAATGGATGAGCCTAAAGCTCTCAAACATAGTGATGAAGAACATGCCGGCTGAAATTGAGGCCACGAACAATGTTGCCAAACCGATCCACTGAGGACTTCCAACTGTTTGTAGATAGAACTGGATCAACAAGGATGATGCAACATCAACGTATGAGAAAGCCAACGCTTTCACTAATTGTCCACTGTGTGAATTAATTCTAAGCTTCCCATCATCCTCGCGCTGGAATATTAAAACGAGACATGCGACCGCGATGCCGATAAAGGCGAGGACCCATAGAGTGACGATTTGGTAGAAGTAGTGTGGCTCTGAGTGTTGTTGGGGTTGATCAATTGAGTCAGGCGTGTCGATGAAAATAGGCAATTCGGGTCTAGATTCGTTCTGAGTCGCTATAGAAAATTAGCTTGAGCCTCACTTAAAGTATACTGAATCACTTACAGGCTAGTTCTAGGCTTTGTGATCTCTCAGACTTGGAGTCTGTTTGCTGTAGAAATGTCGCGAACATGGCGAGAAGGGGTTGAAAAGACCTAGTTGGCTTCAAGGTGACTTCAAGTTGTCTTCGGTAATTGCGTTGGGGAAGTCGCAGCCTATATATTTGGCGGCCGCAATATTTTGGGGCGCCCTCTCTAGCGAACAATGGGACCGGCGCACTTGCTAGCGAACTATGTTGTCAATGACTTATTAATCAGAAAAACGGACCGCTGCATAGTCCCTGGTACTCCCTTCGCTCTATGAGAGTGTAGTCTGGTTGTGGTTTACCATACAGGGCATGAGGCTCCACATAGTGCGTGGGTAGTTGAAGCTACCATCTGGACGTGGATATTGAATTACTAAATATACATCTACGTCCAGATGGTAGCTTCAACTATCCACGCAAGTGGAGCTTAGATGCTGATAGAAATTAGTTACGATGGCTTAGATCTTTCGGCACCCATTGTGTAGGTGAGCGTATTCCTGTTGCACTTAGGCTGCAGTACTTTAGAAGCCATGGCCAACACAAGAACAACGCCAGACTTTTGCAAGAACGGCGATAGTAGTAACCGAGCTAAAGTGCACCACTTAGAAGGAATGATCTCAGATATGCACAATACAACATGAAGATACCATGATCAGTCGGGCTTCAATGACTATCGTTGTAATTTTGAAGACAGGGCTCACGGATCGAGGCATCAAAGTCGCTGAATTTGATTGGACACCATTACTCCCCCAATTCTTCCGCTGACCATCGTCTACACCCCGCGTGTCATCGAATCGTTGCCCTCATCCCGCCTTTTCAATGTGTGAGCTTTTCACTGGTTGGTAATATCTTTGTTTCTAAGGAACTGGTGAGTCTGCCGCAAATCACTCGAGAGCTGCCATTGTTCTGAAAGTATTCGGTGTGTATCACGAAGCGGCCGAAAATCTGCAAATATGAGCGGAAAATTTCTTCCGGATTTCTCCATCGGCATTTCGAGAGAATCGCATGTACGAATCACGACGATCGTTTGCCATATCTGACGCACCAAGTGTAATATTCTGGGCGTGATTCGACGAGAAAGCGGCACGGGGATAATTAGTTCGATTGTGCCGGGCGCAGTCAGGTACGAGACCCAGGTCGATGAGCGGCTCAAGCACACTGGTCGCGAGCATCGGTAGTTGTAGTTACCACAAGGTTGATTCGCTTTGGGGAAGGTGCCGAAACAGGTAAAGCGTCAAGGCCCAGCATGCTCGCAATGCCGATCCAGAATCACCTCATCTCAAGCCGCCGACGGCAGTGCGCACCAACCCCGCAACTTTTTCTGCCAGCCCGCCCCGCCAATGGCTGGGGTTTGTCAAGCACTGACAAGACATTCGCTGCCGAATCACTTGGCTCTTCTTACGATGAGACTATTCATCCCGCTTCTGATGTCAGGCCGAGCGGCCGGGGTGCCCGTTGCGCCCAGCAATTTGGCTGCCATCTTCTTCACTTTTCTCTTACTCCATCCAATCCACCCTTTTTCGACCTTTCTCCGGCTTCTCCTGCCTCCGTCGAGTCGTCATGGTGTGTGGGGTTTAGTCGATCTTATGGAATTTCGTCCTTCCCTATTGGATGGATAGGACCGTCCGCCCAGCAAGCACGTTATCGTCGCCCGCAAATAAGTAGTACACTTCTTCTCCGGACGTAGCTGCTTCCATCCTTTTGCACATTCCCTCCGGCTGGCTCGCCGCTGCTGTCATTTCGCACAGTAGTCTCGTCATCGCTCCAAGCCCGCGCTCACCCTCGGCTTGAGAACCTGCTCGGTTGGAAAAAGGGCTGGACCCGCCGCCAGTCGCTGTCTTTAATCCTCGTTTCGACGACATCCATCTCTTTCCTGCGCACTCTCTGTGTTGTTCTGACTCGACCGTCCTTGTGCCTACCACGGCACTACAACCACAGCTTGTTGCTTGCAGTGTAAGAACAACATGGCAGACTCAGCACCCGAGAATGAAAAGAAGGTCGAGCAGAGGCCTGAAGGTGACGCTACCTCCTCACCAGTAGATTCCGACGTCGAATTAGAGGCGAGCAGCATCAATGAGAAGGCGCTGTTGAGAAAGCTGGATATCAAACTGCTTCCTGGGCTTGTGGTTCTCTATTTGCTTTCTTTCTTGGACCGGAGCAATGGTCAGTAACTTGGGATGACGGATCCACCTGAGAGTAGCTCGAAAGCTAACGGTCCGAAAAGTTGCCAACGCACGTTTGGAAGGACTTACAGAAGATCTTGGAATGAGTGAGTCCCGAGTCGCCATCGTGTTCAGATGAATGGGACAATGCGCTAATACTTTACAGCCGGAAACCAATACCTGACATCTCTTACGCTGTACTTCATCGGCTACGTATTGTTCGAAGTTAGTACACCTGCCAATCATGCCGTCTTCCTGTAGTTACAGCGACATAGCATTACGACATCACTATTCTTAGGAAGCGGGGTGCTAATAACTTTCTCGAAACGAACAGATTCCCTGCAACATCATCCTCAAGCGCACGACTCCTAAAATCTGGCTTCCGACGCTCACTCTACTCTGGGGAATCGTGTCCACCCTCATGGGCATCACGCAGAATTTGTCCGGCTTCTTCGCAGTGCGCTTCTTCCTCGGCGTTGCCGAAAGCGGTCTCTTTCCAGGCGTTGTCTTCTATCTGTCCATGTGGTACAAGCGTCATGAGAGAGTGTACCGCGTAGCGCTATTCTTCAGCGCAGCGAGTTTGGCCGGCGCATTTGGCGGAATCCTGGCATATGTGAGTCCCTTCCTTCTCACTCCTCCATCTCCCCACATCGCGCATTCCACCATCCAACATCAAGACAAGCCAAACGTCTCAACCCTCCACTAACGCCACCCCCAGGGCATCGGCAAAATGAAAGGCGTCGGCGGCCTCAACGGCTGGCGCTGGATCTTCATCATCGAAGGGCTCCTCACGGTCGTCATCTCGCTCTTCGCCTACCTCTTCATCGCCAACTACCCGTCCACCGCGCCCTTCCTCACCCCCAAAGAACGCACCTACCTCTCCGCCCGCCTGACCACCGACTCCGACGCCACCGCGGCGGAACCCTTCTCCTGGGCCGCCGTCGCCCGCTGCCTGCGCGACCCGAAATGCTGGCTGTACGGGCTAGCCTTCCACACGCTCTCGCTGCCCCTCTACACCCTCTCCCTCTTCCTCCCCTCCATCATCAAATCCCTCGGCTACACCGCCGCCCGCGCCCAGCTCCTCTCCGTCCCGCCCTACGCCCTCGCCACCATCCTCACCGTCGCCGTCGCGTACGCCTCCGAGCGCCTGCACGCCCGCGCCCCCTTCATACTCGCCTCCAGCACCTGCGGCGTCGTCGGCTACGCCATCCTCCTCGGCAACGCCGACCCCGTCGCCCGCCCCGGCGTGTCGTATGTGGGCACGTTCTTCGCGGCGGCAGGGATATACCCCGCCACGGCGCTGGCGCTGGCGTGGCCGGCGATGAATGTCGCGGGCCAGACGAAGCGCGCGACGGCGTGCGCGCTGCAGATTAGTGTCGGGAATCTGGGGGCGGTGCTGGGGACGCAGTTGTACAGGCCGGCGACGGCGCCGCGGTATGTGTTGGGGCATGCGTTTGCGCTTGGGTATATGGTGGCGAATGTGGTTGTTGTTTCTGTGTTGTGGTGGGTGTTGGCGAGGGAGAATCGGAGGAGGGAGGCGGAGAGACCGTTGGGTGGGGTGGAGGGGGCGGATCCGCAGGATGTGGTGGCGGAGAGGGGGGAGCAGGTTACGGGGGATGATGATGTGAGGTGGAGGTTTAATATCTGAGGGGATGTTTTGGGTGTGGGGTGGAGTGGATGGTTGGCGGATTTTTGGTGAAAGAGGTGGAGGAATGATTGTTGGATGAACTGAAGATGGGATGGAATATGACCGTGGTTCGTTTGCCTGCGTTACTGTTGGTGAGTGATGGTTTCCACTTTTGCTCTAATACCTGAATAGAGTTTTTATACATTGCTAGAAGGGGGTAAATTGAGAATGTAGATAGTCAAACAGTCTCTCGTCCAACTTTTCCATTTCAGCAACGTCTACCACAACAGGCGTGTACATAAAACTACACCACCCACGCCCAACTACCCCCAGCAACCCCCTCACTTCCCCATCCTCTAACTACGTCTTCACCGCCTCACTACCACTCTCGACCTCCTCCCCCTCCCTCGCATCCTTCAACCCCATCAAACTCGTATCAAACCCATTCTGCTGCAGGTACTCGCGGAAGCGCACGTCCTCCTCGTCAATGGTGTCTTGGCCGACGTCGGGCAAGAAAAAGAGCGCGACGACGCCGGCGAAGATGGCCAGCGCCGACGCGACCCAGAACGGATCCTGGCCCTTGCGCGTCGGCGTCGGCGCGTTGTCCTGGATCACAGGGAACACCCACGTGCCCACGAAGGCGCCGATCTTGCCAATGGCGGCGGCGATGCCGTAGAATTGGCCGCTTTTTTGGGGATGGGATTAGTAAAGGGGAAATTGGGGGAGGAGAGGGGATCGGATGAGGGGTAAGTGTAGGAGCGCGGGAATGGAGAGAGATGACGAGGGGGGGGGGGGGGGGGGGTCAGGAGATGATGGATGTGGAGAATGATCCGTGATTATACCTCCAGCTCGATGGTTAGGTGGATGTAAGAAAATAGCTAACCGTAAATGAGCGAAAAGGACAACTAAGAAGAAAAGAGAAAGAAGAGGGTGGATGTGAAAGTAGAAAGTGTAGATGGCATTCTAACTCTGTATATGCGCGCATATGCAAATAGAGTTCGTTGGTGGCATGTGATACATTCTACACACGTGCGCGCATGTGCGCGCATGTGCGCGCATGCGCGCACGTGTGGAACCTCTGGTCGGTAGCACTAGAGGCCCAGGAAAATGCCGAGATCTGCTACCCGGATACATGCGCGCATGAGCGCCTCCCGCGGGAATGCGGGATAAGAAAACGTGCGTTCATGCGTCTCAAGAAGCTTTTTCAAACTACAAATCAAAAAGACCCTATAGTAGAAATACATCTACCGCCATTTTCGTCTTTCATGTAATACAAGTTGACAACGGCGCTGCAGCCCTCACCCAAGTTGTCTCTATTGTCAATCTCTACCTCCAACGTTATAGTAGCTGGAAGGGCGATATCAGCGGTAATCCCTTTCTGAAAGTTCGGTTCAGTATTCGCAACCACTAACGCATCGGTTTGAATTCTAGGTGAAACGAGGATCAATTTGAAGCTGGGAATATTTACCTGACCTTGTGTAGTTCTTTTCCACCTGAACTTAATACAACGCGCAGCACTTTCTCCTACTCTTCAAAGACTCTACGGATGCAGTATGTATGTCAAAAGCCAGGGTTGGTCCGCACGATTAGTGAAAACGCTTGAGATTGTTTCGAATGCATATGAGACTTCTTTTGTCCTTTTGCATCCGCGGTTTCTATCCTGTAGGCGCTACGGTCACTCAATGATGAATGATTCGATTGAAAATAGATCTTCAACTACATGATAGGAGCCGCATCCATCTTGGTCGGAAGACGCGGACTTTCAAGGTGTGATGCTAGTAAAGATGAGCGTTATTCCGGTAAGTGATCAGTCCATAATTCGACTCTATCGGAATGTCGAGGGCGGAGAATGAAAGGGATGAAAAGACCTCCTTCCGGAAACATCCCGACGATCTAACATTTCTAAGAAAATCTCCGAAAATCGACGTTCCCAGCATTCGTCAGGTCATTTCTCAGGACAAAGGTTACTCTGCCGGGTGGCTAGTACATGATGCTCTATGTAACAACCAGGACTGAGAATGAGCAGTATCTGAATGCCCTTTTTAGGCAAAATTCCGACACCACAGGAACCCAAGGAAAGCTTCTCATCCGTCGTGTTACTCATTGAAGACAAGGCAATTCGTGGATATATAAAACCGCCTGGTCCTCTCCATCTCAATGAACAAACACCAAGGAATTCAACTCCTCCCATCTTGCAGCCCATCCATCAACACACGAAATCTTCGGCGACCACAATGAAGGCTACTTCCCGCATTTTGATTGCCCTGTCCTTGATGATGGGGGCGTTTGCCGCTCCAGCTCCTGGTGCTGACTTGGAAGTACGACAATTGGGCGGCGGAAACCCATTTGGTTCATTTCTGGGGGGACCCCCAGGCGCGCCATCCCAGGTCCAAAATTCTCAGCCAGCCGCTCCAGGCAATCCATTCAACACTGTTCCCGCAAAACAGCAATTTCCACCAGGCACCTCTCCAGTCAACAACAACGTTGGGCCCTCCCAGAACACAAATATCTCGCCCAATACGTTCGCTCCAAACACCAATAGCAAGACCATCGGTGACATTCAGAGCCAATGCAACTCCGAACAAGTCGTATCCTGTTGCAATGATTCTAGCCAATCTTCTGCAGGTGGTCTTCTCGGCCTTGTTGTGGGTCCTATTCTCGGCGGATCGTGCTCTGGCGTCACTGCAGATCTGCGTAAGTTCCCCCTTCTCTGAGAAGACTTCGACTTTTACTCACAAATGCGGCCGCAATAGTCAAACTAGTCGACGTTCTCAACCCAAGCAGTATGTGTGGAAACGACGCTTCTGTTCGATGCTGCAGCGGAAACCAAAACACTGTACGTGCTGCGCGCACCGTTTGAAGACATTCGAGCTCACTGATTATAGGGTCTACTCAACCTCGATCTTGGCCTCCAATGCTCCAATATTCTTTCCCAGTAAGCCCGTATGGGGAAAGGTCACTTCGGAGGAGCGCTCTACCCCGCATCCTAGGTAGATGACGTCGTCCGATCACCTCGATGAAGTCGCTGGTGCAAAAGCTCGCAAAACGCCTCAGCTTGACAGTAAAAAGAAAATCCTTGAGAAAGTAGAATTGGAGATTGACAGTGGACAGGATATAGGGTGTGCGTTGGCTGTGTTCTTTTCTATGCAGATGAAAGCTTCTGATCTTCGAGATCATGCCTTCTCATGCCTCTCTTACCGACCTAGAAGTGGTGGATTATATAGGCGGACACTCTTTGGTATCAATATTCAGCCACTATTCCATCACAATGTCCGTGCCTGTTGTACCAAACTCACTTCTCTCTGCCAAGAGCTGCGCCGCGCGGATAATTTGTTCTTGGAGACTATCGTACGCTTGCAGGTTGGCCATGCTGGAAAGGAGGCTTTCACGTGTGAACTGTGGATCATTGAACCCACAGAAAGCTGATAGAATGCTTTATAACAGGCGGGATCTAGACATGAGAAATTGCCGTTGCATGCTACGCTGCACCTCTCGTAGATATTCTATCTCAAGAGCGTAGAAAGTGCGGGAGCAAGTCCACTTAGTCTTCATCTTGATATTCTAACCAAAATGCCGTCTTCATCGGAAATGTGTTTATAACAGCAGGCGTATAGTTGAGCTTTTTCTCTTCTAGGTATTGATTCCAAAATTAAAGAAATACGTGAACGTCCCACGGCTGGTTTATTATCCAATCATGAGGTTGAAATTGACGCAGCTATAAGGAAATGGACGAAGCCTTTGCATGTGAGCGCTTGGGTCGTTGAAGACGTGTGCTACGCAGCAGGGATTTTAAAGGCTTACTAATGATAGTTTGCGTGACATCGGTTCAGAGGCCCTTGACCCCCCCAGATGAACTGTTTTTGCATCAAAACCGCAGCAGACCATTCGATAAGTAGTACGGTTCCAAAACATGGTACGGCTCCGAGTTATGATTTAGCCAAGGGAAAACGTGTGAGCAGGCACTTACTACTTCAAGACACAGAAAGGAAGTCCGGAGACCTTCCTAATTGAGTAACGGCCGAAATCAAACTCCATATCGTTTCAAGTCATCAGCTTACTTGTACTAGCATGCTGCCCTCTTGCACGCTAGTTCCACTCGATACTTATTTGTTTAAAAGAGACGCTCACAATGGCGACTAGGACGATCCCACACCCTCAACTCGGGTGGATGTCAATACACTCGTTGAGCTTCTAACACCGTATATGGATTAGAAGAACAGATTTCGGAAATCTATTGTGGGCCTACTCCTCGGCCGTCGAACAATCGAGTAACGATGTGCTCCACGTAAGGAATGGTTTTCTTCCGTCGTTTGATAATTTCCAAGGATTTTCGTCTAAGATGCGAATCCTTTCTATATTATCAGGGTTTTTTAGTTTATCGAGATCCAGTGCACTGTAGCCGGGCTACCTTTCCACCAAGGATCTAGACGAGCATTTAAACCGTTTATGTTCTATCTTGTAAGGGTTGATGGGTATGATTCAATCCCCGGATAAAAAGGCTCCACTTTTAAGAATTACTTTCATGTGGTTGGAAAGTGCTTTATGATGCTCTGAAGACATCAGTATGATTCTGCTAATCATATGATAGGTAATCCTGACTTAAACTTAGTCTGAGTTATAGAATGTACAGGTAGCGCATGCGTACTATGTTGTTTAGGCTCCTAGGTTTAAGTGATTAAACCATCTCTAGCCCTATATCGTTTTCATAAAGCGATGAAACATTGTAAAAGACTAGATTCAGGCTTTTCTCAAAGCTTGAGCTTTTAGGTGTATGGTCGAATGTGGTATACTAAACCCGTGACCTTGCATCTCCATGGGGCTTTGGAATGGCCTGGCCATGCTGCGTTCGACTGGCAGCTGCTGTTCCCGTATCTTGGATAATCTAGACAATCCTGCCACTAGTCTTTTCAAATCGGATCTCTGATTGAGTTTCTTGGTTGCGGAAACCATACAGCTCGTTAGTCCATGGCCATATGCTAAGGCGTGCATTATCCAGCTTCGGTACGCACTATGGAATTTAACTTACCATTCTTGTCCCCTCAAAATCCTATCCAGAACATGTACGGAACGCCAAGCTGTTTCTGCTACGGAAAGCTAATGTGGCGTCACCGCGTAGTCGGTTTTCGCCAACGCAAGAATGACGCAAAAGCCGCTCTGCACCAGATGGCTGGAAGGTGGGATCCTCCAATTGGTGTGAATATTCAGGCGGCTTAGAGGGTCCATTACAGAAGGAAGGATTCCAATCTGCGGGACCATACAGTCACAGCGATCCATGAAGCAGACTAACTCCATTTTGTACGGTCTCGGTTTCATTCCTGGCGGTGTGAGCTGAAGAAGCCAATTCCGCAAGACTGTGGCAAAGTCTATGTCTGAGAAAGGAAGGAATGCTTCCTGCCAGCTGAAAGTAAAACCGACTCGGGGATTCATTGGCTCCCTCAAATCAATCACGTGCTACAACTTCGCACAGGGTTGCAATCAGCCTTTGGATTGACCGTCGCATGCCCACCAGGAAAGGCCGCATCGAATTGATTATCGGGCCCAAACATGGGATCCATCGTAGGCACGCACTATTCGGCCCGAGACAAATTCAACGGTTCACCTTGTCGCGTAGCCCATATTCCCAATCCCAAACTTCGATACACCAGCCACCGACGGTACGGAGAGGCCGAACGGTCCGAGCTTTAATTTTGATTCAGCACCTGGTATGCTGTTTCGAATAAATTTTAAGTGTTAATGATAAATACCCTCAGGTATTGACTTTGTGTCCACTACTGAAATCACATCTTTGAAATGCGACAGTAGCATCTTGAAGATAACCCTCTTCTATTCCTCCACCCAACCACGCTTCCCCCCCAGCGAGTCACCCCACAGAGTGTCGAAGAACATCGATAGAACTTGACACCTCTTGGCCGCGTTCATTCGTCCCTTAGCCCTCCAATCGACGCAAAGATACATCAAAATGCCTATATTTTGTACTTATTGCGGTCGATCGTTCTCCCGGGACGAGCATCTAGTGAGGCATATCCTGACGCGTAAGGCCCTCTGCATGCTCAATGAGGATGATTATTTTCTGATTGTATCTACAGACACCGAGGTGAAACCTTACGAATGCACTCAGTGCCACATGTCATTTAGCCGCCGGTAAGGAGCCTTATCTCCCTTTATCTGGTTTTTGAGAAGCAAAGGGAGCGTCGCACACTCTGAATGCGGGAAGCTGACTGTTGTGTTGCATGCAGCGATCTTTTGACACGCCACGGCGTGGTGCACGGCCAAAAGCATCAAGACGTCCCAATCACTGGCTTGACTCGGACACCAATCGCATGTCTTTCTTGCGCGACGTCGAAAACAAAATGTGACAAGGCATGGCCCTGTGGCCGATGCACTAGCCGAAACCTGCAGTGCCTGCTCAAGCCCAGCCGCAGAGGTCTGAAGATGAACGCTTTCACACAACGGGAGGCAAAGCAGCTTGCAAACATTGCGAAGCAGCAGCAGCAGCAAAATACAAAGCCGCCGAGAAAGATAGCGCCAGCGGAAAGACCTATCACACGATCAGCCGCCGCTAGCGGCGCCGCGCCCCCGCGGGTGCCGTCTCCGTGTATTTCTCCGTATGGGCCACCGTCTTCTCAGCAGCCACCAGTGAAACCGTCCCAGCAACCACCAGTGAAATCCTCCCAGCAACCACCAGTGAATCCCCCCCACCAGCCGCCAGTGGAACCCTCCCACCAGCCGCAGCGATGCTGCAGCCACGTTTGCAAGTCACCGTCCGCAGGGCCTCAGTCAGTCGCATCATCCACCGCCTCCTCTGCGTCTGATCGCACGCCTTCTCAGGACCGAGAATCGGCTCCTGCAAGCAGCAACACGGATCGCGCCTCCACAGAAGAATATGTGTCCCCGTACAGCGTTATATCTCCAACAGGTTCGGAAATCATTGCTCGACCGGATACCACCAGTGAGCAGCTGGGACCTTCCTCTTCACAATGGCCTGCTAGCACGTATGACAGCTGGAGCCAGCCACCGCCCGCCACGCTAAACTTCACCCCACACTGGCAGGACCCCGCGTTACCGTCCGCATCAACGTCAGGGCTTGACAAATCCCAGACTAGATGGGCGCCTCAACAGATTGATCCCGCATCGGATCTTGGCGGGCTACTAATGGCGCCGGAGAGCTGGATGGACCTGGATGCTACAGTGCCCAGCGCTGATTTTACATTTGCTGATACCAGCTTCTTTCCTTCAGCAGATTTCGAGTGGTGTCTTTAATATGCTTGCTTTGTGTCGAGATATAGATGGACTGCGTATTTGGTCTGGATGAATAGCCGGGTTGTAAGGCTTTGCATCACGTAAGCTGGGGGTGGTTGAAGAATTCATGTTAATAATAGCCCGAAGTATTGCATTGCTTTTTCCATGACTGCTGTTGTTTCGCCGCCTTCGCACGCTGCGGACAGATTTAGACGTGGATATACAGCCAAATCAATCCAAATAGAGTTGATAATATCCGGAGTGAAAGCTCGGCTGGGCTTTGATGATGTCTGTTGAACTGAGATGGTAGTTATCACGTTTGTCGTTGACTACTCCTTCCGCTTCGGAGCTTTATCTCGCGCTGCTCTAGCTATGTCTAAAACAGACCTGTTTTGGGTCAGAAGATTCAACGCAGTTTGATCAAGTCGAGGATTACGGCGACCAGCCGGAAAAGAAAATCCAAGAAATTCAACTGGGATAACGGATTGTTCGCGTAGTAGTAATTCTAAACCATGTACCTATATATGGTACTTGCAGATCATCGAGAGGAAAAGAGGAACATGTGAAATTCTTGGCGCAACCAATCTATTCGCACCTAACAAAAAAGGGTAATGGTAAATTGCAGAAAAAGGAGCTATTTCCTGGGCTATCATGAGCAAACATGGCAAATGGAATCATCAATAGTAAGGCATGGTACATTGACCAGAGCTTCAGTCACGGCTTCCGGGCACATCGCTCGAACCTGGCGGAATTCGTGGGACCAGGACCTGCAATCCCCTCTGCACAAACTCATCGTCTATGGGACCGGGGACTTCGTAGTCGAAGGCGATGGAATAGATCCTGGCGATAGTCTCTATGCTTTCCGGCGACCATGGAGGGTCTTCTGGGTCGATGTCGAGCGCAACAATGCGTTTGCTGGCGGAAGAATCGGAGGAGCGGCTGCAAGAACGTAGCAGCTTTGCGTGCGACAGGAACTGGTCACCGTCGTGGCCAGAGGGTGGTGTGATGGTGGCTCCTCCATGCGAGAGCCAAAGCAGACCTTTCGAGGTGCCAACAAAGTCTGCCACGGTCGCGGCGGTTGCCTCGCCAACGCCCTCCTCCAACGCCCCCACAAACAGACAGACTTTGCTGGCTGCGTTGAAGCGCGGCTCAAGCAACTCGACGGCCGGCAGATAGCCGGTAAGCTCCTCGATCCTGACGGCCAACTGTTGCAGCCAGGCAGGCGGGGCAGAGGAGCCGACGTGGATGATGGAACAGAAAGGCCAATATCGGAAAGCGCGGCTTCCGATGGCTGTGGAAAGCATCACTGTTGCCGATCTCAACGAAAAGTCGTCGAAGTCGTGCGTGTGGAAGTCCAAGCCCGAAAAACCGTGGAACCTTAGCGTGTTTTCCCACGCGTTCAGAGACATCATGGGGCAGTCTCTGCGTTCTTGCTCCTTACCTAGCAGATGTCAGCAGCGGCATCCAGAGAATGAACCGCACGGCGTACTCACTAAGCCACCAGTTCGGGAGGATCCCGAACGTGAGCTTGATGTCGGGCGTCGGTCTAGTCGTCTCGACTGCGAGCAGCCTGCCGCCCGGCTTCAAAAGCTTGCGCACGTTTTGCATGGCTGCGTCAAGGTCATGGACAGTGTGTAGAGATTGGTTGGCAATGATCAAGTCGTAGGACGCCGGCTCAAAGGACTGCTGCGCCAGGTCTGCTTCGATGTCGAGCGTTCGGAAAGCCAGAGATGCGGCCACCGGGCCGAGTTGCTCTCTCGTCATGCTGAACAGCTCTGGACATATGTCAGTGAAGTCGTAGTGCACCCGTGCATCCAAAGAAGGCAAACAGACACGCGTGAGGGCGCCGGTCCCGGCTCCGATCTCCAGAATGCGTGCGCCCGGTGTTTGGACGGCAAACAGCTGCAGGACGCGTTGGACTTGCGAGGCAGTCCGCTGGCCCCTGAGCGACTGGCTGTAGTACCTGGTGAGAAGCCCATCTTCAACCAAGATGGATATTGGGTCGACGTGCCCGGAAAGAATCCCAGCGAGGCTCGCGCCCAGGCGGGTGAGCAGCTCTCCGTCAACACAGCTGCAGGCTGCCCGCTTGAATATCATCTCCTTGGCGACGTTGTCCGTCCTCGCCCATTCGGAGCTCGTAGCAGCAAGCGCATCACATGATGCCTGGTGCACCACGCCCTTCATCCAGTGCACTAGGCTCCGGCTGTGCCATGGCATCCGGCCTATCTCGTCGGGAGTGAGCTGGTCGAGCGTGTCGCAGATGATGTGGTAGGCCGCTCGTGTCAGATTGCCAATCCTTGCGATATCGTGTTCGTTGGGCGGCAGCCACAAGAGATATTGGAGCCCCTGACTCGACGTTGCAGCTAAGCTCGAGACCCAGGTGACCGGATGCACGGCTTTGCGGCGGGGTGCCGCTTTGGGTGCAGGCGGGAAATGCGCGTTCTTGATGCAAAGAAGTGCGTCGTCGTCATCGTTCTCGCCGAGCTCGATAGAAGCCTCGTATCCCCGCGTGCCTTGACTGCGGACTAGGACACAGCCGCGAAGCAGCCGGCCCTGCAATCCGCCTAGGGGGCATCCAATCGACATCTTCTCAATGAAGCTCGGCACTTCTGCGGCGCCGTCGCCCGCAAAGGTCATGACGCGGCTGCAGGCCAGTTGAATTGCTTCCTCGATCGTGGCGGGATGGATGCTGAGCTGCCTCTGAGCCGCCGCAAGCATCGAGGGCGTGAAGCTAACAATCCTCATCTCGACCGGAGACCGATCGCCACCAACCTCGATCGGCCGAGAGTCACTGCGAGAGCCGTCCGGCGGCTTGCGCATGGCTATGTAGCCCCGCAGGTACTCTCTGGTCTCTCGGCCAGGCGTGCAAAGCCGGACCTTGAAGACGTGTCGCGCACAGACAGACTGGGGCCACAGTGTGACCTGGACCTCGCCTGACAGTGTGTGGGGGCAGGGCGGCTGCAGCAGCTCGACGTCCCGCAGCTCGAAGCCAGCGACCGGCACGCCTCGGGTCTGATACAGCTCCCGCATGGCCTCGATGGCCATGAGCAGAGGCGCGCCAAGCGGGAAGGTCCAGGTGTGAAGCTCGGGTGCTGGGATCGTCTTGACGAAGCTAGGGATGCCGAGCAGCTCGGCGCTGCCGTGGTCCCATGGATAGGGGGGGAGGTCGTGCAGCAGCCTTGCAGCGCATCGGCCGCGGGACGCATTCACTCTTTCAAAATCCACTGGAATGCCCTTGGTGTGCAGGAAGCAGGCCAGGGCTTGCATCGTTTCCACGCCGCTGCGGCGCACGCTGAGGCACGATGCGTACGAGACGTGTATATCCGGGCTGTTGATGCCCTCGATCGACTGCTTGACGAAGCCGGCAAGAGAGTTGGCTGGGCCTATTTCGACGAGAGCACTCACCGCGTCGGGGCTCACGATCATTGTCTGCAACGCGTGCATGAACAGACCGGGTGCCATCAGACTGCACATCCAATGTTCGGCACTGATGCTGTTTTCGTTTGCGATGCGTGCACCCGTGACGGGCGACGTGTACAGCATGCCGTTCATTGCGGCTGGCGCGCCGGTATGCTGGCGCACCACGGCGAGATAGGCGGCTGCCACGGCGTGTGCGTCGCCAGAGTGATGGAACCCTCCCACTTGCAGATCTCCCACCGAGAGGCCGAGAACGGCAAGCTTTGACAGCAGGGCTGACAAGTCGCGCAGATGGCCTCTGAGCGTGACGCTGGAAGGGCTGTTGATGCTTGCAACCGAGAGCCGTAGAGGCGACGGGCCGACCAAGTAGCGCTGCAGCCCCTCCAGGCCCAGGCCGACCGTCAGGCTGCCTTCTTTCACGCTTGTTGAGCGGCCCGCGGCAGCAACAAGCTGGCCGCGGAAGAAGGCAATGGCAATGGCGTCGCGCTGGTTCAGCGCGCCGGCACAGAATGCTGCTGCAATCTCGCCGCTCGAGTGGCTTGTCACGGCGTCCGGACGCACTCCCCAGTCGGCCAGCAGCTGGACCAGGGCTATCTGCAGCGCACAGCGGAGAGGATAGATGAAGTCTGGGTTGTTCTGTCCCACCGAGCCGGCTATTTTGTCTGTGACGCATGAGAGACGGCCAACTGACGCACGCGGTTAGACTTACCAAATAGATTCCACTCGGCACCCAGATCCCGGAGGCATCTCTGCGACTCCTCCAGACTCGCTGCATACGCCGGGTACACGGCGACCAGCTCTCTCCCTATTGCATGCCAATGGGCAGTATCGCCGCTGAAGGCGAAGCCAAGACGGGGTGGGCGCCGCGCAGCAGTCGGCCGTACGCCCGCGTCCAGAAGGGCCACCAACTCCTCTTTGGACCGCACCGACAAGGCAGCCGTCCATGCGAATCGCGTCCGTCGGCGGGAGAGTGTAAGAGCCAGATCGCGCAGGTCGAGGTCGGCTCCGCTGTCCAGCTTCCGTCTGACGAAGTCGCTCAAGTCACTGAGGCCACGTCGGGCGCTGTTCTCGCTCTTCGCGCTGTATGGAATGACGACACGGGACTCGGGCTCGGACGAGTCGGCCGCAAAACGTCGCTGCTGGCGTAGCAAAGGGTCGCATTGCTCTAGGATCATGTGCACACTGGGGCTGTCGCCGCCGTAGCCGTTTATCGACGCTCTGGAAGGCCGCTGCTACATCCGAGTTGGCGTTGGAGATGTGGACTCTTGGGCGGCGCTTACCTTCTCTGCTGATGCCTGCGAGACAAGGCCTTTCTCGAACGCCATGATGATCCTGACGACGGCTGCGAGGCCCGAGACTGCTTGCAGCCGGCCGAGATCAGACCCAACCGACACAACCGATAATGCTTTGTTGCTTCCTCCAAAAACCGCCTTGATTGCCGTACTTTCGACAGAATCGCCGCACGCCTCCTGGGCCTCGACATATGCTGTGTCGAGCGGATCAAGCCCGGCTCTCTCGTAGCATGACCTGATCAACGCCTCCAGGTCGCACGCCTCGCAGCCTTTGGCGCTCGCGCTTTCGCGGATTACGGCGCGGATCGAGTCACCTTGGCGCAAGGCAGCTTCGAGTGGCTTGAGCACAATAGCAACCGCACCTTCGGCGGCATCCTGTTCTTGGTCCGATTCCGCTGGCGACGAACCGTTGGGAGATGGAGCATCCCGTGAGACCAGGTTTGCCGCAGTGACGAGCGCAACCTCGACATTGCCGCTACAGATGCGTTGGCATGCAAGCTGCAGCGCAGCCAGGCCGCAGCCAGCGGAAGATCCGGGGCGGCAAAGACCAAAAGCACGAGACAACGTCTGCACGTGTTGGCCATTGCCAGGTCCGCAAAAAGCCGCACCAGCTAATCCCTCGCTCGTGAGCGGAACTCCAGCTAGTAACCCATTAGCAGGCGCCTAAAGCCAGTCGGTCAGCGACACACCGTTTTCCAACGCTTCGAACGCAACCTCAAGCTCGAGCCGCTCCTGTGGGTCCAGAGCCTAAACATGTGTGAGTCTACGCGCTTGCTGTTCGGGCGAGTAATTACTTCTCCGAGGCCGAAAAAGCCTGCGTCGAATCGAGTGTCGTCAAGAAAGCGCTGAATCTGCATGTTGTCATATAAGTCTTCATCCTTGTGACATGCTAGAGCGCTTACCTCAGCGTGGCATCGTTGCGTGCCGAGAAGACTCCGGGCGCATAAAACTTCCCAAAAACCCTCTGCCGACCTCACATCTGGTGCAAAACGGCAGCCCACGCCGACGACGGCAATCGGCTCTGATTTACGGCTGCTTGTCAGAGCCTCGACGCTCTTCACCGCCCTGGGCTGACTGACACGCCTCGTTTTCGAGATACGGAGAGGCATCGATTTGCTTTTCAAAGCGTCTGAGTGGTCTCTGGCCTTGCCCTTTTTAATCATTCTTTCGTTTGTAGGTTAACGCAGGATAAAGGAAAAAGATGAAGCCACTAGATTGCGAAGGAATACATAACTTTATATGCCGTTGTCGCTACGTAGAGACTCCCTGCTGCTCCGAAGCAGTAATCATTTAGCTCGTCGCACCGTCGCATTCCTAACAACGGCCTCCTGACTCAGTTCGGCCATTGTCGCAAAACGGCAATAACCCGGCTTCCTTCAAGCATTCCTCCATACCAAACCCATCTTAGCGATCATCACCGCCAGCCGATACATCACCCAATCTAATAATAGGCTTACCACCATTATATAGGACCAATAAATGCAATAGAAATATGATTTTAAATCATAATTTTGAATAGTCTAAAAGTAAAGAGATAAATGATTATAGTCTACTATCGGTTTACTAGCTATAAACAATTTTTCTATAGGCAACTCCGCCCAACAATGCACATAAAGCACCTGCGCGATCAGCTGCCTGTACGAATACTGCATCGATCAGCCTTGGCACGTTGGCCTGTCCCATCAAGTCCTCGATAGACGTGCCCTCGCTCGGTCTGGCTGAGGGGTCAAGCAGGGGTCCCACCTGGTAAGCAAAGGAATCACAATTTGACGTCAAATTGCAAGCCACCGGATAGCTATTTGAGTTATTTATGAATGTTTACGTTTCAAATTCATTTGACACAAGTGTACCCAAGTACATTTCTATACAGCCCATTTCCCATTACCACATCGGGGCAGATGAACGCTGGTTCTAACGGGCAGCTACTACGTATGGGGGATGACGGGGAGCCAGGGGGTGTAAGAGCGTCATCGCTATCACTCTCAGATGAGTGGTCCGCATTCGGAAATGCGGACCAGGGCGGAGGGCGGATGGCGCTGCTGTGACGACGGCCGGGGCTTAGGCATGATGCGGTTCCAGAGAGCGAAGCAGGCATGGACAATTCCATACAACGTAAAGAACAGCGCAATGAGCATCTTGTAGTCGTAGTCATCGGAGATACTTGGCCATTTTGTGGTGACCTCTGTGAAGTAATTCGTGGCGGCCTGTGTCAAGTCATTGTGAGGTGGCCTCTGGTCGACAGGGCTGAGAATAGGAACGTCTCGAACAAGACATCGGATAGCGCAGGCGGAGGACGGAAATGGAGTATCCGCCAATTGTGGGTCGCCCAAACACTGGAGGCAGTCATCGATTTGACGGACCCTCCATACACAGCCGCGAAGGCAATCAGTCGCTGGAAAAGGGTCTACGGCTGGCGAATCTTGGCGACATTGACGGCAATCGGCTGTTCTGGGGGCGGGAGGTTTCTGGAGGGCGCACCCTAGCAGGCATGCAGGAGCGGGAAATGCCCGATGTTCCAACGGGCCACCTTTACATTGGTGGCAGCGGGGAGCGTCGGAGCTGGCCAGTATGCAGCCTAAGGCGCACGCGGATGGAGGGAAAGGCCTGACGGAGGGTTCAAAGTCGCCAAAGCACTGATGGCAGGAATCCGGTTCGCTGGCATGTTCGAGATTTTTCGAAGAGAGCCAATTTTCGTCGTAGCGGACGCACCCGAAAAGGCACGCAGAGGCGGGGAAGACGTGGTTTTGAGGGGCGAGGTCGCCCCAGCACTGAGTGCACGCGTCTGAGTTTGAGGCCATGATAGTTCTGAGCAAAAGCGGAAGATAGGTGAACAGAATGGACCTGGCTGTCCGTCGAGTTTTTATCGCCTCCTCACTCACTGTGTTGTTGCACACGATTGAACACCTCACTCGAATCCCTGCCCTTGCATGATGACGCGACAGGATCGAGCCGCGGCTGTTGATGAGAGGACTCACCACGCAGCAGCCACAGCCTGCGCCACTCAGAACTTCTCATACATCTTTTTATAAGCTTCCGTCGAAGGCTGTGTAGAAAGTATTGATAGCATTGTAAGTATAGAATCAGAGGCAGATGGAAGTAGAGGGTACCTACACGGGTCAGCATGATTACCCCGCACCACCCCAGCACAGACCATCATAAGCACCGGCGCCGGGCCGGAGCCGGGTCGTCCGGACACTGATATCACTGGCACCGGAGAGTTGCTGTTAAAAGATGACGCCTACAGAGGTGACTTTGCTGAAGCAGACACGATCCGACCATTTTCCCAATCCAACAAATGGCGACACCAGCGAATTCGTCGACGGAGCCTTTTCCCGTACTCTTTATTGGCGGTGTAAGTGGACTTGAATTTGTTGGGAAGGCGTTCTAACCATTTTTGCAGGGAAATATCACATTCGGAAACGACAATGTCCATTGGAACCACTCCTTGCGTATAGAGAGATACCTCGGTTCTCGGCTGGACGTAGTCGGGATCGTGGATCCCTCTGAGGACAGAGTGATCAAAGTCCTTGCCCAGAAGAGAACTTCATCGGCCGCATCATGCTACTTACGCACCCAACGTTTTGACGGCTTGGATGAAGCAGCATCCACCCTGAAGGCCAACGGGGTGTCTCCAAAACTCATCATTCTGGCTGTGCCCCCACATCTCCGAGGCACACTGGAACCTGGCCACAATCTGGAGGAACAGGTCATCAAGGCTTTTGGGAAATCCCCCGCAATCTTCTGCGAAAAGCCCGTGTCGACAGCCCGCCCTCATGAAGTCGTCGCCGTGGTCGAGCTTCTGGAACGGTCTGGAAATGTCATCTCTGTTGGCTACATGCTGCGATACCTCAAGGTCGTGCAGAAAGCTATGTCCATCATTCGGGAGAATGATCTGATGGTCATGGCCGTCAACGCTCGGTACACAGTTGCGTACTCCAAGATGAGAAAGTTTAACTGGTGGGACAAGTCCAAGCAGTGCGGCCCGATCGTGGAACAGGCGACGCATTTTTGCGACCTGTGCAGGTACCTTGGCGGTGAGGTGGCCATGGACAGCGTAAGAGCGCTTGCCCTGGAACACTCGGAGCCGCCAGGAAAGCTGTCTCACATGTCGGCTGAAATAGACGATTCCAGAGTTCCTGAGCACGAGCGGATCCCTCGGGCAACGATGGCTATGTGGTGCGTGTTTTCAAGATTCTCGGCTGATTTCTCAAGAGCCTTGAGTTGACCACAGACAGGAAATTTCGGAGTGGTGCGATAGGCTCGTTGGCTCATATCATTGCACTGCATGGCACAAGGTATTCAAACGAGATTGTCGTCACAGCTGATGGCTACCAACTCCGCCTTGTGGATTTGTACACCACGCCTACACTATATGTCCGGTGAGGCTGATTCATTCTGCATTGCTGGGAGTTTGCTGGTGCTGATTCAATGTTGTAGAACACCCCTATCGGAGAAAGAGGAAGTCTTTGCCTACCAAGACGATGATCCCTTTTACTCGGAGTTTGCCGCCCTCTTTGACTCGATTGAATCCGAACCTCGAGATGTAGATGTTGGCAGAACGGCTGGCTCTACAGACCCTGCCGCCACACCAGGACGCATACTTTCCACCTACGGTGACGCACACAAAACATACGAGTTCACGTGGAGAATCAGAGATGAGAGCGAGCGGCCCAGTGGTTCCCGGTGATAAAAAGATGCAGTCTGGGCACCGAGACTTCATTAGGACAATATCCAATTGTTCTCGGAGCTGTCGCGCAAGTATTTTCCGACTGCTTGCAGTTTCCCAAGAAATTTCCCGTAGCGAACCGTTTAGGATGGTCGTTGTGTTGTTCGATTTTCTGCCTGAATGTACGGAAGTCATTGCCGTAATAGAAGCTAAATGGTGTTCATCTGTGGTGTTCCGGTGGACCCTTGATGTTCAGGTTAATTGTGACCCCGGCTCTGCCCACCGGTACAGGGATCTTGCACAAGTAGATCGCCACACTCCCCTCAACCCCTCACAACATGGAGATGGATAATTCGAGGTAGATCACGTGAGCTCGTCCGGCTAAATCCACATTGGAGAACAGACATTAACTATCACAATCAAAGACATGTATATATACAGACCATTCTGACTTCAAGCATAGGACACCAGGTCAGTGGGAGACGTAGCAACCATGAAGCATTCTTCCAGTCTTTGTTCTCTTGCGGTCTTGCTATTTTGGTGCGTTGTGGGCTCTGCACACGCCATCAAGAGAAGCAACTCCACATGCGCCGAGGCATACGTCCCGCTCATCGAGTATTCCGGGTGTCACACGGACTCGTCCAGTGTTAGAACATTATCGGGGCTCCAGCTAAGCCTGTCCAATTCGAATGCACCGCATACATGCGCTCAAGCATGCGGGCTGGCTGGCTTTTCCTACAGCGGAGTGGAGTATTCTGAGTAAGTGGTGTCAGCTCTCCCACGATGCTCTTTCTAACTAATACCTCTGTCCATGGTATAGCCAATGCTTCTGTGGAAACACAATTTTGAATACGAGTACCCTAGCGGAGGATACCAGTTGCAACACTCCCTGTCCTGGAAATGCTTCTGCAACATGCGGCGCCTCCTATTTGTAAGTTCAGGCATAGAACGTTCCACTCTCAACGGAAATGACTAACGAACGGTCAGTATTGATGTCTACAAGATCCAAAATCCCAGTGCTGCTCCCGTCAATCCGGCATTCCCGGATTGTTCACGGCAGCCTCTTTGCGGGACTGCAATCTGCGACACCACTCTGACCCCGTTGAAACGCGCCCAAGGACTTGTTTCCTTGATGAACTCGACTGAGAAAGTACAGAACCTTGTGAACTCTGCTCCTGGCGTGCCGCGTCTTGGAGTCGTCCCATACCAGTGGTGGAACGAGGGACTTCACGGATACGCATACTCAAAAGGTCTAGGCTTCACAGGGTCTGGGGATTTCAGCTCCGCCACATCATTCCCTCAGGTAATCAACATTGGAGCAGCGTTTGACGACAATCTTGTGTACTCTATTGCTACTGTCATCAGCACCGAGACAAGGGCATTCAGCAACAGAGGACTCTCGGGCCTTGACCTTTGGGTAAGTACTTCTTCTAAACCGTTCATGGAATCTGACTCATAAGCATACAGACGCCGAACATCGACCCTTTCAAAGATCCAAGATGGGGCCGTGGCCCAGAAACTCCTGGAGAGGATCCATTCCACCTTCAAAGCTACGTTCAAGCTTTGTTGCATGGCTTGGAGCAGCCCGATGCCTCAGGCCACCGGAAAACGGTTGCCACTTGCAAGCATTACGCAGCAAACGACCTCGAAGAACTCGACTCAGGCATCACCCGGTACAGCTTCGACGCTCAAATCTCAGCACAAGATCTTTCCGAATACTATCTTCCGCCTTTCAAGTCCTGCGCCGTTGATTCCAATGTTGGAGCTTTCATGTGCAGCTACAATGCCGTTAATGGGTACCCGGCATGCGCAAGCCCACACTTGCTGCAAACAGTTCTGAGAGAGCATTGGGGCTAGGATGCGGACGACCAATGGGTGACTAGTGACTGTGATGCTGTCAAAGTCATCGAGACCGACCACCACTTCACCAATACCTCAGCTGAAGCCGCGGCGGTTGCCTTCAAAGCCGGGACCGACCTCGTATGCGCGAACTCGGACTGGGATGGAATCCAAGAGGCATATGACCAGAACCTACTCACTGATGCCGATCTGGATCGGGCATTGAGCAGGCTCTACGCTTCCCTCGTCAAGATTGGCTATTTTGACCCTGCTGATGACCAGCCCTATCGTCAACTCGGCTGGGAATCAGTCAACACTCTCGAAGCTCAAAGGCTGGCCTACGATGCCGCAGTCGCCGGAACTGTCTTGATCAAAAACGATGGCATCCTTCCTTTGGCCAAAAACAAGTCAATTGCACTGATCGGTCCATGGGCCAACGCCACCACGCAGATGCAAGGCAATTACTACGGCACCGCTCCTTATTTAAAGAGCCCTCTTTCTGCTGCTCAAGCTCTTGGCATTCATGTCGCGTACGTTCTCGGCTCCGGCATCAACACACCAGATCCATCAGCATCAGATGCCATCACCGCAGCGCGCAACGCCGACGTGACCATCTTCATGGGCGGAATCGACACATCCATCGAGACAGAGATGCTCGACAGGGACAACCTCACCTGGCCCGATGCTCAACTGTCACTAATCCGGTCACTCCGGCAGCTCGGAAAGCCGACCGTCGTGGTGCAGATGGGCGGCGGCCAAATCGACGACTCCGAACTCCTCAGCGGCAACGGCTCGGTCAACGCGCTGCTGTGGGCGGGCTATCCGGGCCAGGAAGGCGGCGCCGCGCTGCTTGACGTCATCGTGGGCAACGCGGCGCCCGCTGGGAGATTGCCGGTCACGCAGTACCCTGCTTCGTACGCCGAGGCGGTGCCGGCGACGGACATGGCGCTGCGGCCTGGCGCTGGGAACGCAGGCTTGGGCCGGACGTATATGTGGTATACTGAGGACCCTGTCGTGCGGTTTGGGTATGGCTTGCACTACACCACTTTTGATTTTGCCTGGACAGAGACGCCGTCGTCGACTATCAGCATTCAAGATCTCGTGGGCTCTGCTGATGAAGCGGACTGGGCTACTACTCTGCGGAAGACGGCGCTCAGTGTGAGTTTGGCAGTGACGAATACCGGAACGGCGACTTCTGACTATGTTTCTTTGCTGTTCATGAACTCCACTGCTGGCCCGGATCCTCATCCGAAGAAAACACTTATTGCGTACACTCGCGCACACGACATTGCTGCGGGGGAAACTTCTGATGTTTCCCTCTCACTTACTGTCGAAAGGCTGGTCCGGGTTGATGAGACGGGATCCCGCGTGTTATATCCAGGAACATACACCGTTTTCCTTGACTTGAGCTCCGAGCTTTCATTTGACTTCACTTTGACTGGGGAAGCAGTGACAGTGGAGAGGTTTCCTTCGTCCTGAAGAGCTGGAAAATTCTGAGCAAGAGATAGCTGCGTCGAATTGTGTTGAGGGTAAAAGACAGTTCTGCACACTCGTTTAATTGATGGTTTCCTCCCTACTCCCTATTCGTCATTGACCCTCCATATGAAGTTCCTGCCTCGTATCCGTACCGCCACTCGTGATGCCAGTGTATCTTTAATCAATTTATCCCCAGAGTGATCAGTTTAGTTCACATGAAGCACAGTATCAGGGCGGTTGAATTAATCATATACTGATAGCTGCTAAAAAATGTGACTCGCAATAAATTCCACAAAGCACAGAATCAGACGCTGTCTTCTGGGTAAGAGAGTGCTGCCTCTGTCATGACACTTTAAGAAGTGTCAGATGTCCGCCTCATCTCATCCGGAGTGATGACTCCGTTGCCATCCTTGTCGTACCTGGAAATGTGTTAATACTTCCAAGATTTCAGAAACAACGACCGCTAATGAAACAGCTTACTTGTTGAAACGATCAATGTACAATCCCATATTGGGACCGGGCCTCATGTATCCCATGTACTCGGCCATCGTCACGTTGCCGGAGGAGTCGACATCAGCCACCGCGAACACCTCATCATCGTCCGCCGTAGAATCATTCCCACTGAGAGCGTCCCGTTTCTTGGTGGTACCAGCTCCACGGCAACCTGTTTTGGCAGGATAGTAAGCATGGAGCGTTTCAAATACGAGGGGTTGGGACAATAAAATCACGTGGAAAGAGAGTCATAGAGGCTTACCTCCGTCACAGTTGCAGCAGAAAATGTTGCATCCCCCGACACCACAGCAAGGCGTGCCATCAGTGCCGTCTCCGCACTTCTGGATGCATGATAGTCCGGGATCGGGCAAACATGGGCCGACTCTGCAGCAATCCGCCAGAGCCATCGAGGCTGAGGAAAGCGTGAGGGACAGGTAAAAGAGGTAGTGCATTTCCAATGTATGAGACGATCTGGAGTTGAAGAAGATCCGGTTGGAGTGTTTGGGATCTTGCTGTGAAAGCATAGCTGGGAGCTTTTATATACCATCAACGGCACTGTGTTCCTAAGAATAGAGAAAGGTGTACACATGGGCGCACGTCATGAGTTCCTCTGCCATCGGGAGACTTTTGATCTTCCGTTACCTGAAACGGTTGTTACAACTGCTGGGGAGGCACCGGATGACCGGTTGAAGCGGAACACAAAGCTGTTGGTATTGGAATGGACATGGTTCCAAGAAAAGACATACAGTAATATGATATCTTCTTTTCGGAATATATGCAGCCACAATGCTTCTGTGTCATGAAGCCTCTGAGGCTGAGATTGAAGAGACCTGGAATATAAACCAATCTAAAATAGGAATTAGCCGAGAAATTGTTGGGCCAGTCTGCAGAACCCAAACTACAGGATTGCAAGTTTGAAACGCTGTAGATAATCCCCCAACCGCTCGGCCGAACTGCACGTGATGCGTACGTACCTGCTGCACCGTTCGTCATGATAGCAAGCTGTGCCACCACTAGTCTGACAAAGCCGGTCGTCTACAGAATCCTCCGTGTGTTGTACAATCAAGTTGCAGTAAGCAAGACACGTCAAACGGTCGCACCAATCAGTTCATGGATAAATAAAGAAGAGTCGTGGATCCTCTTGGCGCTTACTTCAAGCAATTGGACCGTCACTCTTGTATCGCATTCACACAAATTTTGCTCAACTTCTAAAAGAGATGCAACTTAAATTAAATTGCAATATTGAAGGAAAACTCAATTCTGTGAACAGTTATTTCAAGGAAGCATTTCAAGTTAAGATGATTTCGTTTTATTTTCCATTGGTGCCATTACCAGTCCCACCTTGTCAGATCCCGGCAGATTTGAAACATCGGCAGAGAGAATAAGCCGCAGTTACTAAGATAGAAGCGCGGCAACCGCCATACAGGTATTAAGGCCGAACAATGATCGACGTTGGTCTTACATCCATAATTATTAATGTTCACTCACACATAGTGCGGGGTAACAGTACTGGCCAGGAAAGAGTCCGGCAACACAATGTCGCGGTCGATCTGCTAAGCAGGGACGCCTTCACCAAGACTTCTGTGCTGTTGAATGCTGTCATTATTCTTTAGGGCAGTCTGCTTTCGTAAGTCTGTGACCTGACAGCTCGCATGTCGCCATAGCTGCCTTGAACGCGTAGTCAAGCACGATTCGGGCCCGATAAACGAGTGTATAGCGCTGCTGAGCCTCGATACCGTGATGATGAATGTGCCGCTGCTCGACTGCGCCAACATGTAGACGTACGCGAGCTGCAAGCCGCTCAGCGATAGACCCTTCTGTATGCGGCTGTGTGTGAACGCCTACGCGGCATAGAACAAGTACGTATTTCAAGACGCACCCACCCGCCAACCAGCTGGCTGAGGCACTCAAGTTTGGGGGCAGACATGCATGCTATTGGTGCCCCTCCTCCCCGATATCCCTCCGTGTCTTTGCTGATGCCGCTGGACCAGATGAACCTCAAGTTGAGGCGCCAAACACTCTATAAACATGGCATCCTCTAGCAATGAAACTGGCCTAGAGTTCGCGTACATCTAGCCGAAAGGCAACAACATCACCACTCCTCCATCACCATCACCCGCCGCCCCCACCCCCCTCACCGCCACGGCACCAAATTAGCCACCAAAGACCAAGCCGCCTGCTTCACCACCGTCCCCTCCTCAATCACCCACCCTTCTTCCCCAACCTCGCACATCCTCCAATCCAACCCCCATACCTCCAGCACCTCATCCGTCCACACCACCGGCGGCTGGCTCAACCACTCCAGCCGAAAATTCCCCCCATTACCCCTCTCGTCCCCGTCGAAATTAAGCATGACTTGGAGCCCGCGAGCTTCAATCTCGAGCAGCATCATTTGCAGCCGCGGCATGCCGCCTTGGAAAATTGCCCGGCCCGCCGCGGCGATGAGCTGGTGCAATCCGCACTAGCGCCGCGGCAGGGCGCGCTTGATGGATTCGACCGGCGTGTTTTGAGTGGCGTTGTAGGCGAGTTCTTCGGGGATGGGGTCGGCGTAGAAGCGGCCTGGTAAGTTAAAAAAACATGTCAGTAGATAAAGAGGGGGAGTAAAAGTAGTTTGTGTGCGCGCGGGTTTGTGGGCGCGAGGGGTGATGGGGAGCAGGGCGTGCACACCGTAGCTATCCACCGGCTCGAAGTTCAGATAGAGAGTCTCCAAGTGCGGCCATAAAGGCTGCTGCCGCTGTTGTTCAACTGTTGGCCAGAACAGTTCGGGGGACACGCGGAGGTCTTCGAGCCTGAGGTCGCGCAGGTACATTGACAGGTTCCGGATAGCGATGCATAGGATGTCAGGAGAGCCGGGCGTGACGGCGGGCTGCTCGCCTAAGCCCAAGGGCATGTTGCAGAATACCGCTTCAAATGACAAGAGGCTGGAGGTTGGAAGCTGGCTGATGCATGTTCCGAGGTCTGCGGGGAGAAGAACAAGTAAGTGGCTGGGGCAGATCGGATGCAGGAGATATGCGTACCTTTACGATATTGGAGTCGTTTTTCGGGATTTATGATGGTGTCATCGAGCCTGAGCTGCACATGGCGGAGTTCTTTCATCGTAGCCACAATACGTACTAAGGATGACGGGCATATGCGAAGATATTCTCCCAGAAGGAAGCTACTGACACAGCTCAGGTACGGTAACGTATCGCCAACCAAGTGAAGGTAGGGTCCAGAAGGATACATCCTTCCATCGTAAAACTGCTTCACTACGGACAGGGAGCTGAATCGAAGTGTGAAAGTCCTGCCCTTCGGCCACTCCAAACCCTGCAACACCTTCCAGAATTCACGGACCGACTGTGAAAAGTGTCGGTCATTGGCCGCGCCTCCGGCTTCAGACTGTGCCTCGTCCGAATCAAGAGGAAACCTGTGGCTGGCGTAGAAGGAGACTTGATGAATAATTGCACGACGTCGAGCTGGATCACGATTCATCAGTTCCTTGAACCGGCTCGGTGTGGGTGAATAGTCAAAGTCCTTCCTTGTAAAGCCATCGGAGCAAACGGAAATGTGCCGGAACGTCTCGCGCTCAGTAATCGCATTCCATGTCCGGTTGACTACCGCGTACTGAGAGAGCCCTGGCTGATACTGATACCGCGGCGGAAAAAGCTGGGAGCGTTCTTGGCGGTGAAGCTGGTCTAGTTGCTCTACAATTAGAAAAAGGACGTCCTCGGGAAGTTGTAGCATAGTGGAGGATACGGAACTTGATTGCGGAAAAATGGAACCGGGCGAACGAGTAAGTTAAATATCCCGGCCAGGCAGCAGCTCCAGGCGCATCTTATTAAGCGAATCACATCTAGAGCTCGAGCCATCGCCGATCGTCTGCCAACACTAATATTAGCGGTATAGAGTAATTAAGCTAGACAAAACAACATTTAATAGTACTAAAGTTCGTAGAAAGCGTAAGCGGCTTACCGAGCAATTAAGTAAGCGTTCTCGAAGTGCCCACTTAATTAAGTTTTACACTTAAGTGCTTATTAACTATAACTTCTACCCTACTAGGTTTAGCTCTTACTATAAGGGGAATTATTAGAGCTACAGCGCCGTATAGATTCTTATCTTCACTACTCTTTACTACGTTCTTTACAAGCCGGAGTTTTAGAAATATCTCTAAGAATAATAGCTAAATCTATTAAGATAGAAGTATAACGTATTTATAATTAATATACGCTTGCTACGACCTCGAGGTCACGCTTACGCTTAGTAAGTAAATTATTAAAACCTTATCTTGCAATGGTTTAACTTATAGAAGTACTCGAGAGTGGTACGTTTGTCTTGCGCATGCTATAGTAGGATCGGCTGCCTACGTAAACAAGTACTAACGATAGCTTTTCTCTATAATGATTTAAAAACCTACCATCCTTCGCTGTATATACTTGTTGCGCTTGCTAAGTATCCTAGTTAGAGCTGTACCAGGCGGCTTGACGCTTGTGACGGTGTTCCGTCTAAGTATTATGAAGTAATGGGTAGAGTCACGGCAGCGTGTTGAGTCTTATCCCAGTTATAGCTCGTACGCAATTCCGATAGAGCGGGAACGTCGCCGTTGCTAGAGAAGTGGACGAAGGTGCCCATATTTGTGCCCAAGACTCTGGATTCGTGCGGCATCGAGTGCGAACAGATTAACACACCGACCTCGGACAAGATAAGGCGTCGAAGGGACTGATTATATGTCATTATAGATTGAGCACATCCTGGAGTCGAAGGCGTTTAAGTACTTCGGAAATCGCCTTGCCGAGAAATACTTGAACCTCAAAAAGCTGCATAATAACAAGGGTGGCATGAAGAAGACTACTTTCGAGGTAATGCAGACAAAAACGATAACCTTGTGCAAGGAAGTTGGTGAAATTACCGGTGTCGCTGGTGCGACAAGAGAAAACCGGTCGAAATACTCCAGCAAGGATTGATAGTAATCATCAGCCAAGTTCCGGCCATTTGTAAGGTTCTGAAGATCCGAAACCAGCACTCAGTAATTGTGTAATGTATGTCCTCGGCAGCTCGACAGATTCCACGATACACCAAACTCCCAAGCTATGCGAGAAATCCTCCATCTGCAGGATAAATACCCCCAGTGATGAAGCTGGCATCGTCGCTGAGCAAGAAAGCTATCAACGCCGCAACTTCTCTGGGATCTCCTTTGCGGTCCAAGCACTGATACTTAGTGGGAAGTGGGTGGCCCAGCATCCTCTCCGATGCACGGGACAATGGAGTGTCGATCACCCCACTAAAAGGCCATCAGCAACCGAGTAGAGGTAGTCCTCTCCGGGAATACTCACGGTAGAACGGCATTGACCCTGATACCAGATTTTCCGCCCTCTCTCGCCGCGGACTTGGTCAAGCTGACGACGGCGGCCTTGCTTGCGCCATAGGACGAGGCCGTCGGCGAGCCGATCATGCCCGCCACGCTCGCGACGTTCACAATCGAAGCCGTGGGTGCAGCTCGAGCGAGCTGTGCTTTCATACAAAGGAATCTATTGTCGTGTTGCATTAGCTTCAGCGCCCAGGAAGGATGCAATTTCCGTCACTTACACGCCGCGGCAGTTGATATCCATGGCCATTTTCCACGCCTCCGTATCGATGTCCTTGATGAGACCGTAAGTTCCCGTCGTGCCGGCCACGTTGGCCGCGCCGTCCAGCTTGCCAAACTCTTTTAAGGTCTTCTCCATCCATGCTTCGACCTGCTCCTGATTGCGGACGTCAACGATGGCTGTAATGATTTTGCAATGCGGAAATTCTCTCTGAAGCGTTTCTGCAGAGTTATTCAACTGTTCCTCGTTGAAGTCGGCGAGGGACAGATGGGCACCGCGCTCAGCGAGCAGCTTGGCTGTTGCGAAGCCTATGCCGCCTATTGCCACTCCGGTGATGGCAATGAATTTGCCAGCGACGTTTGCGGTAGATGTCATGATGTCGTTCGTTTCGATCAGAAGTATGTTCAGGGTTCTATGCTGATGCGTCCATTTGCACGGGCTTGGCTTCTTATATTTGAGGGCTACCCACAATTCGTGGTTCATGCCGATTCGCATTCGGATCGGATATGTAAATTGACTGAATCCGGCATGCTACTCGGAGTATATTTAGGGGGTATACATACTTAGATTAGAACGCAGCGAAACCGAGATACGAATATTTCGTGCTTCGGATAGAAAAGGCTGACGCATACTATGCCACTAGCTTTGTAAGAGGTGGATTCGGTAAAATCCTCTTTGTAGAGTTAGGCGGTAAATCCATTCACCATTCAAATTTATTACGTTATTTGGTACCTACAAGACGTCATTTTGCGGAATCATAGAGTGGAAACTCTAGTAAGTAGAGTATGTTATCAGGCTGGCCGACACTACGAATCTACTTACCATAGACTGTGAGTGGGGACGATGTATACTCGTGTAAGAGCCGTCTCGTAATGGACCTTCCGCTTAGGAATTCTCTGCCAGCTAACGTCTACCTAATAGCTACCAAGCCTCAGGGTCACGGGAACATAATTGCAAAGTCATTTTACAAGGACTCTATCATGCTCCGTAAAAGTCTCTATTGCGAAATGAGTGTCCATCTTCAAATAAGTATCTATCTTAAATTCGTGTCTAAAGTGCGCTAGGGTCGTCTTCAACGTCTCTCCACCTCTCTGCATGCCATTACCCAATATGGCAGCCAAAATGGTCGGCGAGCTTCTCACGGAAGGCCTCGACCAGACAGTCCTCGATGGGGTCGCCTGCACCGATCAGCTGGTTATTGTCGATGAGCCAACTCGAGTAAGGGGTGCTGAAATAGCACTGAATGTTGTTGTTGATGCCGCCGCATTCTAGGTCCTCCCGTCAGAAACGAACACACTCATGGCGGGATAGTGCAAGGTCAAACTTACTTGCGATGTGGTCGTCGAATTTATCGCATACCTCTCCCAGTTTATAGACTATACTGGAATCGGTGGTGGAGAACGCAACACGGTAGCGCTGCAGCGCATCTTCCTTCCATTTCTTGATGATTGCAGCGTCGGCGATGCAGTCGCGTTTGGCTATCATAGCTGTGTGAGGAGCTTGCCCGTGGTATAGATATGGGATTCCGAGTCCTCACCGATATCATTGACAGCAAAATCTCCAGAAACAGGAGTCGCGGCGGAAGAGGAAACGCAAAGCCCCAAGGCAATAGCGGCGATGGCAGAGTCGAGGAACTTCATAGTGACTGGTGTGTTTGTTGTGGGAAGTAGAACGAAATGTGGTCAATGACTTGGAATAGGCGCTGTTGTAAATGCGATATGAATGTGGATGATGCTGATGAAGTTTTGGACGGTTCTTCTGTCTTCTTTTATAGTGACCCCGATGGGCTTGCTGAGATCTTTTACTCGGCTCATAATGCTTTACCTGTCGAAAAACACATGATGCAACGCTGGCATCATCTGGAAGTGACGGCATCTTTTCAGCTTGATCGCTTGATTCCTTGCACACAGAACGCTTTAGTTGTCTATGTGGGGCTGAAGGAGTTGTCGAATACGGAATATGGTGGCTCTTTAATTGCATCTCGAGTCTCGAGGATTCACTGTTAAGGGTAGTTCGCAGTAAGCTGACTTGCTAAAAAGGAATTATAGTAAGCCCTAGGCTGTATTAAGCGTGCCCAGAGCTGAAATTCAACCAGGCGACCGTAAGAGAACTGCGCTTCCTCACGATTGGGCTCGCCTAAATAAGACACGCTTACATGGGGGCCAGAGACTATTGGTTTCAGCAAGGTATACTTATACGCATATTTACGAGTGCTAAAACAAAATGGTGCGCTTTGCACGGCAGTGGAGGAAAATCTCTACCATTTCGACGGTCCAGATGATCCAGGGAGGACAGATGGCAGGATTGAGAATACCCATATCTCTCCCCGCCCTCGCCTCATTTTCGTCGAAATTTATTTTCCGCCGCAGTCTGTCTCTTGCGAAAGCGCTTCAAGTGGTCAGCTTTATTCTGGACATCACGTGCTGCACGTAAATCTCTCAGGAGCAATTTTGACTTGGGCTTTGATCGTGCTGCAGCACTTTTTCGAGAATTGTAGTAATTTGTATCAATGCATTGTGATCGTGAGAGTGTTATAAAAATTATACGAATATCAGACTCTCGTGTCCCTAAAGCTGTGAGAGGCGTTTACATAAGCGATATTCGTTACGTAATGAGGAGGAGTGATTCCCGGCCGGTGGCAGAGATAAGCCGATCCGTTTTCACTCCTCAGCTCCCTTGGTCCTCCACTCCCACAACATGGCTGATGCTCCGATCCGCCGCAAGAAAATATCGTAGGTTGAACTTGTCGACTGGCCTGGGAACAACTAACACGCTGCCAGATGCAAGCGTTGCCAGACTCGCAAGGTTTGTAATTTTGCTATTCGGGAGAGATCCATTCTCACACTCGACAGCTTAAATGTACACGGACCAACCCATGCTCGAATTGCTCGGCGGCTGGTCATACATGTCAGTTTCGTGAGGATGACGCGCGGAAACGTCCTGTCGCTCAAGACTACGTCAGGGCACTCGAGGCTCGCGTGGCTTCGTTGGAGTCCATTCTTAAGCAACTGAAAGCCGAGTCTCAAGAGGGCAGGTTCAAATTGCTTGATTCTCTCGATTTCGAAGACCACCTTGCCAGCTCAAACCAGCATGACGCGAAGAAAGACTCCTCACCGTCGCCCTCCATGGCGTGCCTCCGGCGGACGAACGATGGGCTGATCTCTTACCACGGCCCCACGAGCATTTACCATGTGGGCTCCGAAACCCCTCCAGAGGTCGATGACCTGTCTGTCAGTAACGCTTGCTCATCTCCTGGGACCCCAGGGCCGGCAGTCTCCAATGATCCCTTTATCGAACAGGCCGTTATTCTCTTCTTTCGATGGCAATATCCCCACTTTATGTTTATTTATCGAGAGGCTTTCCTACTAGACTACCTCCTAAACGCGTATTCTGGGAGATATTGCACTCAATCACTTCTTTACGCTGTCGCAGCCCTAGGCTCGCTAGGGTCCATGGAAGCGGGTCTCAGGGAAATGAGCGAATGCTTCTTTGACAAGGCAAGGGTGGCTGTTGAGCTAGAGCTCGCACAGCCGCATATCACCACTGTTCAGTCCCTGCTATGCCTTGCTTTCTATGAAATTGGACGGGGCAAAATCTCCCAGGGATGGCTTTTCTCCGGAATGGCCTTCAGAATCAGCCAGGACCTTGGCTTGCAGCGGGGTCTGAAGAATGACAGCAGCCCTACGGTCCGCATTGACCATGAGATCCGCGGGAGAGTCTACTGGGGATGCTACACCTCTGACGCACTTATCAGCTTGATCTTGGGCAGACCAGTGTTCTTTCAAGACCGCGAATCGGTTGTGGATCCCAGTGAGCCGCTACCCGACAATCCTGAGCTTGAGGCTTGGCTTGAATCAGGAACCACAGACTACAAGGTCTCAAAACTCATTCCGTACCTGAAGAGCCTCAGCAAACTTGGTGGAGTGATGCACGAGACGCTTTCGCGTGTCTTTGCACTCAAAGGCAGCTCCGGCGACGAGAAACAGGGTTTGATCCATCAGGTCGACGTGGATCTTGGCCGCTGGCTTGAGACGCTGCCTGAAGAGATCCGGTGGAACCGCTGGTGGCCCGTTACCAAACCGCTGGAGCCACACATTGCTGCGTTGCACCTAACCTTTCTCTGCGTCCGCATCTGCATCCATCGAGAAAACATGGTTTCATCTCGAGACGCCACGTCGGCCAGGTCTTCTCGGGAGCAGTGCGAGTCCCTCATTGGAATGGTCGTTCAACTCATGAGACACTACAAGAGCCAGCACGATCTCCGTCAGGTGCCCATTATTTTTGTGTACGCGAGTGCGCTTGCTCTCGACGGGCATGGTTTGCTGCAAAGACCTCGAGGTGGTTTATTGCAGTCCAGCACAGCGTCGACAGACTTTCCAGTTCGCGTCTTGAAGCGGGATCTCGAGAAATGCGGCAGAACATGGAAAATCTCCGAAGAGATCTATCTCAAGCTGACACGTAATGAATCCAGAGCCATCCCAGACGATGTCGCGGATGACGCTACCAGCAGTGACACACCATCAGCTGAACAACTGCTTCACAACGCATCATCAGAGCCTTTCACTGAGTTTGACGTACAAAACCAAGAACTGTCATTATTTGGATTTACTCCCTACCAACCAGATATAGACGCTTCTTTTTGGGACGACTCAATGTTTCCGAGCATGTAGCAACTCAACAAAGAGGAATACCGGCCGCCTTACCTATCTCCAGCACCTCCAACAGACGATCGATATCGGCCTCGTTGTTGTAAAACCCAACCGAGACTCTGACCCCTAGCCTATACGCCGACACCCTGATTCTCTCCCGCTCCAAAAGCTCCATCCACCTCTCATCCCTCAACGCCAGCACCGTCGCCTGCGGAGCGCGCTTCTCCTCCTCCACCTCGCCCACCACCGGCACGCGCAACCGCCCAGCACCCTCCCTCAACCGCCTCCCCAGCGCCCTCAAATGCGCCTCCAGCTCCTCCACACCCACATCATACAGCAAAAACCTTAACGCCGCCCTCGCCGCATGCACCGCGATCAGCGAAACATTCAAATGCTCAAACCGCCTCGCACTCCCATGATACACCAACCCCTCCACCGCACTCACCGTCAAATCCGCCCTCAAATTCGCCACGCCACCCGCCCCCACAATCGGCGGCGTCCCCTTCAACTCCCCGAGCACAGCCGGATCCACATACAGCGCCCCCAGCCCCGTCGGACACCCCAGCCCCTTGTGCAACCCAAACGCCGCCGCCGACACGCCCAGCGCCCCCACGTCGACGGCGCCGAACCCCACCTCCTGCGTCAGGTCCGCCAGCACGTGTATCCCGCGCGGCCGGAACGCGGCGCTTATCCCGGCCACGTCGTTGCGCTGGCCCGAGTGGAACATGCAGCTGGACAGCCCGACGGCGCGCGTGCGCGCGTCGACGTACGGCGCGAAGGTCGCGGCCGTCGCGTGGAAGTCGTGCGCGGTGCCGGTGGTCGGGATTTGGCGGATCTCGAGGCCCGGGATGGTGTCGCGTAGCGCGAGCCAGCCGCAGGCTTGGTTCGGGTGCTCGGAGTCGAGGATGAGGACGTTGTCGCCCGGTTGGAGGGCGAGCGAGCGCTGGATGAGGTTTAGGCCCTCGGTTGTGTCCCGTGTGAGGGCGATGGTGGAGGCGGAGGGCGCGTGCAGGTAGGTGGCGAGCAGTGCGCGGAGGTCTTCGGCGCGGGATTGCCAGGTCGGCTTGGGGTGTGGGCTGAAGGTGGCTTCGTCGAGGAAGGATTGGATGGCGGAGCGGACGATGAGGTTCATGGGCGGTTGGAAGGACGCGTTGAGGTAGGTGTGCGCCTGGCCCGAGGAGGCGTCGCGGTGGGTGGCAACGGGGACGAGGGCGCGGAGGTGGGAGAGGTCCCGCGGTGGTTGCTGGGGCGAGAGGAGCATGGTGGAGGGGGTTGTCGTGGTGGCGGTAGTGGAGGCAGCCATGATGATGATGGTTTGGTATGATGGAGAATGCGTAGCTCACCTTTACTTATACAGTAACTCTCTGGCAGGACACACGGAGTTGAAACCCCGACATGGCCACAATTCGATGGACTCCGACCTCCGTGTCCCCCGCGTCGGTCGTACTATTGAGATAACCGGTCATTTCAATCATGTTTCCCCGCACGTTGTGTATCATGATGGCGCCAAGTGTTTACGGAGGTCGAAGTCCGTCGACGGCGCGGGCGGCTCTGATTGGTCAGTTTTTCTCACTACCACCGAGACCGGCAACTTTATCACCTTCCCGGTATCTACGGTCCTATCGGCCGCGCCTTGAATAGTGCACTTCTTAAATCCACTGCGCGGCTGCGCAGCTCTCGCTGCTCAACTTCTCCACGGTGCCTCTCAAAATGACAGCTCCATCGACACCAGACATGAAGCATGCGAAGGATGACCGGCCGGCCTCGGAACACGACGTTGATGTGGGGGAAGCCACGGTCCGCCATGACGCCGATGATCTCCACCGCGCCCTCAAGCCCCGTCAGGTCGACATGCTTGCCATTGCTGGCGCAATTGGAACCGGGTTGATCATTGGTTCCGGTTCCGGGCTCGCGCATGGAGGTCCCGCCAGTTTGCTGATCGCATACATGCTGATTGGCGCCGTCGTGTACTTCGTCATGACAGCTATGGGGGAGATGGCGACGTGGCTGCCAATGAAGAAAGGCTTCGCTGGCTATGCTACACGCTTCGTAGATCCGGCCTTTGGGTATGTTCTTACCTCCGTTGAGATCTGCTTCATGCTCACTTCCCAGCTTCGCGACTGGATGGAACTACTTCTTCAAGTACGCCATCGTCCTGCCAAACAACCTCACTGCAGCCGGAATCATCCTGCAGTACTGGCGGCCTGACATCAACGTTGCTGTTTGGATCACCGTCTTTGGCGTGGTCATCATCCTGCTGAATGTATGCTTCCGGCCGTAAACTATTTGAAATATCATTTCTGATGCCGGTTCCAGGTCCTCCACGTACGCTGGTTCGGCGAAGCCGAGTTCTGGCTCTCAGCCATCAAAGTCGTCGTGCTTCTGGGCCTCATTCTGGCATGCCTGGTCATCTCTCTCGGCGGCTCGCCCTCACACGACCGCATCGGCTTCCGCTACTGGCGCGACCCAGGCGCCTTCGCGCCATACCTCGCCGAAGGCTCCACTGGGAAGTTTCTGGGGTTCTGGGCGTGCGTTGTGCAGGCCTGCTTTGCGTACACCGGAACCGAGATCATCGGCGCCGCGTTCGGCGAGGTGCCGAATCCGAGGAAGAACGTGCCGAAGACGGTCAGGCAGACGTTGCTGCGCATCTGCTGCTTTTACGTCCTGGGCGTTTTTGTGCTGGGCATGGCGGTGCCGTATGACAACGAGCGGCTCATCGGAGCAACGAAGGAGAAAACCAGCGCTGGTAAGCATCACTGTCGGCAGTTGGTAACGGGAAGACTCACATACAGCGCACACAGCCGCCTCGCCCTTCGTCGTCGCCATCACCCTCGCCCGTATCAAGGTCCTGCCCGACATCGTCAATGGCGCGCTATTGGTATTCGTCATCAGTGCCGCCAATTCGGGTACTGCCGCCCTCCATCAGCTCACCTTTATCCTCTGCAACAACGCCACTAATTTCCACTTTCTAACAACCTACAGATATCTACGTCGCATCGCGCGCCCTCTTCGGCATGGCCAAAGACGGCCAGGCACCCGCTCTGTTCAAGCGCACCACCGCTGCCGGCGTCCCGCTCGCCGGCGTCGCCGCTGCAGCCCTGTTCATCCTGCTCGGCTACATGAACGTCAGCAAATCGGCTTCCACCGTCTTCGGCTACTTTGTCAGCCTGGTCACTGTGTTCGGCACGCTGAATTGGGTCAGCATTCTGGTGTCATATCTGTGCATGCGCCGCGGGATGCTGGCGCAGGGCGTGGATATGCGGGAGCTGCCGTACAGAGATCCGTTGCAGCCGTATGGCGCGTGGTTTGCGCTGGTTGTGACCGTGTTGGTGATCTTTTTCAATGGTAGGTGCACCCTGTGTGAATGTGTGGTGTGCAGTGGCTGACGTGCGTGCAGGGTTTACTGCGTTTGTTCCGCATTTTAAGGCGGATACATTTGTTACGAGTTATATTGGTGTTGTCGTGTACTTGGCGAACATTGTGTGGTGGAAGTGCTTTAAAGGGACGAAGCGAGTGCAGCCCAATGCTATGGATTTGGGTAAGGAGTAAGTGACTTTCATGTTTGAGAAGAATTTAGAAATCAGTGCATTTAAAAAGGGGTATTTCAAAACCCGAACTTGCGCATCTATTTGTCTTTGAAAATGATTTCAGCCGTAATCACATTCCCATTTGCTTCTGCACCGTAGATTGATATAGTATCAGAAATGCCCCAAAAGTACCGTCTCACTCTAGCGTCGTACACTATGCATGAAGATTTCCCACGGTGCGGCAAATTAGAGTTCAGGTTCAGCACGCCGGCATTCACCGCTCCCAAGAGTTCCCATTGTGCACGATGGAGAATGCTTGCGGCGTTCCTATAGTCAACAGCAGGCTGAAGAGCCTCTTATTGACCCAAGAGTTCTCACCGGCACTGGGTGCGCGATTCAGAGAATACTGAAGTCCAGAACCGCCGCCGCGGCTGGAAGGATCACGCTCGTGCACCGACAAGACGCTGGAGCTGTAGGGCCTCGCCCACGAAAAAGCTCGGCGCCGTGACGTGGTCGACTTGGCAGAGGCAAAACTCCTACAACTACTACAGACCGGTCGCAGAGCTGTTCCTGTTAGTTCGGTGGTCGAGGAGTCGAAGGTCGCCGAGTTTAGCGGGAAAGAACGGCGGGCGTCGTTGGCGGCCCGCGGCGGACGAAGGATTGGTATCGATAGGGAGCGTGCGGTGTCGACTGGATATTGCAGCCCTACTGCGAAGTGCTGGAAGGACGTCTGGTTAAACGCGACATGATCAGTGTATGGCTCGGAAGCCTCGAGGACGGGACGCGCCGAGAGAAGGACCCAGGAAACGTGTGCCCCTCAGGGTTCACCAGAGGCCAATCATTTTTCGGCCGCTTCCGTGGACGGGTGGCCCTATTTTTACCCCCGGGGTCCCCGGGATTTTGCTTTTCGGTAGTCTGGATTAGGGTGGCCAGCCGCGCGCTAGAGGAGCGCCGGATCTACCAAGCTTCCAAGCTAAGACCTCGCTACGCCTACATGGTATTGTGGCTTGCACGACTTTCTCCTGAGCCATGTGCCGGTTTGTATTTTCGGCATCTACACATTGTTATTCCTACCGGCTGTTAGTAGGATCTTTGCAGTGCCGGATAACAGCTACGTGTTTAAAGTTACTACTATTATTGTTAATCTTCGCTTCTATGCGAAGAGTCCTTCTGTGTTTCTACTCGAGACTTTCTGATACCAAGAAGGCTCTGCAGTCGCCCAGAATAGACAGCGACAAGGCGAAAGACGTTAGTGCGTAGAAAGGACTTGGGTTGGCGGCTGAACATCGAGTCCCTATCGAACGATTTCTCCGGCATGACCCATTCGGCCCGCGCCTATAACACCCGCATGACAGCCCACGCCAAGACGCTTACTCCCTATGAGACCTCCGCTCTCAGCCTCACCTGGCGCCGTTTTCCGCTTTCTGCACTGGCCTTCCGCTTCAAGACGATCCTTCCTGATCTGGCCCCTGACAGCTCAGCTCTCCCGCATCTAAGCCACGACAGCCACTCTGCCAAGCCAAGATTCGAGGCTTGACATGGCCATGCCAAGCCGATCTGGATGCTCCGGAGTACCCTTGTGCCAAGCCGGTCCCGCCGCTCCCGAGCAATGGGAAACACCGAGTTGAGCTATAGCAATTTCCACCCCAGTGCTGCCCGGAAACTCCCACGTTTAGCGCCCTCGCCAACACTCGGGAACTCTCCGTTACTATCGGAAAGCGTCGACAACAACGAGGAGCTATCGTGGTAGACGCGTTCAGCTGTGGCTTTCGGCGGTCAATTTGCGGAATCTGCCATGGTGTGGTGTATCTTTCAGCCGGCCTGGGGCGTCTATTGCTTCACGCTGAGTTTGCTATAAGAACCAGTGTGGCCTTTGTTGATTATTCTTCACCATCGCCTTCTTCAGTCGTCTTCGGTCTTCATCTTCTGGTTCACAATGCATTCTGCCTATCTCTTGCCTCTTCTGGCTGGACTCGCTGCTTCGCAGTCGACCAGCACCGACATCCCGGCCGACGCAGTCCCAACTCCGGACGCATTGGACGTTGATTTCCTTCGCGACATTCCTGCCCCTACTTACACTACTATCGAGGGTGTTCTGTCTCAGGATGTCCCTTACGCAACTGCCACGGCTATCGAGTCCGCTGCTGCCGACGTCTCCGAGACTCCTCTGAGCGTCTTTCCGGCTGTCACCACCGTCCCCATCAACGCCGCTGGTGAATCCGATGCAGTCGAAACCGGCACCCCGTCCAAGCGCGGTGCTGCTGCTGCCGCTGCCGCCGCCCTCGAAAGGCGTGCGGCTTGCGATTCTCAGGCCACCATTGCGAACTACTACGACGTCGACGTCTCGAGCTATGCCAGCTTCAAGGCTGACACCAAGATCTCTCAAGTGGCCAACGACGCCGCAACTCCCTCGGGCTACTTCAACAACTTCAAGAACAAGGACGCTGCCAACAGCGCATGTACGTTTTTCCTTTTCCGCTTCACTTTGCTGAGTGAGCTGACGAATTATCAGATGGTTACTTGGGCTACAAGGTCCTGCAGACCGGCTACGATGTCGACAACTGCGCCCAGGAATGTACCGACAAGGAGGGATGCCTTGGCTTCAACATCTTCTTCGAAAGAGATCCCACCATCGAGCCCGGTGATGGTTGCACCAACCCTACTGCTTTTGCAAACATCAAGTGCTCCTTCTGGGGCAGCGCTCTCGACGAGACCACGGCTACCAATTCGGGACAGTGGCGAGCGGACTTTCAAGTTGGTATTGCTGGCTCTAATGCCTATACCTCTGAGAAGGTTGGCCCTACTCTCGACGGGTGGGATGCTCCCCTGAGACTCAACAACGCCGCCATGAACGCCCCTCTGCGTGATTGTGCCAACACCTGGACCTACATGGGCTACAAGTTCTTCAACGACGGTCCCTTCAGCGTCGAGGCCTGTGCCGCCGCCTGCGATGCCCAAACCGAATACAATATTGCCCACCCGCCGTCGTCTGGATATGTTCCCCTTTGCGCCGCATTCGGCACTTACCTTCTCACGAAGACCACTTCCTCGGGCTCCGTTATCCAGGGCCAGATCTGCACGATGTAGGTTTTGCCAGTGTCTTCCACACAAGAATACTTGCTTACGCATCCATCACAGGTACACTTCCGCTTGGGACGCCGAGTATGCTGTCAACACTGCTTCGTACGATGACTCTATTGGAGCCAAGTACACCTACAGCTACAGCTTCTTCTACTCCAAGCCGCAAAATCAGCCTGTCTGCGCTGCGGATCTCTCCTATCTCGAGAGCTCCGGCGCCGAGTTCTGCTCGTCTTACATCAGCTACACTCCCAGCACCTCGACCGCGATCTCCACCACGGTTCCCGGTGTGTCGACTGTTTACCAGACGACCGATTCGACGACCACCACGACCGTCTACACCAGCACTGCGACTGTGACTGCAACCGGCGGAAGCTTGAGGAGGAGAGATGACGATGCCGACTTCACCGGCAGTGACTACAGCATTGACATCAGCACTTCCACTGTGTCCATCCCCAACAAGTCCGCCATCGGCAACTCGACCGTCGCTCCTACCGACGTCCAGATTGCCAAGCGTGCCGTCGCCACCCCTGCCTCCATCACGGGCTGGCCCGCTGCCAAGATCTCGGCTGCTTGCTCAAACGTCGCCACCGGTGTTGTCACCACCACCAGCATCTCCACTGCCCCGGTTCCTCTGACTACTGCCGTTGTCACCCGCACCGCTACCCAGACCGTGTCTACCGTGTCTACTTTGACCGTCCCCGCCGTCCTGCTCTCTTCGCCGACCACCATCGTTTCCGGCCGCACCACGAGCTCTGATGACAACTACTACCGTCTGGAGCTTCCCTTCGCCATCAGCGCCTATGGCGTCTCCAGCAGCGTCGTCTACCTCACAGATAACTCAGTATTGTACTGGCCAAGCTCTGATGCTAGCCAGAACTACGGCTGGGAGTACACCAACTATGCTCTTCCCTACAGCACCTCGTCCTTCGGCAGTGCCGCACTCTTCGGTCTTTGGGACGACCTGTACGTCTACTACGGCACCAACCAGGGTATCTACTACGACGTGACCGGCGCCGTCGGCAGCCGCACCGTCCTCTTCGAGTTCTACACGTCCGCCTTCAGCCGTTCCAACGAGTACTACCACTTCACCATCACCATGTCCGAGAACAACCCGGGCGTGGCCGTGTACAGGTACTACGACGTCTACCAGTCGGGCTACTCGGCCACCGTCGGTGCCCAGAAGAGGGGCGGTCAGTCCGTCCAGTACTCCTTCAACCAGGCCGTCATCACCCCTGGCCTCATGCTCACGGTTGATACCAACACCAACACCATCACCCGTGGCTCTTTCACCCCGTAAACTGTTTCGCTTATGACCTGAAGATCCTTTTTCACGACTTGAACTCGATAACGGCTTGGAGAACAGAAAAGACTAGAAATAATTTTGCTTCGTTTTAGTTGAGTAGTTTATAATTTAATCAATTCGATCTCTCGATCAATTTTATACAATGTTCTATGTGAAGAGGTTTCAGAAAAGACTGAAGAACGCATCTATTGAGCCCAATCATCAAGCAGGCGGTACTGAGAAAAAGTAATGAGCCAATTAAATACTCTCAGGTATGAAGAATGAACTTTGTGAATATCATTGTAACTGATGCCATAATCGATGACGGAATCTATGAATGTCAAGACTTGAAGTAAAACGATATGCATTCCCTTCTCGTGCCCTGCTATCTTCAAACTACGCAACATTGAGAATAGAACTCCAACCTATGATTGGAAAAGGGCGTAGAAGATAGTGGTGCAGCTTCTAAATTCCCAGAGCTACTACTACTACAATATTCGGGGCATGACCAACTACGGTGTGCTTGGGATTTGATCTTCGGACTTAAGCGGCGAATTCGGAAACATGGAAATGGTCAGGGCGCTCAGCGGCTCTCAAAACGGCATTGAAAACTTCGGTATTCTGAAAGGAACAACAGAAGCGGAAGCGGCGGAGATAACATCGGCGGTGGCGGCGGCGGCCGTGAAGGAGGACGCCCGGATACTAGCAAGCGGGTAGGTATCTGGGGGGAAGCTTGAGGCTCGCTTGGGCGTAGGTAAACACTACGGGGGTCATTGCAGCCAACGGCTAGCGTGGATTTATTTCGCTCATACCATGGGTAGTTGAAGCTATCGTCCGGATCCAAATGTCGAATTAATAATTATTCGTTCACGTCCGGACGATAGCTTCAGCTCCCCATGGATGTCGAATTAATAATTATTCATTTACGTCCGGATGATAGCTTCAACTCCCCATGCATGTTTCTTTTATTGAGGAAAAAAAAACAATATGAGGCATACCTACGCTATGTCCCCCAGCTCTGCTATTCTTCGCGCTAGCCATCGGCTGCAGCGCTGTATACACACTAGTAGTAACAGTCAGCCCTAGCGCAGTGCCGTGTAGGCACGCACTATGGCTTTTGCAATTTCCGCAGCAACTCCGGCGCTACCTACGAAACCACAACTTGTAGCGCAGAGCCTTAACTTGTGCATCTTCATCAACGACGATGGAAAGAAAAGACTGCGCAGTAATTATTGACATGATTGGACTCTACTATGACAGCTCAAGATGCAGCGGATGGCTGCATTGGTGTGATGCGAATGTGGTTGCGGATGGCTATCGGGCGGCTTTTCAGCCTCCGCCTTGTGGCGCCGCCTCACAACTTTAAGCCCGCCACAACACCGCCACTCAGCCACAATCCAGCCCAGAACCGCCTGAAAGAGTTGCCGAGAGTGCCCCTGTGGGAAGTGCCGGTATACTGTCCGTTCGCGATGGTCTACAACACCCGCTACATCGGCTCTGGATCCACGCCCACATGGCCTTTTTCACTTGGCATCAGACGAGGCTGAAAGCCCAGAGCACTTTTCTAGCTGGCACTGGAGAGTAGCTTCGGCGTGGCCGCCGACGATGCTAGTCAGGCGGCGGATGGTGTTTTTGCCGTCTGTATAAGTGTGGTCGCGCATCCCCAGTTTGACAGCTCCCCAGGTTACTCCACGGGTAGTCCTCTGCAGTCATTCACTTTGGTTGTGGTGCCTCTCGGCCCGCCCCTCGCTCCCGCACCATGCTGTGTTCCAACATGGCGTCCCTTCTCTCCAACCCCACCCTCATTCTTGGCCTTTTGGCCGCACAATCGCTCGCAATTCCTGCTCCGCTCCCTTCCGCCACCTCGGCCCCCGTCAAGCGCGATGACTTGTCCTGCTGGGACAAGGTCAGCGACGGCCAGGTTTTCCAAGCCACGAATGCCCAATGGGACATTATCTGCGGCACCGACTATGCGTCAGTCTATATCCGATTCACAACACTAAAGCATATGCTGACCAATGTGCAGTGGCGGTGACATGGGTGTCTCTTGGGTAGGCTCTTTCGAAGAGTGTATTCGGGACTGTGACACTACCAGTGGCTGCGTTGATGTCTCCTTCGTGTGGCCCAACGCTTGTTACAAGAAAAACGCCCTTGGCTCTCCTTCTTCTGTTGATTCCGTGTGGACCGCAAAGAAGAAGACGACCGGCAGCGATACTTCCGTTTCTACTCCATTGTCTTGCGAGAACAGTGCCAGCGATGGCGTCACGTACACTTCCTCAAAGGGCACCTTCCTCATCGAGTGCGGCATTGACTATGCTGGCGGCGATATGGGCTCTTCGAACACTGCTTCGTTCGAGGCCTGTATCGAGGATTGTGCCTCGACCGACGGCTGCATCGATGTCAGCTACGTGTATGGCTCTTGCTACAAGAAGAACGCTCTCAACGACCCTGTTTCGCTCAGCCACGTCTGGACCGCCAAGAAGGTTGCATCGGACACGGATTCGTCTTCCACTGCTACTATCACGTCCGCGGCAACAACCACCACGGCCACTGCCACCGCAACCGCTATCACTTGCCCCTCCAGCAATGGAACCATCACTGGCATGTCTACTGGCGGCACCTATGAGATACTCTGCGCCATCGACTATGCCGGCGGTGACTTCAAGGAGGTTGACACTCCTACTTTCGAGGAGTGTCTCGAGGCCTGTGACAACAACGAGGGATGCGTTGCCCTTTCCTACGTCGCGCCGTCCTGCTACCTGAAGAGCGAGCTCATGACCCCGGTCTCCGTCTCCTACGTCTGGGGTGCCGTCGTCAAGAAGTCTGCCAAGGACATCTACGCCTTCCCCACTGTTGCTGATCAGACTCTCGAAGCTGGTGCAACTGAATCGATGATGGCCGAGCCCATGACACTCGAGAGCCCACCTCTTGCCACCCTTGGCCCCGTCGCTCCCCCGGGCATCAACATGGGTGGTCTCAAGGTGTTGACACCCAATGCGACCAACGCTCTGTGGTACAACGGTGACGACGACGCCATGGACGACGATGAGTCCGGTGCCGTCACCGTCCGCCTGACCATCGAGTACAAGTACCCCTCCATCGTCCTGGACCACTCCATCTACATCACTGGCGTCTCCTGCGGCGGCGGCGTCCTGACCGGTACCTTCACCGAGCAGACGCCGTTCCTGCACGCTGCCACTGAGTGGCCTAGCCAGGCTCCGCTCCTGCTCATCAGCGCTGAGTCGAGCTGTGGCAACGGCGAGCAGAATGCCTTCTGGCTCGCCAGCTCCGTCTCCTTCGACACGGGCGCCATGACCTTCAGCGCGCCCGGTGAGTCGGTCGAGCTTGCCGATATTTACGAACAGATGGACATTGATTTCGGCAAAGTCGAATACGAAACCGACGACGGGAGCGACACCTCTTCTGATGATGGCACCGACACCTGCGGCAGCCCCAGCTCGTCCTTCCTCGACGATCTCCCTGCCGTGGCCTGCGGTGCCGACTTCGATCAGGCCCTCGATGATGCGCTTGGCTACTACTCTGCCAACGGCGCCAGCCAGCAGGCCGTTCTCGCCATCGCTGGTGTGCCGGAGGATGACGAGTCGAGCCTGGCCAAGCGCGGCTGGTTCTCCTCCCTCATTAAGGCTGTCGTCAAGGTCGCCACAGTGGTTGTAAAGGCTGTTGCCGTCGTCGTCCAGGCTGTGGCAAACGTCGTTGTGGCTGTCGTTGCAAAGGCCGTTGAGGTCGTCAAGGTAGTGGTGCAGGCGGTCGTGGCCGTCAGCATTGCCGTCGTCACGCAAGTTGCCAAGCTCGCCGTCTTTATCGCCACCGGCAATTACAGCAACACGCTTACCCTGCCCGTCAACCTTGGCCCGCCCGCTTCCGTCCTGGCCGAGTCCCCCTGGGGATCCGATGGCTTCAAGTTCTACGAGTACACTCCTGAGGAGGGTGGCTCCAAGTGGGAGGCATCTGCCGCCGCTCTCGAGAAGATCCAGACGGAGCTGGTTGGTGAGGCTGATCCCGAGCCCGGTATTGAGCTCTGGTGCGTCGACTGTGGCGTCAGGGGTAAGATTTCTGCCACTGGTTCCATCAGCGCCACACCCCTCTCCGGTCTGAAGAAGGGCAGCATTGGCATCTCTGGTAACATGTATGCCGGTGTCTTCCTTGGCGTCAACGCTTTCACCCAGTGGGAGAAGACTGTCCGCAAGGATCTATTCGTCAAGGGTCTGCCCGGATGGTCGATTCCTGGCATTGTCAGCCTGGGTCCTCGCCTTATTCTCGCCGCCCAGGCCACCATTAGTGTTGAGGCTGAGGGTCAGATCCTCACCGGTGCTAGCCTGAACTGGCCTGCCTTCCAGGCTACCCTTGATTTCGTCGACAAGTCGCAGTCCTCGCAGTCTGGCTGGACTCCCGAGCTCACAAAAAAATTTGAAGCGCACGGAGAGGTCACTGCTACTGCTGCTCTTGGTCTCCCCGTTATTGTCAACTTCGGCATCAACATTCTCAACGGCGTGTGGGAGAAGGGTATCAACCTGACTGACTTCCCCGCCATCACTGCTGAGGCTTCGTTCGAGGCTGATTTTGGAACCGATAAGAACCAGCTCGGCAGCGATGACTGCGAAGGAATTGATTGGGACATCTCGCTTACCAACGAGCTCCGTCTCGATGTCAGCGATGGCCCTGGCTTCACTCTCAAGCAGTGGGCATCGCCTGCACTTGCCAGCGGATGCATTGGCGCCAGCCGCGATAGCGACGACTCGGAGGAAGAGGCGACCACTACGACCACGTCTGCTACTCCGGAGCCTACCGTTGAGGATCTCAGCCTCAAGTGCCCTGCCGCAGACGGAACGACCTACACGGACTCCAACCTGAACACTTACACCATCAAGTGCCACATCGACGCTCCCGGTGGCGAAATTGCGACCTCTCTTCAAAGCAACTTCGATGACTGCATCAGCTGGTGCGGTGCCATGTCCTCGTGTGTTGGCGTTTCCTGGGTTCCCAACCGCTCGACCTCGGACAACTGCTTTGCCAAGTCTGTCATTGGAACACAGCGCAACTCCGATGTCTACTCTGGTTACGAGATTGATATGGCTATCATGAACAATCCCTTCACCATCTTGAGCATGATTTACGCGGATAGAGATATCACCGCCGCCGCCAACAACAACATCATCCAGGGCCGCACGCTTGTCATTAACACGAACACCATCTCGGGCTGGGCTGGAGATCCCTGGGGAGGCAATCAGAAGAGTATCTTCTTGCTCTACATGTATGGTGCCGAGACCAGGACCTTCGTCAGCCATGATGGCCAGGGAACCTTCACCATCAACCCCGGTTCGGTTCAATGGCCTTCTGAGATCGTTCCTACCACTGGCCAGTCCTGGAGCGTTTATAATCTCCAAGTGGTTGCAGTTTGTTATGGAATCAACGCCATCACCAGCACCAGCGTTTGGTCCAACATCTACTACTATGCTCGCTACACCGGTCAATTCCAATTCACCAACGGCAACTTCCAGTGGGATACCTGGCCGGGCATTGTCAAGTCTGGTGTCATCTGGTACAAAGACCTCGAGACTGGCGCTTTCTATGCCATGGCTGTTCGCGAGAACAACTATGGTGGATTTGCCCAAGTCAAGGCCCGCAAGCGTAGCCTCGAGATCGACGCTGGTCCCTACAGTAACGGCACTGACTCCAACTCGACTGTTACAAGCAGCATCGCTACTCCGGAGTCCACTCCTTTCAGCTCGAGCTCGGTCTTGCTGGCGGATGAAATCATGAGCTTGACTGCTACCCCCACCGATTCCGAGTTCCCCCAGATGACCCCGACCATCGTCAACGGCACCAGCTCCAGCAACTCCACTAGCTCTGGCTCCTCCTCCGAGTTCTCCCAACTTACCTCTTCCAACAGCACCAGCAACTCCACCAGCTCTGATTCTTCTACTTTCCCTCAGCTGGTCCTGACCAACTCCACGAGCGAAAGCAACTCAACCTCCAGCAGCTCCAACTCGACCTCTGAATTCCCCCAGCTGACCCTGACCAACTCGACGTCCTCGCTCAACTCAACCAACTCCACCGACGCCGACGTCGCCATCTCCTCCTTCACCCTCCGCGACACGACGCAGACCCTCCTCGTCAACGCGGGCACGAACGGCAACCTCTTCCTCTCCATCATCGGCGACGCCACCGACCTCTCCAACTTCACAACCGGCGCCCCCTTCACCGGCGTCTCCGAAACATCCACCATCTTCGGCGACGACGACTCGCGCCTGCTGCACTACTACCCATCCGTCATGTCCAAGACCGGCGCCTCGCGCCTGCGTCTCGCCGCCTGGGACGACCTGCCCAACGGCTCCAAGCTGATCAACCTGACGCCCATCACCACCGGTGGCGTCAGCTTGCTGATGGCCATCGATGCCGACGGCGCGTACTTCTGGCCGTTCTTCTGCGGCATCAAGGGGCAGCTGAACAAGGTGTTCCTCGTCAGCGATCCGGATGCCGGCGCGGCGCAGCTGGAGGCTGAGAATATGAAGTTCACGGTGACGGGTGGTGAGGCGTATAGCTGTAATCCGTTGGCGTTGGAGGCGGTGGCGGTGTAGATGTACATACGTAATGATGATGATGAGGAGTGACATGACGATGAGGAGTAATTGATGAGGGGAAGAAAGAAAATGAGGTACGGCGATAGTAATGGCTTAACTAATTGGTATAGGATTATAATGAATGTCGTCTACTCAAACATGTGCGGGAGCGGTAGCCAATTCCCTCTGAAATCCCCAGGGCAGTGCTGCGTGCAATACGAAGTATACTTTGTAGTAGACTATAGTAGTAAGTCATTTAGAAAGGCTACGCAGTTACTCTAGAAACGTTTCTAGGTGCCTGGAAACATTTCCAAGTGGTGGAAACGTTACCAGGCAGCGACATGCCCATACAGGCTCTTTTCTACAGTCCCCTATCGCAGCCCATGGCTAGCGTAGATTTATTTTTTGCTCATGTCATGGGGAGTTGAAGCTATCGTCCGGACGTGTATGTAGAATTTTTAATTCGACATTCTCGTCCGGATAATAGCTTCAACTACCTATCTATTGTATATTTTTTTTTAAAAAAAAAAGAGCTATACTTACCCTCAATGATCCCACTATTATTCGCGCTAGCCAGTGACTGCAGCACCCTCTGTAAACATGTCAAGAGGATTGTTTTAGGGCGTTTCTCAGTGCTAAGAGTAACGCAAGGTTGCAGCTGACGATATATCTTTATGTAAGCAACGTACGATTGGATAGCTTCTATCCCTCAACCCACGGCACCTGAGGCATCTTGTCCGGTCGCAGATGAAACATCCCCTCATCGCCTGCCCACCAGAAAACCCGGAGTGACGGCTCCTGATCGCGCAGCATTCTCGTTACGCCATACCCTTTAGAAGGCCCTAGACACCAACAGCAACCATGCCATCTCGCAAAGACCTGCTTGACGTATCTCCGGCTTGTTCATATCAAGGATGGCCCTGTAAAGGATTTCGATGAGATACGAGAAAGACCAGCTGGGAGAAGCAATCCCTTTGCATGGTACTCTGCGCGATACTTTGGCGAACACCTGCTGTGTTCAGAAGGTGGCGGCGATACTCTCAACAATGCTCTTGACCAGATTCTTTTAATGAAGAGTTCTACTCTTGCAGCACTTGCTCAACTGAGGCAAATGGAGCTTCCAAATGCCGAGGATGCTATCACGAGGCTGGATTGGCGAATCAACGCCCGAACCATCATTTTCACCTCACGGCTTCTCGAGCTGCCAGCAATGGAAGAAAACAAAAATTGGAACCATTTGTAACTCCACCCATTCACGCTGCACCTTGAATGCGTAAATGGATCTGTCAACCACGTCGACAGACTTCTTATGCTCGGCTTAAACTCGTCGTCGAAGGACGATTCTGTAAAATCTCATCTAATCTGTAGAAGAACCTCTTTGTCAATCTCACTTAATAGACACGATGACAAAATAATAGATCTATTGTTGAAGTTTAGAGCAGACCCAAATTAGGGCCTTAGCGTTAAGACCATCTTCGAGACTGCCTGCTTATTAACATTGTCAAAATCTTATTGCTATACTATGCCAATGTCAACATATCTCACGGGGAGTTTGGAACTGCTTTCGCAGTTGTCGCCTGCTCAGGGAATTTAGCTATCACCAAAGTCCTTCTTGACGCCGGTGCGGACGTCAAAATCCAAGGCGGCTGGTATTACAGCAGTGCTTTAGCAGCATCCACCAATAACGAGATTGATCAGCCTTGCACCAACTCCACGATCAGATCTATATGTAAGGTCGGTTTTAACGCATCAGCACGAAGAAAGGGCGAAAATGTCACAGATGTGCTCCTGGACGCAGGTGCAGATGTTTTTATCCAGGAACATAAAGCATTATCAACCACGTCAAGAAAAGGACACATCAAAGTCATCGAACTCCTTCTGAGAAGAGGATGCAGGCCGAATCCTTCACCAAAGAGGTCAGAAGACCCGATACTTCATCGAACAGTAAGATCGGGCAATGTCGAAATTGTAAAAGCCTTGATTGAAAATGCTGTTAATCCGAACGAGAAAGATTACAGAGGAGAGACTGCGCTATGCAAAGCCCTATATAGCCCTAGTGCGGTAACCCTTTCACACACCGCCGTCTTAATATAACTTCACGGCTCAGGCTGCACTTTACTGCGCCTCAAGGCCGTTTCCAGGAGGAACGGGAAAAGGGCACCTCATCAAGAAGTTGCGGCAAGGCAAGTCGGATGGATTGTTGTTTTGCCTAATTTAATCCATTAGCAACGAAGGGCAAAAGCAAGTGAAAGCACTGGCTTACTCGTTCATAAAAACGTAATTGGGTCCGTAGCCAGTATTGATCTAAGCATGGTTTTTAGCCTCGAAACCAAAATTTGCGCATCAGAAGCTATCATAACTTACGTTGATGCATCCTCCCCCACTGTGGTCTGCGTGGTTATTGCTGCAGTAGGCACACTGCTTCGACGATCCGACTGTGGGGCCGTCCCAGATGCCGAGCCTGAAGTAGCCCGAATACGAGAAGGACAACGCTTCGTGTAGGTCTCCACCCCTGGCTATGTTCGTTCCGGATCCCGTGCGTCCGGTCCACATCTCAGTGCCGGTGCAGTCCCTGTTGCGGAAGAAGGTGACGGTGCCATCGGCGGCGTAGGCGAGCTGGCTGAGGCCGACGCCGAGGAGGAGAGATTTGACGAGGCTGGGCATCTTTGGATTTGAGGAAGTTCGAGCGTAGAGAAGATTGGTGTGAAATGAAGGGGTTGTTTGTGTTTTGAGCATGGCAAAAGCTGTTGGCTTTAAATATTCCTTCAGGCAGCAGTTCCTTCGTGCCTGCCGGCAAGCGATTTCCGCTAGCTCTCCTTTTCCCCAACACCATCTCAAATGATATCGGGCTGCAATGTGGAGCAATTTTTTCATTGAAGGTACTTTCCAGGACGATCTTCGGATGTGAAGAGCCGCAAGTTGTTGGATCTCGTGTGAGCCAATGGTGTTGGGAGATCTTGGCCCCCATGAGCTGCCGGGTCCATGCTCATGGGCGGCTCCACCCGCTTTCGCACCGTGCGTCTGGAGAGGGCTCCGGAGAGCAGGCCATAAAGACGATAGGGTGCACTTTCGCATGCTCTACGACCCACTTCGCACAGCCGAAGAGAGGAATTCCCTGATCCTTCTCGTAATCTTATAATCAATCTTCTCTCAACATGTCACCCAACCATCAAACCTTGCCCAGCAGCTAACACTAGTTACATCTACAACGCCTCACATGCGAGAGAAGATACCACCATCGTACTCACCCTGGAAAATATTATGGGGTAATTGCAATTCTAAAGATCGGATTGCAGTTGGCTTTTATTTTTCTGTGCCGCGAGAGACGAAGCTCAATCATAGCTATGAATGTCTCTTGAGTTGATCTAAACATATCACTTCTCGTCAAAAGTAGCATTGGACTCCAGAAGCGTACAGGTAATGTACAGAATATTTGCCGCGCATGTCCTACCAGTCCAGGCAACAAAAGCCACTAAAGCAGTTAGCCTTACTCCACTACAGCTCCGGCCTCCACATGTCTCTAATAGATAATTTGTGGACTATTCTCGGCGGCGTTATAACGCGCAAGGGCAGCCATAGTAGTGTAGTAGAATACGAACGGTGGCCAGAATATGTCGCCCCGGCCCAAGGTTGTTCGCCAGCACTCAGGAAACTGTGGCCCGTTCGCTGGCCAATGGCCACCGTAATGGCAATACGCCACAGTCGCTACGGCACAACGTTCTACACTACATGCAGTATGTGCACGAGATTGCTCGGTTACGGAGAAGGGGAGAGAGAAACTTGAGATTCTACGCATGCTTCTAGGGCATGGTGCGGACGTCAACGCAGCTGATGGACATGGTTATACGGCATTGGAGATAGCCTGCGCCGCTGAACACGAAAATTCGTTTACAAAAGAGACAGTCGATACGCTTCTTAAAGCTGGTGCCGATATTAATACTCCGGTGGGGTATTGGTTTGGCCCTCTAGAAGCTGCTACGGTTCGAGGTCATCTCGACGTAGTGATGCTATTACTTGAGAGAGGAGTACGATCTGCCGTACAAAAGGATAGCGCTCAACAAGTTGCAATTTATTTGGGATTCACGGAAATTGTTCTACAATTGTTGAACAGCGGTGCGAATGTGCAAGCAGCGAGGGGCCGAGGTGAATATGGCTGCGAAAGGGGGACTCCTCTTCACATGGCCACATTCGAAGGGTATGATCGCATTTTCGATATGTTGGAGCTGAAGCCAACACATACGGATTCCTTAGAACACCGTACGAGGCTACGCTTATAGGACATACAAGGAGTTTCTCTTGGAGTGGGGGCTGGGAAATATCGTAAAAATGTTTCGAAATGCAGGAGTGGCAGAACCGCAGAAAGATTGCCACTATGGAATACCATGCGACGGCCCCATGTGCACAAAACAAACCGAGGATCATTATTCACGACACCTCGGTGAAGGCCGACCAGATGATTGGATTGTTGGAACACGCTACAAATGCACCGAGTGTAAAGAATTCAGCTTGTGCTCGGCTTGCAAGACCCTGGTCGACAGCGAGGGAATGTTGGTGAAAGACAAAAAGATAATTCTCAGATACACTCGCCAAGAGGCCAAAGGTCTTTCTCATACTTCAGAAACCGAACATTCTGACCAAGATTCACACAAAGCAGAATCGTATACAACAGGACCGAACTATGGTGACAACCACCGGCTCGGCCACGTACTACGTAAGTTCGATGAAAGAAAATCTCTTGGCCTTGAGGAGTCACTAGGCGAATAAGAGAATTCCTTTTACAAGAATTTATTGTGGAGGCCAAATGAACGTATGGAACAGTGAGACGTTCAATATTTGTCACATGTATGACTGGTGATAAAAGGACTATAAGAGGCTGCGGCGATATTGGTAGGAATGTTTCGATGGACTTTCTACTGCATAGATCTTGAGAAAGCTTCTGTAGTAAGTTGCTTTATAGTTTTTGGAATACGAGGGGAATTCTCTCGTCGAGTTGATGGATGTCAGTACGAGCCTCCGGCTAAAGTTTAACGTGCACTTTTTCCTTGCGGGTAGAGAATCTATCGGTATATAGGCTCGAACAGTACTTTATACCACCTCTATTAGTTTAGACAGTGGTTTGTAGAATCGTTACTTTATAGGTAATGGGAATTTAGACCTCTGGGTGCTTTGCCGTGGTGGGAGACTATCGCCGTCGTTTCCGTCTAACGATCTGATGCAGATGCGTAGTAACTCTTAACAATGAAAGAAAAAATTCGCTTAGAGTCGTGGTATCTATTCTTGCTTCATTTTGTAAAAAAAAAAAAAAACTAGGGAAGATTACCAGTCCGGATGTTTGGCTATATCATGTGGTACAACCGACGCTTAAGCCCACATGTTAAACCAACTCTAACATCTTATTAGGACTGGGATACGCCAAGTAGGATTTTGTTCGCGTACAAGTCTCTTCTTGCTTGACTCGAGTTTCGCTCCTGTATTTCCTAGATACTTCTTTGCCAGGCGATTCCGCTCTCGGACGCTGCCCTGTTTCTAAGCCACCCGTGAAATTAGGCTCGAAAAAGCTAATGGACGGCCCAAGACCCCACTTCGGAACCAGTCCGCCGCCCGCATCAGCACTAGAGCGCCATGCGGGGGCCAATCTCACCTCAGAACACAGATATAAGAACGACGTCTTGCACCAGCCTCTACTTCGAAAAGTACTTGCCGCGATGAAAGCCTACCGTTACGACTGCGAAACCTTCAAGCTCGGCGTCGCCGACGTGCCCATCCCGACGCCCGGCGCCGGCCAGGCCCTCATCCGCGTGGAAGCAGCCGGGCTCTGCCACTCGGACACCAACCTGCTCAAAGGCGTGGTGCGGCTCCCGCACAAGCAGCCCATCACCCTGGGCCACGAGGTCGCCGGCACAGTCATCCAGCTCGGCCCGCAGCGCGTCCCTGATCATACCTCGGCCAACACTGCTACCCCGCAACCATTATCGTTCAAACCCGGCGACCGCGTCGCCGTCGCCCAGGTCGCGCACCCGCTCAGCCCGCTCAACTGGGTCGCGTCCATCGGCCTCGGCCACGACGGCGGCTACGCGCCCTACACCCTCGCCTACGTCGACCGCCTCGTCCCCATCCCTCCCGGCGTTTCCTTCGCCCAGGCCGCGTCCGCCACCGACGCCATCTCCACCGCCTACCACGCCATGGTGACCACCGGCGCCGTCGGCCCGGGCATGACGGTCGGCGTCATCGGCTTGGGCGGGCTCGGCATGAACGGCCTGCAGGTGGCGGCGCTGCGGGGCGCGACGGTGTACGGCGTCGACGTGAACGTGGTCAAGTTTGGGGAGGCGCGGGCGAAGGGGGCGGCGGCGTGTGCGGCTTCGATCAAGGAGCTCAAGGATGTGGTGTTTGATATGGTGGTCGACTTTGTGGGCATGACGGTGACTACGCGCAGCGCCATCGATGCGGTGCGCGAGGGCGGGACGGTCGTGCTGGTGGGGCTAGGTGAGTCGAGCGTGCGGATCCCGTCGGCGCGGATGGTTTCGAAGGGGGTGGCGCTGCTGGGGTCTATTGGTGCGAGTTTGGGGGATTTGAGGGAGGTGCTGGGCTTGATTGAGGAGGGGAAACTGAAGCCAACGTTGACGGAGGTTCCCTTTGGGGAGGTCGAGGCAGCGCTGTGGTCGCTGGATCGGAATGAGGTTGCTGGGAGGTTGTATACATGTCCGGGGAAGGAGAGCTCGGTTCTTAAGTCGAACCTGTAGTTGGAAGCTGTGCTCTGTAAATGGAACTCCATCAAAGGGCCTGGCCCTGATTACCCTTACTTCGGCCATGTCCAGTCTTCTACTATGAAACACCTGCAAACCAAGGACTCTGCAGCGTTACCACAACCGCCTCGACTGCTCCCGCACCTATAGATACCATGTCCCACTCGACGCCACTCCCATGGGCAGCTGTGTCAGCTGACGGTTATGCTGCAACACCAGTTTCTGTGGGCTGTGGATTCCGGCCGCTCGGCGAGTTTCCGGGCGCGACATGCTGGACGCTCTTCAGGGTCATGTTGTTGGCAGTGTGTATTATGTAGAGAAGTCCACTGTGAAGATAGCGAACTTTCATTTATGCGGTATCCTGAAATTTCATCGACTGAGAAAAAAACAACTCGTTAATTTCAGCCATAAAAGTGGCGTGAAGCCGTGGCGGTGGCCGCGTCGGAAGCCGCGCGGCATCAAGCCTGGCTACAACGCCGCCCGCGCCGCCATCGCAGCCTCATTTACCTTGGTGGAGAGGAGGCGCTGCAGACGGTAAGCTATGCTAGTCCGAAAAAGCACAGAAGAGATGTGATTGGCCAATGGCTCATCTATAGACATCAAAAAGGAAATGCTCGTTCCTGGTGGATTCTTATGCCCGGAACTACTTGCATATGCATTGAGGCGAGAGCCTGGTTTCTTTTTTACGAGGACATCTTTCGCACTAATCGTAGAAAGGGCAAATGGCGAATTCGTGAAGATGGACTACTTGGCGTGGGGAAGCGGGGAAGCGGTGTACCAAGGCCAGAATACAAACGGCCTGGAACTTTTGCAACCTTAGCAATTGCCGATCAGGGGTGCAGGGTCCATCACGGCTTAAACACGCTCTTGCGCCGCTCGAAAAAGTTGTGGTGTGATTCCACTTGGAACCCCCGGGCTTCAATGAGAAAGGAAGGCGGCCCAGAACAATCGGGGAAGCTGCAAAGAGCCCTGGCATGGCTAAGAGAGGAAGTCTGGGGAACGATTGTAGCGCAGTCTGGACCAGATCGTCGTCACCCTTGTGCCACGTGGACGCCCAAAGAGGTAGTTACTAGCCTGATCGGGCCACCTCAGCTGCACTAAACCAGCCACATCCCGCTGCTAGTCCCAAACCTCGGTATCTGAGGCTGACTGGTCCTCCGGCGTCGCCGCCCAGCTAATTTTCTTTGCTGTAAACATCTACTGCAACACGCGGCCTGGGTACTGCTGCATCGCCTGGGCGGCAGTTCGACATGTTCTCCAACGGTCGAGGCCCGCCACACACCACCGTTGGCTACATGTCCAACATACTTTCAGCTAATTTTTAGCATCAGCTGGTGGCGCATCAATTTAGTGGCGCTTTGCAGCTCCAGGAAGTACCTATACAGACTTTCTTTTCGCAATGCTTTCCATGGTATAAATACATAACTGGAGTAGTAGCCTCTTGAGAATCAGCAAGCACGATACCGAGCGCTCACTGCAACTCTAACTCTGTGACAAGATGCGTTACTCTCCTCTGGTGGCCCTTCCTCTGGCGGTCTCCGCCTCGCCTCTGGTTCAGAAAGACTTGCTTTCTGCTGCCAAGAGCGCGTTCTGCTCCCTCAACAACAACATTGTCACTGCTCTCAAGCAACAGTCGACGGCTACCAGCTACTGCAGCAGCTATCTTTCGATTGCCACCAAGACCCTGTATGTCACAATCCAGTAACGCCAGCAAAGCTCACTGACTTACTCTGACAAAGCTCTACTACGTCCACAGTGACTCCCACGAGCGTCCACGTAACCACGACCTCGACCGTCACGGGTGATCCGTATATCACCACCGAGACGGCTACCGAGACCACGTCTACTGATCTCTATGTGACCTCGACCGTTGTTGAAGTGAGTTTCTCCCAATCAAATGAGAAGAATCTTGACTAATCTCACCACAGACGGACACGACGACATTGACTCTCACCACGTCTACTGTCACGCTTTCTTGCTTGAGCAGCGCGTACACGGCCGCGGCCACCACGTCGGCCTCGAATGAGAAGCGCGGCAACGTGCAGAACCAGAAGGCCAACGTCCAGCCTCCAAAGCAGCTCCAAAGGGCCAATGTGGCGCAGAACCAGAGGGCCAAGGTGGCGCAGCCAAGGGCCAACGTGCAGAAGCCAGCCTGCTTGCCTTCGACCTGGGCTGCTCCGGCCATCTCCAGCGCCTGCTCCTGCTTGAGCATCCCCACCCCCTCGACCACCACGACCATCACAACCACCCTCGTGGCTGGCACTGTGACCGATACTGCCACCCAAACCCTGACGCCCACTGAGACAAGGTAAGACCACTCTGCAAATGATTGGAACAAGTTTCTGACGATAGCAGCACTGTCACGACGACCGAGACGTCTACCAACACCGTCACTGACTACACCACTACCACCACGACCACCACCGAGACCGCATATGCCACTGCCACCACCATTTCCACCAGCGGCCTTGCCTACCGCAAGTACACGCATTCTTACAACGCAGACTCGTCCAGCAGCGGCTTCACCTCGACCTACTTCAAGACGGCCTCAGTTGACTTCAGCGGAACCATCGAGGACGTCGACTTCTCGTCGCCGAACTGGCCCTCCGGCAGCCGCTACATCACGCTTCCCGGCAACTCCCAGTTCGACTCGGCCTACGCCGCCGTGCTCATGAACGGCTTTTTCGTCGCACCAACATCTGGAACCTACACCATCTCGTCGTCCAGCAGCTCCATCGACAACTGGGGCTACTTGTGGAAGGGCGACGTTGCTTACAGCACCTGGTCCGATAGCAACACCGCTTACCAGGCTTCAAGGACTGGTGCAGGCTACATTGGAGGCAGCACCTCCTTTACCCTGAGTGCTGGTGATGCCATTCCTATGACCCTGCTTTGGGCGAACGGCGGTGGTGTCGGCCAGTCTACCTTTATCATCACCCTCCCCAGTGGATCGACCGTCAGTGACAGCACGGGCTACTTTGCGCCTGGCTGTGATGCTGTTTTCTCGTAGACTTCACGTCATGTGTATCGCACAAATTCCGAACGGTGGTAGTGTTTGAAAGGTAGCTTTTACTAGAAATAATTATTTGTTACAACAATGCCACAGTAAGAACAAGCTTGCAGCAAGTCATCGAAATAATTTACTCTGTCACGGACCTTAGAGAAAATGCACCCTTCAATCAATTTGAACCTCCCGGTCATGATCAAGTTGCGGCCAGGGTTCGCAGCAAGCGTAAGCGGCTTACCAAGCAATCAAACAAGCGGCTTGTAAGCGGCCTTAGAGGGCCCGGTTGATCATGTTTTAAGCTCAAGCGCTTGCGCTTGTAAATACCGAGCTTTGGGCCGGCCGCCACACATTCAGCTCACTCCAAGCCCCTGCCCTTCGCTCGCGTCCTGCTTCGTACACACACCTGGGAAGAAATGACACTAGGGAAATGGGTGTAAGCAACATGCATCACAGTAAGGGCGCTAAGGCCTACTAGTGGAAGCTTCTGCTGAACAAGCTTCGTGCTTTAGTCTTGGCCACCCCCGCCCGGAACAAGCTTTCTTAGCTGCGACCATCGAACGTGCAACAACTAATGCGAACATAGCAAAAGATCTGCACAGCTGTAAAAGAGATGTAAGACGGAAATCACCGTAGGTGCTTTTGAGCGAAATTCTGGATCCTGTGCTATGGGAAAATCCGGATCTAAGAACGCAAGATGATGTGTCAGACTCAAAATCCACCCACATCAAACAAGGTAGATCCCAAACCGACCCTTCAGCATAGTAACTGAAAGCCTTAGCATATAACTCGAGGCCCCCGCTTACGGTCTCAAGCCTCGACTATCGCTCTTGTCCCCCACCCGTTGGCCAAGCACACAAAACCATCATGGCGAAGCCAACTTTCTCGGTCTCTACTCTCATTATTTTTGTTTTCGCACTAGCTCCTTTCCACCAGGCGTTCGCCTCCCGTGAAGCACACGATACCGCGATCTTCAATGATGACCCCGAGCTCTGGCCACAAGTGCCGAGGGTCAGACCTGTGCCACCACGTGCGTTTCTCCGCGCTCGGGACGGAACCGTTGGTTGGTAAGCACCCCTCACATAGAAGCGGCGCTCGGTCTTCTGACTTCAATGTATTGGCACAAAGCTCCAATAGCGACATGGCCTTCTGTCCCACGCTTGTGGAAGACGAGAATACAATGACAAGTGACGGAGCAACCACCACCACGGAGTTGGGGAGCACTGTTACTATGGCAAGCGGCGGTACAGCTACATCGACCTACACTCATACCATGACAGGTAGCGGAGAAACGGCAAGCACGCACCGCGGGGCCACTGATACCATGACAAGCCACGGAACAACTGCTACTACAGACTACGGTAGCACTGATACTATGAGAAGCACTGTCACTGAATCTGGAAGCACGTCTGGCATGCAGTCCCCACACGGCAGCACCATGACAGGAGGCTCTAGCGGAGCATCTACTGCGGAAGCACAGACTACACACAGCTATTCTGGCAGTGGAACATCAACAGCCCCTTCCCATTCTGCAACGCACAGCAAAGCCTCAAGCGACCGTACTGGTAGTGGAATTTCCGTAGCAGTAGTGGTGGGACTTGTGGCTATTGTCAGTATCATCCTCTGAGGAGAAGAAGAGCATGGAACGTGGGAACCTGAGATGAAGGTTCGAAGAAATTGAATCTTGATGCGGAGTCCAAAAGTCTTTCTCTTAACACGTTATGCCATTTGATTTCTTAATTGATTTTATAAATGTATTCAATTTGCAGTTATACATTACCGTGCCCCGTTGATCTATGCCGCTCGACTTTGTTCAGTGACTCCTCAACATGATGCATGCACACTGACAGCTGCTGTCTCCTATTTCTCTTCAACTCCTCCTGGGTGGGTTGTTTTCACCAACCCTGCTATAGGCTGTTCTTCCATTTTGCCTCCGGCCCTGTCCTATAATCGTCGATGTTCTGCTCAATGCCCGCACGCTGACCACGCCTGCGCCACCAAACCATGCCACAGACCAGTGCCAGCGTGCTGTTCCACCTAGAGTAGCCCTAACACTAATCCCGCCTTCGCACCTATTGACAGCCCTCCACTGTCACTGCCCGACATGCTGCTGGTTACCGCGCCGCCACTCTGTCTCTTGATCATATGTCTGCACCGAGACCGCTTCGATGTAGAAACGTACATTTACCGCAACTCTGCATTTTAAGGATGGTATCTGAAAGACGCCGGCGTTGAGGATTCCCAGGCTCATCTGAATGTTCATGTACCTGGCGACGTTTGCGTTGCACATTCAGCTTTTAGTACACGGCCGAGCGCTCTTGGCACGCCGCGGGAAAGGTCTGGACAAGTTAGCTAGTTTTAAATTTTAGATAATATTTAATCCAGAGAAACGTATCTACTCAACTGGTAGTTCAGCTTCTGAACTTCAAAACTGGTTGGGCGCACGTGATACCGGCACTTCGCAGTTTTCTAGAAATGGCCACGTTTCAACTCCGCGTACTTTCCAATTTAAGGCCGGGATTTGAAAAATGAAAAACGCGTCGAATACATCCGCAGTTTCAAGCACGCTTACGACTGGCTTCTCAATGAGCTCTTCCATAGACGCTGCGGAATTTCGGTGCTCCATTTGCCATAAGGGCTATTCGAGCAGAAATCACCTGAACCGACACAAGGCCATTCGTAAGACACCATGACTATTGGATGCAAACACGCGTTGACTTGAGAAGACAAAGATAAACCCTTATCGCAATGCCCTTTATGTGGCAAGGCTTTTTTCAAAGCGTGTGTTCAGCCGACTTCCGCTTCAAAATACTCGACTAACGCAATGAATCAGTGAAGTAACTCGACGGCATACGAAGACCTGCGCCAAGAAGGGAAACAAGGCACCTTTATTACAAAGGAAGCCTGGTAGAAAACGCCACGCTTGCGACAATTGTTCACGAAAAAAAGTTGCATGTGACGCCGAATTCCCATGCAACCCTTGCAGCAGGAGCGGTATACTGTGTAAACGCGAAGGGTCCAACAGCTGCATTGAAGGGCAGGATCATGTGCCGTTCCTACGAGTGTTCACAGAAAGATGGTTGTGTGACTCAAGGGTCGCAGTTTCTGACGAGCTTTTCAAGCATCACAACAGCCTAGAAGGAGCTGACCATCCTCTTTTTGAGATTGATGATGAAGAACGATCCTTGAACGAAACCCTGTTTGGTTTCACAAGTTTGCCCTCCGGGTCAATCATGGATGACTTCTGGGGACATTCATTGCACAATGAAAGTCAATCAGGATCAAATGAGAGTACAGTGGGCTGCGAGGCACGTGTGGTAGACGTGATTCTACAACTTTTGGCTGCACAAAATCAGCGTAATCTAAGAACATCACGGCACGATCCACTAACCGATGAAAACCAAGCAAGGAGAGTTTTCACAGCAGCAAATCTGACACGATTTACCTCGGCGTATTTCAATCGCGTTCATACTTTTTCACCTGTCGTTTATCGACCAACCTTTGAGATCGAGAAGGCCTCAGTCCCACTTATTCTTGCCATGTTCATTGTCGGTGCTATGCATTCCGCACCGCAGGACCAGGTTCTCTTGGCACGCCAGTATGCAACAATGATCGAAGAGTATATTTTCAGTCACGAGGTTTTCTCCTCTCCTCTCCCAGAGGTTTCAGCAGGCCTGGAAGATGAGCGTTTGGAGATTTTACAAGCTGCTATGCTCGTATATCTACTACAGCTACACAACAACAATGAACCTACTCGAGAAAGGATCCGCAATCAGAGGCATCCCTGCCTCATTGCTAAGATGAGAGCGTTTGGTTTCCCGGCTGTAAGACACGAGGAACCAACGGGCTCGACTACTCTGCCGTCTTTGAAGACTTTCGTCAATAATGAGGTGAAAATAAGGTATGGAAACTTCTTTACGCGCTTTCTGGCAGTGAGTACTGAGCAAACAGTAGACTTTGGTGGTCGGTCTATCTGGTGGATTGTCACTTGACATTTTTTTTCAACGATCCTCCCCGAATCGCTTTGTTTGAAATGACAAGCAACATGCCCTGCTTCGATGCCCATTTTGAAGCAGTAAACGAATTTGACTACCACAGTCAAGCCCTTTTGCAACCGCCAAGCGCTTGCGTCCCTTCACTGTTCGAACTCAGCACCTGGATTGGCCAAGACCAATGGGTTGGATTGCAAGATCCCAAGTGGAGCTTCATCTCGGTTCACCACCTATTGGGGTTGACTTGCTGTAAGTCATTCTATGCATAAAGGAGAAGAACATCACCTAACCACTTTTATCTTATATATATAGCCCTGAACTCTGTCTACTTCTCTTCAAGGATGGCCCGAACCGCACAGACTGCATCGCACGAGATGGTTCGCATACTAGATAGATGGAAAAGCCTTTGGGATTCGATTTTAAAAAGAGATCAGGAGAACTCAGGGCCACCGCCGGCGTTTACAATGCATGCTGTGGAGATCTGGTGGGTGCTTAAAAAAATAATTCAGATCGTGGGTTCAAGTGGCGAGGACCATAAATATGTAAGTGGCATCGCCTTTAAGACTGCGAAAGAACTGAATGACTTTATTTGTAAAGTCAACCCGACAGCTGGATGATCGCGCTTGTCCGAGGCGTGATCTCAAGGATGGCAGCTGCGTCGATGAGAATGCGGCGGTGCGAAGGCCTGGAGGTGTGAAGTTGCTGGTGACAGGGTGGATGGCGACCTGGACGAGCGAGCTGGGATGGGGCGCTGTAGCTGAGGAGCGATTTTGCGGAGATGGATGTTGGTGGAAGAGTGTGGGCCGGTGTGGCGGAGAGAAATTCTGGCACTCACGTGCAGACTGGCGGAGATTGTTCGGAGCTACATACGCCTGTTGTATGTGCTATAGAGTCGAGCTGAATTATGGAGGTAGCAAGGCCGGGCGATTAGAGGGGAATTTGCTGCTTAATGAGTTTTCACGTCGCTGACTGTTCCGGCTCAAGCCGGTACTTTCCGCCGCCAAACCGGTTGGTCGATGCGCTCCCCTTCATGAAAACTCTATGCGGGGTCTCGACAGAAAGGAGGAATGATCGTCACGAGGAGCAATAGGGAGCGTGGCAGCACAAGGAGAATGGCCGTGCAGACCCGCTGTGGCCAATCAGCTGTGCCGAATTAAACGTATGGCCAAGACCGTATCGCAATATAGCGTTGCTTTGTATCACCGATAGCATCACAGCCCACCGATATGGTCGCGGCAAACCCGGTCCAAACGCGTCAACAGGAGGACCATTGCAGGGAGAGGCAGTGCTGTCGAGGGCTATATAAGGGCATCCGCCAGACCAGCACTCGGCATCATCAGTCGTCCACACCATCTTTCATCGATCGAGGAATCACCCACTTTCGGGACCCCGGCATCAATCATGGAGGACACCCCAGAACATGGTATGTTGACACATTCCTCGATGCAGTAATCATTGTTGACGCAACAGCCTTAGGGAACTCGATTCCCATTGCTGGAATCGTATCTATTGCGGTACGGAACCCAACGGCCAAGTCATCGTCCTCCTTACTAACGCAATCCACCAGCTTGTAGCAGCAGTTATTGGAAACGCAATCTACAACATGTATTTCCACCCACTTAGCAAGCGTAAGTACCCCACCACCACCGAAACGCACGTCAGTCTGACCCCCTTTGCCGTTCCTGGACCGAAACTTCTGGCCGCGAACAACTTCACCTACTGGTACTACCTGGTCACGGGCAACATCCTTCCCTGGTGCCAGAGTTTGCACGAAAAGTACGGCGAGGTCGTGCGCCTCGGCTCGAACAAAGTCAGCTACATCAACCCGCAGGCATGGAAGGACATCTGCGGCCACCGCGCCCACGGCAAGTTCGAGAACACCAAGGACACGCATTTCCACATCCCCGGCGAGAACGGCCAACACAGCATCCTCAGCGTGCCGAGCTCCGAGGAGCACGGACGGCTGCGCAAGATGTTCTCCAACGCCTTCAGCGACAAGGCGCTGCGGCAGCAAGAGCCGCTGATCACGCAGTACGTGGACAAGCTCGTCAGCGTCGTCGACAAGGCGGCCCGCAGCCAGCCGAACGCCATGGTCAACCTGGTCGAGCTGTACAACTGCACGACGTTCGACATCATCGCGGACCTTGTCTTCGGAGAACCTCTCGGTCTGCTAGAATCGTCGGCGCTCTCGCCGTGGGTCAAGTTCATCTTCGCGCACATGAAGACCGGCACCATCCTCTCTCTCGCCCAAGAATACCCGGCCCTGGCCAAGTTGTTCGAGCTGCTGACGCCCAAGTCGCTGATCGAGAAACAAAAGATGCACCGCCGCCACACGAGCGACCGCGTCGACAAGCGTCTCAGCAGCGGCATCGACCGGCCGGACATCTGGGACCTGATTCTCAAGAAAGCCGCCGGGTCGCTCTCGCTGCGGGAGCAGTACGCGAACGCCGAGATCTTCATGGTCGGCGGCTCCGAGACGACTGCGACGCTGCTGAGCGGACTGACCTACCTGTTCCTGACCAACCCGGACAAGATGGCCAAGGCCGTCGCTGAGGTGCGCGCCCTGCCCAGGGACGCCCTCAACTTCCAGGGCGTGGCGCACCTGCCGTACCTGCAGGCCTGCCTGGAGGAGACGCTCCGCCTGTACCCGCCGGTCCCCGTCGCCATGCCGCGTGAGACGGCGCCGGGTGGAAGCTCCATCCTGGGCGAGTGGGTGCCCGAGGGGGTGCGTTTCCCACAAATCTTCCTAGAGTTGATATCGAGCCTAAGCTAACTGTGTCCAGACGAGCCTGCACATCTACCACTACGTCGCCTACCACTCTCCGCTGAACTTCAAGGACCCCAACGCCTTTGTCCCTGAGCGGTGGATGGGGGATAACCGCTACGACTCGGACAGGAAAGACGTGCTCCAGCCCTTCTCGTTTGGCCCGCGTAACTGTTTGGGCAAGAAGTAAGTCTAAGCCTGACAGCATCAATCAAGCGTTTCGTTTGCTGACCCTCGGATGCAGCCTCGCGTACCACGAAATGAGACTCATCATGGCGAGCATCCTTTGGAATTTCGACCTCGAGCTCAGCCCCGAGTGCACGGACTGGTTCAACCAGAAAGCTTACATCATCTGGGAAAAGAACGATCTCATGGTCAAGGTCAAGCCGATCCATTAGATTAACCGCGTTGAGGATCCTGCGCGGACGTCAAATTCTGCGGGTCGTTGTTTCCGAGACCCCAACTACTTCTAAGAGAAAGATGGTCACTAAATGGAATAGATTAGCCGGTTTCGGGCGGTTGTCTGTTCGTGCATTAGGTAGGGACTCGTGAGTGTGTAGCTTTGGAAGCTTAGGGTGGGAGTGAAGGGGTCTTTTTGGGTTATATCTGTTTTGCTTATACATAGATAGCTTTGATTATTATTTTAAATTTCTTTCCCTATGCCAATGTGCTGACGATGGAACAATGCCCACGGGCACGCATACCGCCTTGCCATCTTGCCACCCACTTCTCTCACGCACTCCCCTTTCTGCAACCAGTATTGCCACTTCCCAACTGTTTCGGGAATAGTGTCCAACCGGATCCCTATGTCCATCCTCGCGACGTTGTACCACTTCGCTACTTACTACAGAAAGGCTGGACAAGGAGCAAGAACTCAGAAGGACTTTACAAAGCATCTCCACGTAGCTAATCCATGTACAAGGTGAGATGCGAGTGGTGGCTGTTATGGTTACTTTCTGCAAGCGGCGAGTCATACGCACGGTAGCTGCTGCGTCTGAACACTGCGGCACCTTAATTCTGCGGACGTCTGAAAGCTCGCGGTCGCGTCCAGAGGGCTTGCGGGGTGGGGGACGTGATTGAATTACGGTTGCAACGCTGGAAGGATACCATTCAGCCCGCTCTTTGAAAGCCGTGGTCGCATTGTTTGATCAAGAGGGTTTGTGTTCCCCATTGTGTCAAAGAGACTAAGAATATCCTGCTTGCATCGCAGTTTTCACCAAGCTCCATCGCCAGTCCGACCCGCCGTCGACGCACTTGCAGCGTTCCCCCACGGCGGATACAAACTAAGGTTACACAACCCTTGCTACCGAACAGAGCCGATCTGGTAGCATTGGCAACAGCAGCAACAGGCCATCTAGTTCTAAGCTAACAAGTTCGATATCATCCATAAATTCTATTTACGACCGGCCTCAAATATTACCACAAAGCACAAACAGCCAACAGGTACTAACCCTAATATATTACGCTGGGACTCGGGAAGGGGTAAGACAGGGGCGTCGGGAAAGGGTGTAGCGTTAAAGGTTCACTACCGTTATCTAAAACGTTACTAGACACTATATATAGAAGATAGCAGCCGTAGTTAGACAGAAAAGATAACAAGAGTGTTACGACACGCTTAACAGCAGTAGAAAAGTTAGAATCTTATACGACTTACCGCCTACGTAACCAGCAACGCTAACCCAACACGACCGACCCGGCCGACCCAGCCGCACCCGAACCTGCCGACCCGAGTCACTAAACCCTTTTCGGCAACCTGATTACTCTAGTTACCTTAATCACCACAAATAATCAATACTAATCACACTAATCACTCTATATATATAGATTATACTTGTTATAGTAGATAGAACCTTTGTAGTCAATTCTAATTATTGTCTTATACCCCTCTTATTACCTTTCTTATCTAACTACGGCTGCTATTCTCTATATCTATGTTACGGAATCAGGATGCGGGTCAAGCGGCGCAGCAGAACTCATGGGCGGACCGGATCATCTCATGCCGAAACCCCGGACGCACCTAACCCATTTGGGTAGCCCACAGCCTGACCCCACGAAGCAGATCTCCCTTGGCCACTGGCCACCCCACTGTCCACACCAACACCACAGTCTGGCCAACCAGCGGCCAATCATAGTATATAGAACACACTCACTTACAGTAGATAGGACCTTCGTGGTCAATTCCAATCATTGCCTTGCACCCCTCTTGTTGCCTTCCCTACCTAACTACGGCTGCTATCCTCTGCACCTAGTGTCTAGTGACATCCCAGATAGCGGTAGTGAACCCTTGACGCTGTGAACCTCCCCGACGTTCTTACCTCACCTCCCTCCCCGAGTCCCAGCGTAACAATCTAGTATCTAATAATATTCTAGATAGCGGTAGTAAACCCTTAACGCTACACGCCTCCCCGACGTCTCTACCTTATCTACCCGTTCTAAGTCCTAGCGTAATACTTTAACTACTACTCTATAGACACTAAAAATAAGTAAAAAACTTATCGAACTAACTATAATAATCTAGACTAAAATCCGCGCCTCGCTTTCTAACGCGGAAGAGTAACTATATAATATTTACCTAGTAATTTCTAGAGAACCCGATACGGAGACCCGTATAATTATATTAGAAGCCTACGCCGCCGAAATCGCTTTCTTAACCCGCGACGTTAGTAGGCCCCGTCTACCCCCCAACGCTTCCGAAGATTACTCCTTAGGGTTAGGGTTAGGGTTAGGGTTAGGGTTAGGGTTAGGGTTAGGGTTAGGGT